TTATTTTCCTTTGCTCGTTATCAATCCCAGCTCTGTCCCACACACATAACTTCACTGCGCCGACCGCTGAGCTCTGGAGGACTGGTGTAAAGAACTGATCATTGCGTTGGAAAGAATCACATAGAAAATCAATAGCGAGGAGGCAGACATTACACGTTTTTAATCAAAACGGCAAAGAACTGTTTTCAGACACGGGAAATGGAGCTTTGTAATTTGTCACAGCATTGTAAAGTCCCAGTCTGCAGGAGATTTAAATTCTAAACGTGTATCTTCCAGTCTGATTGCATTAGTGGCTCAGGTATCTATGCCCCCCTCCCATTCTCTCTCTCTCTCTCTCTCTCTGGTGTGTGTGCTCTGAATCCCTTATCCGATCTTGGGAAACAAATTGCTAAAGTGTAAGGTGTCAGGCTGGAGGTTTGACAGGCTGACCGGGGCAGCTCATGTCCAGCGGCCAATAGCTCCCAGTTTCCCAGCGGTCAACATCACCAGAATGGCCTGGCCCAAAAGGGACGGATTTGCCATTTTTCTCAAAAGTAAAATAAACTGGGACACGCTCGGCTGGTTCCAAGGGAGACCCATTCTGTTTAACAGACGGTGTTTTGTTGTGGTTTGGATTCAGTGTATCGTTTGCAGGTGATGCCAGAAAGAGATAAGAAGCACCAATTGGTTCACTGTTGTCTAGACTTGAGACTTTTAACAAGTGAAACTCACCAGCCGATGGAATCATAAGTTCATATATTGTGTTCACACAACACTCGTACACACACTCACTCGAATATCTATACACACACACACACACACATACTCGTACATACATTGTACACATGCATATACTTATACAATCGTACATATATAATACATGTTCTCACATTTATAGATAGACACAAAGGCATATGAACACTCATGTACCCGTGTACATACGCACAAATGTAATCCACACATGTGATAGTCTCTCACACACACACACACACACGTACATACAGAACCACCCAGATCCCACATTTTTAATAACACTGTCTCTACTTTGCAACCTCCAATAAGTGTATTTGCATTGCTTTGTTTATTCAGTTAGACACATAATATGTTCCTCAACCTGATAATGCAGACTTATTAGAACTTTATTTTCATCCTTTAGTAACCATTCCTTTTCACGGAGCCTGGCGTGGGTTTTATATGGGGGGGGGGGGGGGGGGGGCTGGAGGGGGAGACGGGCGTTGGAAGGGGGCTGGAGGGGGAGGGGAGGCTGGAGTGGGGGTGAAGGGGGTGGGGGGGGGAGTGGTGCTGGAGAAAGCTGCTGGAATTTAAAGTTTTTAATGCACAATCTGGAGTTGTTGCAATACAAGTCCGGCCGGCCAAGGTTCTGTTATCTCTCCAAATGGTTTGAACTTTCCACCCCTCATTGAAAGTCCCATTCAATTCAGAGAATTATATCTCGACTTGGAGTAAGTAGTTAAACAGAAACCCAGAGAGCTTGAGAGAAGGGAGTTTCTCTCTCTCCGGTATCCTGGCCAACAATTCCCCCAAATAAATTCGGTCCTTCATGGCTGTATATGGGGCATTGCTGTGAAGCAATTGGCTGCCGCATTTCACCCACAAAAACCCAGTCACTACACTTCGCAGTACTGTATATCCCCGTGAAGCACTTTGGAATGACCTCCCAGCGTGAAAGGCTGATCATCCAAAGCAATGATTATTATACACTCTTCGGGAAAGGGCCGTTTTGGAGCATTGGGGAAAAATACATAGCTATCTTAATTCTGACCACTGTTTCCTCCCCGAATAAAAAACCAGGTACAATTGATTAACAACTACAAGCCAAAGAGGCAGCCGCTTTATATCAGACATCAGAATCTGTCAAATCTTTAATTTTAGCACTTTGCCAGGATCCATCGCTCTATCAGTTTGTGTGAGTGGAAGATCAATAAAAGACGCAATTTATGCTCTAACTAATGAATGATTTTAATGCAATGCGTTTCAATTAATATTGTGGTCCTTTTTCTCATACTTTATCACCAAATGATTTTACGCTTCCCCCACCCCCCTCCCCCCCCCCAAAAAAAAAGTATGATAAAGGAGATTTAAATTTAAATAGAACATCAACCGAGCTGTCATATTGCAGGAGAACTCGGAGTGGCTCTGTATCCAAATGACATAATAATAGACGCAGCCCATGTTAACTGCACCGCGTTCCCACAGATAGTGCAAGCAGTCTCGCAACCCTCAATTCATCACTCAACAGAGGTCAGGCAAATGCACTAGAGAAATACAGGCCTGTCTTGCCAGTAACTTATTTCGGTTCTACACGTTTAATTGCAGAGTTGTACTGCTGTATATTGAGAAACATGTTTGCAAAAAGCTCTGTAGAATATTGTCCCCACCCCTATTGAAAGTCGCCTTCGATTCAGAGAATTATATCCGGATTTTCGAGTAAGTAGTTAAACAGACATAGGGTTGTGTGTACGCGGGATCACACATTTCAGTACTGTATTTTCAATAGTTTTTAGCCCAGAACTGTTATCCACATGTTTGCACAATTACAGACAGCGTACATTTCAAATTTCGAAATTATTTTCATCTCTGCCCCCACCCCAGTTTACACGTTATCGCCGATTCGTTTTTTTTTTAAAAATGGTTATTTTCAGGTGAATTTAATACCCATTTAGAATTGATTGCGCCCTTTTCTGACACGTTATTCTGTGTGAATAACCCAGACCACGCTGGTCATCTCGACTAAATTACTAACCAGCAACAATAAGGCTGGAGAAATTGAGGCACTTTCTCAATAAGGAATGGATTGACAGTGATTTGTCTTTTGCGGTCCTAATAACCTTTAATGCAGAGGCAACTGAGATTTGAATTGATACTTCTTTAAGTTAGTTTCTTCTTTTGAAGTTAAATTTCGCTTTAGTGCTATTTAACTATTTAAAGGGCGAAAGGCTTTGAGTGCAAGCGTTTGCCCTTCCCCCAACACTATGAATGCTTTAGACACCCACCAACTGGACATGGAATCTGGTCTTTGTGAACTTGAGATACGTTACATGTTAAAAGTCAATGCAATGAAATTCTTCCACCTTGTCCAAGAGGAAATTGTTATTTTTAAATGTTGTGTTCTTATTCGGCACCCTGAAGTTATTTTATGTTATTATATACATATTCTTCACTATTTAAGACTAGCTGTGAATTGTATTTTAAAAACGGTGTATCATATAATATGTGGTATTTATTTTTTATATACAGTAGTTTAATTTAAGCAACAATAAAATATTTTGACAGGCTAAATGCTAAAGTTCATCTCCATTAAGTTCTGAGGACTGCAGACTGACCAGAACACAAGTAGCTGATTAGTGGTGTGATCATTAAAATAATAATTTATCGCAAAATAATTAAAAATTCCACCTATTTATTTAAAGACCTTCTTAAGAGTCTATCATTTCAACTGCAAATTAATTGCATGATTACAATCAAGTGCTGTCATATCTTGTATGGCTCTGGGGTGAAAACTGCATTAACTATGATACCGTTTTGAAATGTTCCAGATCTATAAGTGGCTACGTGAGTTTTGTGTCATTCTAACGTTCGCACTGGCATTCGCTTTAAATGAATGTGAGAATCTAAATTAACCTAAAGTCCATCTCGCCTTAATTCTCCCCCAAGCACAGCGATGCAAATATCCCGTTCTATCACTGCGACACAAATTCATGGTTACACAACCCAAACAGGATGTATCTCACAATGAGCGGTGAAAACGTACATTTTTCAAAAGACTATCGACAATCGGACCCCACTCAAAATATTTCAACAAAAACTATTACATGAAAAAACCTGCTAGTGTCTATAAATATGTAATATACACGCCAACGTACGCATTACATATATGTGCGCTGATGTGATTGATATTCTCTCGAAGGTCTCTTCGATTTTGATTTCTTTTTGCTGATTTTATTTCCCCCCGGATCACGAATCTCACTGTAGTAATTGCCATGTGCAGTTACAGTACAGAGACAACACGTGCAGTTGAAAGGCTGTGCTATCACTATCACACCACTGACCGGGGCCGAGGCTATTACTCATTTCCATGCCCCCCCCCCCCCCCCCCCATCCCTATCAGCAATTTATTACTATATAATCATATACACAAAAACGCATATACTAACTAGACAGTGACAAGTACATTATTTCAGATTCCTTCATTCTCTGTGGCTCTCTGTTATGACTTCAATGCCCCTTCGGCGTGAATTGTTGGGAACTTTTAGAATTGTTTTGTAATCTCTGTGCTCTGCACGGGTTTGGAAACTCTACCATATTGCGGGGGGGGGGGGGGGTTGTAATTTTTGTTCGGATTTAATTTATACCTAAAACCCCCCAAAAAACAGAAGTGTTGCCCCGTATAAAGGAGAAACTCTCGGTGCGCCTCGAGAAAGGTGCGGTGTTCACAGGATTTCTCTAACGCGTTCTCTCGATCCGTTTATTAACCCGTGAAACCCGATAGTCTGGAGGCAAACGAGCAGTTTTAAAACTTAAGACACTTTCCACAACAAAATAAAGGCAGAGGAATCAAATTCCCGCGGAAGAGTAACTTTTAGCCAACTTCAACCCAACCCCTAAATTGTCAAATTGAAGTTGTTATTTCCCTCGGGACTTTTTAAATGGACTCGTTACAACTCATAACAAAATAACATTGTAATCTGCAGTCGGTGATTTGATCTCCCTGCATTCTCTGATGTTTACAGTGTACAGTATTTCGAGTAGGTTCGTCACTAAACGTCGAGTTGAATCTAACAGGGAAATCGAGTCTGTGAAATTGACACAGTGATCTCAGTCTGGCATATCCCGCGGCTTCCAGCATTTGGACTGTTTAAAATACATGTTTATCACAATAAAGTTTTCAGCCCAGTCTCAACCCCCAAACACGTAAATAATTCGTATTTTGCTGTTAGTATTTCAGACACGACACTAACTTCACTTCGTCGCATTTCAGAATTCATACGGTTTCTTTTTCTTTATTTAAGATCAAATATTTAGTCCCAGTATCAACTGTGGCCCTTTCACAATAAATAACAATAACTTACTTTGTTTTCTTGGAGGTTCACACACACACAGTTGGTCCTCCGAAGGTACATACATATTTTACAATGGGCTTTTAAAAGCTTCGGTACTGTAACATTTTTTTCCCGGTGATTTCATGCCGATTTCAAGAAAAAAGTGAATGGATGATTCTCTCTTCCGCTCTAGTCAGTGAGTGGGAAATGGAAAGAAACTCACATCTTGGGGGGAGGGGGGAGAAAGGGCAAACTGGTGATGTAAAAATCATGGCCCAATATCATTCACACCTCTGACGTTCTGAGATACAACGATTCCAGTCAACTTTAGGAACCGTTTGTATCATTCTGTACATTGTTTTTTTTTCTTGAGAAAACCTATTTTTTTTCTCGCTTCCTCTCGATTAAGTAAGTGACTTGAATTCAATAGGGTTGTTGTTGTGATGTTGTTGCTGTGTTGTTGTTTTTTTTTGCCATTTCAAGTTTCTTTTCTTCCTAATGCTTATTTTGGCGTTGCAAAGTTGTACAGTACGTAGATTTCATGTAAGTCCTCCGGTGGCAGTATATTGTTTTTTAAAAAAAAATCCATGTGCATATTTATTTTTGGCAGTCACTGCGAGTCCGTTTAATACATATAATATATATACTATATGTATATATAAAATGCAAGTAGCAAGGAGAGAGGTTTGTTGTTTGGAGCTGGCCTTTGATCATGCGGGTCGGGAACATGCTGTAAAGCCGGGTGGGTCCTGGGGTTTGGTGGGGGGGTGGGTGGTGGGGGTGAGTTCTGGCCGCTTGCACTCACGTCTCCACTGGGCTGGGCACCATACTGTTCGGGGTATCAGGTAACTGTGAGGAGAGGGAGGTCACATCACTTCCAGAGGAGTTGGGCAGCGAGCTCGATTCCGAGAAAGTTACCTGCAGAGCCAAACGAGTCCTGCGTTATAAATTTAACCATAGCTTGTAAATCATAACACATGTGGCGCAGTAAACCCTCACTTATTCTTAGGTATTTTACAAGGGGGGGGGTCGTGAAGTACTGAGGCAGAGTTAAAATACATTGTTAACAGACTGATTTTATTTGTAAAATTGGTACCTTTCGGTTTCATTTACAACGTATAGTTAACATTAATTAAGGTACTCAGCGGACATTGTCTTCTAACGGTATAAAGTAAGACATTGCCTGCAACAGGTCATGTATGATGTATGTTACACATCGACACAAATAGATTAAAGAAATAAGGTATCTTACTTTCAAATTAAAACAAATACTTAGAGTTTATAGGAGACTACATTTGAATATACGGATAGATCGTGGTGACATTTTATTTTATACTGACAATCTTACATAAATATATGCTGTACACAAATATTTCCTGCACAATTCTACAGCATGCAGTTGTATGCTTAAAGATCGTAGATATCTACTCAAACACTAGTCAACATTTCAGACAGGAGTAAAACTTTCAGTCTATCTAACCTACACTTCTAATCTCCCCAGAAGAGCCCTTCCATATATGTGCCTTACTAGTCATATACTTTACCATCTTTTATATTCCGCAGCTATTTGGGACTTTTAACACATTAGTAACTAAAGACCACGTGAGGCGTCAAATAGTCTGTGTGTGTATATTCCATAATAGGAGTGATGCGAGTTGGGATGTGGATATGAAGTGGGGGTGGGGGGGGGGGTGAGCTTTGGAGTAACAAGGGGACCGAATTCAGGAAATAACCTGATCAGTGTCTGTGTCGCGCGTGTGTGTGTGTCTGTGTGTGTGTGTGTGTCCATACTGTATATATATATTTTCCTTATGAAATATGACCGGTGCCGTCAAAGGGTTAACGACCCACAGTAAGAATTCTCCGCAGCAGCTGCCGGGGTGTTGCTTTGGGGCCGCTTTGAAGCGATGTGTTGATGGGTACTTGACATCGTGTTCGGGGCCACTAATACCACTACATGAGCGTGTCTAATAAGGTACAACAGCATCATGTAACGATAGGCACTGAGCGACTCGGTGCCCCAAGTGTCCTGACAGTATGTGGGCACCACTAATCTGTGCTGATGATACAGTCCCTTTTGTTGTTGCCTGATTGCCGGGCAACATGTGTTGACTGGTGTGCTGTCAACATATTTATTTATATATAGCCTATGACATTATTATGTAAATCAGCTCTAGGCTTTCTGAAATCTTGAGGGTCCTGGGACTACAAAACATGTGAGAAGTGACATTTCATCCAGTGGGCACCATTACGAGGCACGTTAGATATGCCCTTGGCTTCCTATATACTGCCTATCGTGTTACCATAGGTGTAGAGAGGCAAAAATAGTCATAGTTTCTGCAGAGAACAGAGACATGCACACACACTACACTTATCCGGGAAGAGGCAGCTTAGAATTAGGAGGCGCTTTATTTTCACCGAAAGGAAAATATGAAACAAAACAAAAAAAAAGAGTCTCAAAGGAAGTGAGTGGATGGTGTCAGGACTGAAAGGTCATTAAAACAAAGGAAAAGGTATGAGAAGGAACTAATTCTACCGGGAATTATAACGCTTTATATGAGGGAGGGAGGGGGGGAGGGAGGGGAGGGAGGGAGGAGGAGATGATTACGATGAAACGAGTTCATGCAGGCCACTTGAAAATGTTGGGGGTTTGGTTTTCTGCTTGCAACCGCAAAGCCCACGCATTTTGTCACTTATTTGACAAGCACCATAATGGAATCTGATACCATATTTTAATGCAATTACTGATTGGAGCCACCCCTCCCACCCCTCGCGTACTGGACTGCAGGGCTCCCAAATTGGCTGGTTGAGCTACACATGGGTTCTCATGCTCTCTCACACACGCCCTCCCCTCTCCCCTCCCGCACCCCCAACACACAGCCGCACACACACACACACACACAGAGAGGGAGGGAGACTCACCAGTTGTTGGAAGGCTGGCTGATCCAGGTCACTCTGCAGAGCAAACTCACTCAGCGCTTTCCATGGCGGTTGGTACGTCTGCACCTCCACGGCGTTCCCCTGCACAGAGCTGTCGTGTCGGATCGGGCTGCCAGCAACCATCGGGGTTCCCGTCAGACCCTGCAGACTCTGCGGAGGGTCGACAAACCAGGACAAGCAGATTAAATAAACTCCCCACCACACCTCCCGCAGAAAGAACCACATGCAGTTACGGCATGAGTCTGACTCGAATGCACCGGGTACAAACCAGGATCTTGTCAGTGCTCTTGTAAACAAGTCATCTCGATGTGCTTCGTGTCCCCCGCCCTACCCATCCCATCCCACCATCGGCGGGTGGGCGTTCATCCTCTCTCTCTGGAACTCCATCCCAAAGTCCCTCCGACTCGTTCCCTTCCTCCCTCCCTCCCTCCCTCCCTCATTCATCTTCTCCAAGGTCCATCTCAAGAACTATCTGTTTGACCGTGTTTTCGGTGATCGTTTACTCACCTCACTACCCCCTCCCCCCCCCGCCCCTCCCCACCACCCCCAACACACTCTTGATGCTTAGCCTGGATTGCTAAGCGCCTTGGGACGTCCTCCCGACGTGAAAGGCGCCGTATAAACGTAAATGTGCACATACTGTACATAGTAGTGTGTTTGGTTGACATCAGTGTCTATAACTTTGTGGAAGTTCATACAGTATTTGCAGGACGTGGGGGTCACTTACATATGCAGGGATGGTGCAATGCTCACTGCAATGTAAACACGCGATGCCGAACAGATATACATTGTTCCCAAACACGCAAAAGCGGCGTTTTATGAAATTGACTTAAAAAGAAATCGGCTTGGTGACCAGCGCGGTTGATCGGTCTGATAGCGAGCAATGCTAATAAATCGTGTTTACACGGGGCGGCACGTTTAAGGGAGACCTAAATGGCTCTGTTCTCTTCCTCTCTGTGTGTGGCCAGTCTAAACACACTGTTTATTTCTAATAAAAACAGTCTATTCCCCCACTATATGCATTGAGAGCTTTGCAGACAGCTGATTTTTATGGACTTTTCTGGAGCACAGATTTTCCCCCTCCTAAAATAACAACGCCACATTTTAACCAAAAAAATTGCAATTCTGATGTCTTTGGACTTTGGACGTTTCCTGTCCCTAACAATTAACAAGTCCCCAAAAGCAGAATCAACCAAGCCTTGCGGTGAACGTCTATTAATATCGTCCATATTATTCATGTCCCTTTTTTTTAACGTTTTGCCCTCCCGAAAATGTATTTCAAAATATCTAATCGGTGAATATAGCAGATTCCCCCCTCCTCCCCCACCCCCCCACCCCCCCCAATCCACAAGATCCCGGTTGAGTTAGTGATTGGTTTTGAGTATTATTTGTTTCAGATTCAATCAGATCAGAAATGCGGTGGTAAGATTTAAGCCATTGGTCATCTAACCCCAGAGTCTTGTTGTCACATAATATCTGCCACTTCACATTGGCTACACATCACAACTAGAGAGGAATCTCTGCACAATTTTCACATTCCTGCTTTGCTCCCACCCTCTCTCCCCTTCTTCACTCTTGACATTACAAAGCATTCTTGTTGTGACTTTATACTTAGGTTAGAGAAATCTCACAGTAAATTGATTGCAAGTTGTCTAATTAAGCAGGGGAACTTTTACATGTATCTCTTGGTTTTTTTTGGTGGGGGTGGGGGTACGGGGGTATTGATTGACACTAACCTATGATTCGTTTAGAATTCCCCCGGTTTTACAGTTCTGATCGTTTTAAGTTTTTTTTAATAGACACATATAATACATATATATATATATATATGTGTGTTTAACCCCACCATCTCTCCGTGAATTGAAGCCCCCACTGTTAGATACAATTTGAAACGCAAAAAATAAACAAGTCACAAGAGAACACAGCAGACTGAACACAGAGACCAGCCGCACAGTTTAGAGAAGGATTTAAAACTTATGCATTTCCTTCGTTTACAATCTTGTCGATTGTTTTGAACCCTAGTGCTTTCCTGCATTAAATCCCACCAAGGCAGCATGATTGAAACGCTGCCTTTTTACACTAGTGCATACAAATAAATTACCCCCTAATATAAACTATATCTATACATTAAGTGTATTATTTCACAATCACATGGAGGAGGGGGGGGGGGGGGGCATGCATTTTATTTTTTAAGCGGCTGGGTTTACATTTCTCCTATGAAATGGGAACTGAAGTTTAATGTCTGCAATTCTGTAAATATTCAGAGGAAAAAAAGATCAACAGCAACAACAGACTGTTTGCATTACATTCTTGGCTTCTTGTTTGTAAACCGAATTGGGGAAGTGGCTTTTCTGAACTCACGGTTTTGTCACTGTGCTGTTGTTGTTGAATCTGTTTCATGAGGATGGTCTTCTTTTTGTCCTTACAGCGTTTATTTTGAAACCAGACTCGGATGACCCTGGGGCTCAAGCCCGTCATTTCCACCAGTTGCTCCTTCATCAGGGCGTCAGGTCTGGGGTTAGCCCCGTAGCAGGTCCGCAACGTGTGCAGCTGTTTCTCGTTCAGCACAGTCCTCACCCGGGTCGTTTTCTCTTGCTGCTTGTGAGGCCTGAGAGGAGGTTGCCTGGCGGAGATCGGTTCTGCTGCAACCGAAGAAACACACACTAGAAACCCTCGTAACTAGAATCAAAAAACGAAGCCATCCCGATTAAGATCTCCCTCGGACACAATAATGGGGGGAGGGAGAGGGGAAGGGGGAGAGATAGGAGGGGGGTGTTAGAATAACAGTGCGAAAGCCCTTTAATTTACACGTTAACGCTCAGTATTTATACCGCAAAATGACCATGATCTCAGGCTATATATATCTATATATATATACACACACAGTGATAGGAACCTACTTTCAGAAGTAGGTGAAATTGTCAGCCATCTATGAGTGCAATTGTAAGTCCACCCCCCCCCCCCCCCCCTCTCTGTCCCAATACTGTATTCATTTTGCAAAATACACGTCGCGCTCCACATACATTAGATCAACTATTATGTGCAGTACTGATGTGTGCATATTGATCATGTTCAGATCCAAAAGATGCTTTTTGGCAGGTTAACGCGTTGAAATGAATGTGAATACACGATGCAGGAACTTCCTCACACATCAGTGCAACTCGGGATTGAAATATATACAATAGATATGGACGTATATTGTGTGCATGTAAATGATCATATAGTTATCTTGCAATCCAGGTTAAATCAACCCCGATTATTTACTAACCAGCACTCTTAAATGGCGTATAATAGAGGTAACGCAGAAATTAAAAAAAAATCCCTCTAACACGTGTATCTACATTACCCGGGTGCCACAGGGCGCTTGGAATGAAAATATTTCCTACTCATTTCTTAACAGTTATTCGAATTGATAGCAAATTTGCACAGAAACAAACTGCGTTTTGCATCTGTCTAAACAAAAAAAATCTCTTTGGATCAACAGGAATAACACAACCACTATCTACGAGCATTGTTGTATCTTCACCATCTCTCGTTTTGTTTCCAGCAACTTTGTATTTATACGTCAAAGAAACTTTTCGGGAAATTAAAACAGGAACCAAAAAAAAAATCACGAGTGTGTCATCTGCTTTTACCAACTGTACGCGTTGGTCTCAAATTGCGGTACCACATAAAATGAGGCTGTATTGAAAATCGGAACGGGGCAAATACCATCTTGAGAAGAAGAATATTTATTGAGTGGTGTTACTTGGAACGAAATGGGGAGAGAAGGAGGGGGGGGGGTTGGGGGGGTGTGATGTGATTTGCCGCAGATTTTTTGGTTTATGGAATATTCCCCAGTCAGTAATTGAGACCGTGCTGGTTAATAGTGGGCGAAGGTCATGCAGTAATGGCCTGAGTGTGTGTGAGTGTGTGTGAGAGTGTGAGTGTGTGTGTGAGAGAGAGAGAGAGACTGTCTGATTCCTTTACCTGCCATCTGGAGGGGTCTGCCAGCCGGCACCGGGCTCAGCGACTCCCCCCCGGCAGAGGCTCTCTCGACCACGTCGTGATCGGCCCGGCAGAACAGCTCGTTGTCCCTGAGAGCGAACTCATCTCCCGGGATGAGCTGGCGACTGCACGCCACGCAGCGGAAGCATTCGATGTGATAGACGCTGCTTCGGGCCCTCATCACGAAATCACTCTTACCGAAAGAGAGATTACATTTTGCGCACTTGGTGCCGAATAACCTGCAAGGGAGAGAAAGAGAGAGAGAGAGAGAGAAGGGAAAAAAAATATTAAATACCATTTCTATTTCACTGCACACTGAATCAAACGTCGCACACACAATGTTTCCAGGCTTCTCGCTGTCATAAGCCTGATATAAAAATATGCGTTTAAAAATGTACAAAGAAAAACAACTCTCGTCGAAATAAAACGCCTTTGTGAAAGAAAAAAAAACTTTTCTGAAAAAAAAAGCAACAACGTGTTTAATGTGTTGATAAAATACGCGCCGGGGTCGGGGCGAGGGGGGGGGGGGGGGGGGTGGTGGTGGTGGGGGGGGGTTGAACGTCTAACAATAATACACACGAAACCGCTTCGCCGTTCCTTCGATTTCTTAAAAATTCTCTCCCAATATTAGCGATTTGTTGCAATAACCTGGCAATCAACTCCTGACTTGACCAAAGGTTGATTTAATGTGACATAACTGTACATGCAAAAGTTTATTTGTTTCCTCACCTAATGTAATCCCTTTTGCAGTAAGTCTTGCCGTCTCTTACAAAGCAAGTGCAAGTTTCATCGAGGTACTGATTACACTCGGCGCACTTGAGACAGGCTGCATGCCACTCGAGATCCGGGGAGACTCGCAGGATGTACTGGTCATGGATCTGGCTTCCACACCCTACACACATGGCAATCCCGTGCTTCTCTGACAGGACAAAACAGTCGCTGAAAATTACCTTGCAAAACAAATCTGTAATTTGCAGCATTTCTTTTACGCTTTCAATCAGTTGCACATAAAGACTCGCAATTCCAACAGCGAGATTTCCAATCAATCGTGAAACAGCGGCGTGTTTCTAAAGGCTAAGGTAAGAGTCGATTTTTTTAAAAAAAACACGGCAGTTTTGCCATAAGCAATTGCCCCCCCCCCCCCCCCCCCCACCACCACCCCATGCATTTGTTGATGTTTTTTATTTTATGTTTACGCATTGCAATCGACAGCTTATATATATATATATATATAAAAAAAACGTTACCGGATCAAATGGAACACAAATGCATTGTGGAAAAAAAAATATGGGAAATAAAAGGCGGAATAACTTACTTTTGGAATGATCCCCCATAGCACTAAGGAAAGGTGAGTTAAAAATAATATCCACCATACAGAAGGAAAAAAGACCGAGATTCCCAACAACCATAAGTGTTAAAACTGCGGTGAAAGATCAGCTGCGAGCTGCCGGGATGTCTGATAACAAATATTTGGGGTTAACTGATGTCCCACACATTGTGGTTCCCCCACTCCCCCCCTCCTCCCTCTCACACCCCCTGCACCTGCGCAGAGCGTCAGGACGCACGGAGAGCCTCCGCAGGACGTGAGACATCACGTTGGGGAGGGTTGGGGGTGTGGGGGGGGGGGGGGGTAGACCCTCACAGGGCAACAGCCATTGGTCTAATGCAGGAGGAACGAGCAAAGCCGACACTGGTCTGGTCTGGGCCAGTGATTGACAAGTGGCTGCACAGTTTGCTGGTCGCCGGGGACTCTGCACTGCGCTCCTTCGCTGCCGCACGTACTGTGCTGATATAGGAAGAAGCTGCTCGGTAAAGCACCGCGCTGGTGTGTGTGTGTGCGGGGGCGGGGGGGGGGGGGTCAGGCAGCAACTCATTTCAAAAATAGGTCGTGTTAAAACCCGCAATTGATCTTGTTGTTTCTCGAAAAAAAAATGCGCGGTCACCCCCTTCCCCGATGCTTTAATTGGCAAAGAAAAAGGCCAAGTTATTCACAACAGTGGAGTGTTGTGCCAGAGAGCTGTGGCGCAATGTAAATCGTTGCTGGTTACAATCAACTGAATACTATTATTACGGCTTAAATGGTTATTTTAGCGATTACTGTGAATAAAATGCGAACCCGCGTCAACCACTGATAACTGCCGCAAATCCTTTTGTTTGGTATCTGATTTCTGATGCATGTTTGAAACGAAATGTGTTAATGCTATTGGAAGTTCTTCATTTGATATTCTGTAAGTCTTCAGACATCGGGCTATTCACAGAGACATCCCTAAAATAGGACTGTTGACCTATTGCTTACCGTCTTTTAAAATATATTTACAGAATTTATGCCTGGAGCATTGATAACCAAAGGGATAACGTTAGTGACAACGAAATATAGTGTGGATTTAAAGCATTCAGACAGAATATGAGATTAGGTGCTTTAAAATACATACTTAGTCAGCTGCAGGCGAAGTTCAATATTCGCCTAGAGAGAAATATTTACCATTGTAATTTCATCCCAAGTGTTTTTTTTTCTTGGTTAATAAAATAAGGATTCGGGGGGTTGTAGTCTTGTTTAGAGGAGAGGTGTACGGATTTGATTCGTTTGGGAGATTTGCTAAAATTGTAAATCTCAGTTCTGATTTAAAAATGTCAAGTGCAGACAAATCTCAATTAATAAACCAGAGGCGCCTGCCTGGAATTCTTAAAGCAATTAACATCAACCGTTTTGTGGGTAAGAACGAAGTCTAGAGAGATGAGCTGGAGTGGGGGGGTCGACTAATTTGATCCAAAAAATTCTCTGGCAAGAATTTCTGCTATTGGCAACTCTGTGTAACCAGGTTAACTTATATTTTATGTAACCAGGCAATTCAGCATTTGTCTTTGCATTTTTGTCATTTTGTCATTGTTGCAGATTAGGAAATGGCACGAATGCGTTTATAAAGGAGAGTTGTTATGGATCACGGTAATACGATATCGAACAAATACAACGTTCATATTAACGCAGCGTTTATCTTGAATTTAATGGGTTTCAACAGCTTGAATCGCTGAAACAGTGGCTCTTGGATAAACCTACGTTTTCATTGTTTAAAAAAAATTGCGATACCCCTTTTATCCACAAAACAAAAGATTTACCTTAACTGCTCCAAGTGTATGTTTCACTTAAAAGTCATTTGGGCAGAAATATCCGAAAGCAAATGAGTTTCAATTTGCTGTGCAGTACAGATAAATAAGTACACCTACACGTCGTTCTCTGGTTGTATTGTCACGTCAGTGGTGTTAGGACGATTTTCGATTGTTTTTGTTATTGTCGTTTTGATTCTAAGTTAAAAAGAGCATCGCCTCTTTCCTGTTACTTATCCAAAAACCACCACCGGAGAAATACAGAAAACATGATCAATCAGATCCTAATTAGGACCTGAAATGCTATTAAAATCTGTTCATCCTGGGTTTCTTATAAAATATTTAACAGTTCTGGATACGCAAAAAGCTTTGTGCGGCGAGCTGAAAGGAAAATACTTGTAGTTTGATTTATTTGCCAAAAAAAACTACACTTAATAGGTTTTAAATGTTTAATGCACGTAATAGTTATGCAACAGTTTCAGTGCAGGGGCTGATTTAAAACACCGCTCTGGAATCAAAAGAGGGGGGCACTTTTATTGTTCCTGGGAGGTATTTTCGCCACACAAAACCATATTTTGAAACAGTCAATGAAACGTTGTACTTGAATAAGTGTTAAAGTGAATGTTGGTTTGTCTGTTTTGCTCGGACTGACCGTAACTTACACTGTGTCCTAAATTTAATACAGTAGGTTCTTTTTTAGTGTTGTACTGTTGTATTTACCTTCTGAAGGAATCTGAACAGATCGAAATCTGAGGGCGGCGCTGTGGCCAATCGAGTTAGAGCGCCGCCTGGCGGACACATACAATAGGCGATTGAATCTCTCCAGTAAATGTTATTTAGTTTGCAATCCAGAGTAGAGATTTCCCCCTGTATGGTGTCTGATTTGCATCTATGCATTGCATTTGTGTAGCTTATTAATAACAAAACATGGAATATTGGCTTTGCTCATCAGAATTTAAAATCTGAAAGTCTAAATCAAATTTCTCTTTTTATGATTTAATTTCAGGAGTTTCAAAAAAATGAAACTTCGGGAGATGCCAACACCAGGAACGGTAGAAAATCCCTTGGTTAAGATCCACAGGAATTTCCCAAGGTAGAACCGAATAAATCTGTCTTCATAGATCATAATCGCACCAGAAGTTCAGACGCCGAGTCGATAAAAAAGTTGAGCAAAGTTGTTTTACTTGACAATTGCTTTGTTTGAACTTAGGATTCAGAAACTGCACTCAAAAGATTACCACCACGATCCAAACCATCCAAAGAGCCTTTTGCGGGGAAGTGCAGACACAGGCCTTCAGTTTATTTGCGAGTGCTAACTGATTCTGGATTAAGAAACTAGGAGAGAAAATGAATACAGTACTCGGATTGAAACCCTCGAGTAACAATAACCTGAATACAACTTTTTCAAATAAAAGTTTCAACAGCATCAATACCCATTAGCAGAGACGCTCTGCTTCAACAAAAAATGTTATATATTAAAGGGTGCCTCCGTAATTTTCATCATTTTCACACTATTTTCCGAATGGCGAAAAATCTGTGAAGTCTGTGAACCCAATTAGATAGAATGTCGCTATGGGTGGGTGGGGGAGAGGTGAATTCACATTTAATAATAGATTTTTATGGCTTGTCGAAAACTGGGAAGGGTTAAGGATAATTAATGATTTGAATGGAGTTGGTGCTATACTACAGTAACAATAATCGTGTCAATAAGGTGCCCGTTTTATTCAAGACCCTGGTTTGAAAAGATTAGACTTTGTGTATAAACCGTCAAGAATGATAAACAACACCAGTGATCTGTCAAAGAAGTGCCGCAAACAACAGGCGGATCTGACAAGTGCGAGAACGCATCAGACGGTCCCACTGCAATATCCTTAGAAATTAGGATCAGGTTACAGAGCAGACAGCAAAAGCAGTAATTATTGTATGTTATCGTGTTGAAGTACTGGTGTGTGTGTGTGAGTGACTGACTACACGGGCAGGAAAAAGCTACAATATCTATCTTTGATATATTCCAGTGTCATGTGCCAGTGTGTCAGTTTATGGTTCCACAAGGCTTGTTTTATGAATGGCGTTGGGAGGATGTTTTTTAATGTTATGAAGTGGGAATCAGACATTTCAGCAAAGTGATTGCACTCGATTAAAATACAGCACCGGGAACATCCGTTTAACTGGTAGCAAAATGACACCAGATAGCTGCAGTGATTCTGAATTTTATTTTCGCCGTGTTTTATGTGTCTTAGATTAATTATTTCCGTACCGTAATATCTATGTCTCATTGTGTATTTTTTTTGTTTTTAAAAAATCCCCTCATGTTTGACACCAAGTTAATATCCAGCCACGTCGTAGCGTTTGTAAATTGATCGGTTGTTTGTTGGTTTAAACGCTGTTTTGCGGTGCTCACGTTTGCAGTATCCATCAAACTTGTTTTTGGAAAGATAGATAAAAGGCAGTATGATAATCTGTCACCTTATAGATCGCATAAAGGAAATGAATCCAGGAAAGGTGATTCAAGTAGAGATCCAAAGCTCTTGTCCATGAACTCTCTGTGTGACAATCTGCCACCCAGCTGGTGAGGGATAGCATATTCCAGCCTCAAATCCACAGGGAAACTTAACAGAGAGCTCCACACCAACGCGTGCAATTCAGCTAATACATATTTGTTTCACATCTAAAGATAAAGATAAGAGCTACCTTCTCGTGGCTTGATGCAAATTTCGCCATTAGTTGAAACGGGAAGAGAAAAGAAACGTTTACAGACGTGAGCAGCGAGATAGTCATATGGTATGAATGTAAGTTGTACATTCTCACATCCCAGATTTAATGTAGAATAATTCATAAAATATTAATATAAAAGGTATCCTGATAAAAGACAGAAAAGAGGAAACACACACACAGCACATAGGAACAGTGGCACACACTAACCAACACTGCACAACGTACAGTTGGTTACCTGAACCCACACAAACCCACATCACATACACTATACCCTTAACAATAAGGCGCTATATCAAATGCGAGGATAACAACAACAACTTGAACTTATATAGCGCTCTCCACGCAGGGTAGCGCATCAGAGCGATAATATACATATATATGTTACAACACAGAAAATGCAGTAGGTGATGTGATAATTTTCATGTCCTGCACGGAGTCTCCTCCCCACACAATATTCCTGCATAACACATACAGAAACTAACGCATAAGCGCAAGTTAGCAATTACAAATATAAACTCAGACATAATAACCCATGTGCAGCAACGTAAAATATATACAGATATGCGAACATATACAGATTGTTTGACTGAGTCGAGATCCAGACCGAGGAGCGGTGTCAAGTCTCTGTATATACATCAGATCAATGAACAGATATACATTTCAAGTAAATGACATCTGTCATTTTTAAGCCTCTTTCGTCCTGCGCTTGACGCCACTTTTTGACGTGTGTGGTAAAGCATTCCGGGATAAAACGTCGTTTTAAAGCACATTGTTGGCTTTTAGATTCAAAGCAGGCGCCCTGTCTGGCTGTTTTTCGATGGCACAGATATGTAGCTTTAAAACTGCCAAGTGCAATTGCAGGATATTTCGCCATCGGTTGTGCAGTGAGTCCAATAAACTGAACACAAATCATGCTTAAGAGATATGTGGTGCACATTTATAACGCGTTCCAGTTCTCTTTTAACTCCACCTGGATATTGTATTTCAAATATATAATATATGTTACATATCAAATATATATGTTACATTATCAAATATATAATATAACCATTCGGTCTGTCAGTAACGGAAATACTAGTTCTCGTCCAATTGAGGATGGTCAAGTAAAACATCATCGACACTGAAACTATTAAATTACTGATAAACAAAGAGATAAATGTCTGCAGTATTGAAATGCTGATTAACTAACGGGAATATTTCGAATGATTTATGATGAGTCGGAATACTAATACTGTACGGTAGCGCCGAATGTTCTGGGTGACAATCACATTATTCCAGTTAGCGGGCGTATTCCGGGGTTTATTTCCGAGGACCTTTGCACAGGTCGCTTTCCATCTCTGCAGACAGTGACATCTGTTGCATTCTCCCCAAAGCCAGGGTTTCTTTCTCATTGTGGTGCCTGGTGAGAGAATCTCATCGCTGTGATTTATGTCACGGTCTCAGCTTCCCCACGAACAACCCAGCGATTGCAAATAGTCAACAGACCTACAGGGGCTGAGCTGCCCTTCCAGCCCATAAATAGTCAGCTCTCAAACCAGCTCCACAGGACAAAGATCTGCACAATGAGTCCACGGGTTGCTACATGGAGCGCTCTGGGACGCTACCACGCGTGAGGGGCTTGAGTTGCAACACCAGCAACTTTTTTTTTGCATTTAAAGAGCGCTTCTCACGCAGGGTATCGTTGTTATTGTTGTTGCTATAATAAAATGAACCCCCCCCCCCGTTTAAAATAACATCGTTTTAAATGATGGGAAGGCAGTAACTATTACCCTGGATTTATTTTAGCATTTCTTATTATATGCAGTTAATATACTGTGTGTACGATTCTACACATATATGTATATCATGAAATCCACGCATCCTGGAGCAGCTAATGCTTATTTTCCGGTATTGCTCTCTCTGTGGCGATTCGCTCTAACATCTGCCCTTCCCTGTTCACCCCGAGACAAGCTGATAAGCCTTGGAAACTTATCGATCGAGGACACAACAACAACAACAACAACAAGAAGGACATTAACAATAAACAAAAAAATGAATTATTCCAATGAATCAAAAACACAGGGCAAGACTGTCTTAACGGGTATTTCTTCTCATGTGTTTCGCCCATAAAGTATACAGTCAATTCACTTCACAGTGTATCCCGTGAAGCGCTTTGAGACGACTCAACGACGTGTTCAGGCGCTCTATCAAATGCAAGACGTATTAGTAATGTTACACGTTCTAGCGCTATCACTGTATTGCTTGTTGGAATATATTACTGGAATGATTACTTTGCTTTTGGAAGACTGGGGAGGTTAAAAAAAAAACTCTTCCAGAAGGATAAATCAGTTTGCTCGAGAGCTTTTTCCGAACACTGGAGTAGTGACCATCATTAGTGCATACAGTAGTAAGGGCTTTGGTACGGTAAGTGCAGCACACAAGGGAATGCACACCTCCCTCTCCCTCTCTCGAGGCTATTGCCTTAGGGTTAGGGTTAGGGTTAACCCCCTCTGATCCCAGAAATGAGATTTATTTATTCCATCGATATTGGCTCCGCAGTGTTTTCTGAAACGAATCTCTGCCACTTTCCCGCAGCCGGAACCCCCCAAATCCCCCAAAGTCTCTGCTTTAATGTTCTCCTTAATATACTCCGAGGACCGAGGGGGTGGTTTGAAGATGTTGATTTCTTTACGATGACACGCGTTCTACCCACTAGTTAGATGTCCTCTGCAGGCGATCAATCGATTGGTGTTGGTTTAAGGAAGCCGCGGAGCTCATTTGCTTTGGGGATTAGATTTGCACCGAAAGGGACCAGAAGTACCTTTTAAAACGCAACGTGGGGATTCGTTGTGTCGGTGTGACTTCGCCAAATACAAAAAAAAATCACGCCTTTCGTGAAGCCACAGACAAACATTGCGGGCCTTGGTTTATTTTCAATTGAAAATGGTTGGGATAGGGTTAGGATTAGGGCGATTATGCATATACAGTGCGGTGTGACATGTAACCAGCAAAATAGCCATCGTTAACCCTAACAGTGACTGTAACCAATTCTGCTCGCCCTCTGTCTCGTGCAATGTTGCCGTCTGGTTAACCCCAACTCCCAAACCAAGACAAGACGCTCATTTGTGTTAAATTCCACTTGTTCCTACTCATCCCCAAACCTACCCCAAACCTGAAACAGCAACACTTTGCACAAATAAGAACCGAAGTACTTTATGGAGTCAAGCGAAGGCTGAACGTGTCCTATAGAAGACGGAGCCAGTGGTTTTGAAGGCTCCTGACTGTTCTGCTCTCAGGCACTATTTAGGAAATGCTAGAATAAGGTTTGAATATGACATTGAAGTTGTCAAAAATATTGAAGGAGCCATTGACCTGCTTCTCTTTCAAATGCTGATTGGCATTTGCAGTGTACCTTCCTCCTTTGTGGCATGAAACATAACGCCTCTTCTGAATGAGGGGAACGCCCTTTCCAAATATGTACCGTTAAAGTTTTATGAATAATACTTTCTAATTCTGAAACATATACAGCCTACGCTCCCGGGCACACTTGCCAGGTACTCAGGTGTGGTGGAAAGCCTATATCTCAATGGTCATCAGTGGATTGTCATTATATGCATTCGCAACTCGAATTTATCGGAGCTGAATTAGTTATTCAACAGTTCTGATATTAACGGATTGCTAAAAATCATGTGAGATGAGGTTACATTTATTCAAATCAAAAGCAATATTTCCATCAGGGTAACAAATCCGAATACAATTTTTTCCCAAATTGTATGAAATATTCACACTTAATTACAAGCAGAGAGACTGAGCTGTTATGTAAACATTAACCACAACTTTGAATTATTTCATGTGAGAACTTTCTCGCCGTGGAAACTTTATTTCCAACAAACATAATGATAGGAGCGGTTTTTCTACTACAGTATCATACTTCTGGTTTATACGGACCCGACAGATCCCTTTTTGTAACCAAATTAAGGCAACAAAACGGTAATTCAGAGCTACATGTTAGCGGTGTAGTCAACAGATTCGTTTATTTTCTGAATAATCAGTACGTTTTCTCTCACAATGCCAAATCATTGCAAGAAACAGTTCTGAAAATTATTAAGATAAGTAAATGATTAAAACGTAGTTTATAGATAATATGCTGAAAAATATGAGGAGCTAAGTATAAATATGGGCGTATTATCCATCTGTTTAATCAACACTCTTTACATTTCTATAACGTTAGGATAAGTACCTGTACATTTGTGTTTTGTTTATATAGCTGTGTTTTTATGTGTGTTGCATGCAATCATATTTGTACAACTGTGTATGTTACATTATTTGTGTGTATGCATGCATTTGTGGAATCCTGTAGCTCAGTGATTAGAGCACTCGCTTTGCAAGTGAGAGACCTGAGTTCAATTCCAGGCAGAGGGCAAAACCTTGGGCAAGTTTCCTTACTCCACACACCTAATAATAATCCCTCCAAAACCAAAAACAATAATAAATTGGTCATTTTCAATCTACGACTGTTTGTGGGACATTGCTGTGCGCGATTGGCTGCCGTGTTCGCCCACAAATATACAGTCAATTCACTTTACAGTGTGTTCTGTGAAGCGCTTTGGGACGTCCTCCCAACGCGAAAAGCGCTATATCAAATGCAAGGATGATTATTATTATTATTATTATTTATTATTATTATTATTATTATTATTATTATTATTATTATTATTATTATTATTATTATGTACAACTGTGTACATTACACATTATTCATAAAAATAATAAGAATTCGGTCACTCAATCCACGCTTGTTTGTGGGACACCGCGGTGCGCAGTCGGCTGGCGCCTTTCGCCCACAAAACAACCGGTCCGCTCACTTTACAGGATATTCTGTGACGCGCTTTGAGACGTCTCGAAGATGTGATGAGGCGCTATGTCAAATGCAAGGATTATTATTATTTTTATGATGATGTTGCATACACACGTGTGTATCTATATATATATATATATATACACTGTAGCTAAGAAAGAGAGAGAGAGAGCTGTCAACATCAGTCCAGAGAGAGAGAAAGACAGAGCTAGAAATAGAGAGAGAGAGAGAGAGAGATAAATAGAGAGGTAGAGATTTTTGACAGCTGGTAGTTGTAGAGGTAGAGCTGAGTGTGTTCCCTTCCCCCCCCTCCACTCCCCTCCCCCACTGCCCCTCCCCCCCCTCCACTCCCCCTCCCCCTCCACTCCCCCTCCCCCCCCACTCCCCCTCCCCCTCCCCCTTCCACTCCCCCTCCCCCTCCCCCCCTCCTTCCCCCCACTTGCCCCTGCGGACCACGTGCTCACACTGTCCAATCAGCGGCCCAGTGACGCTTGCGCCGGCGGAGCCGGGAGCCAATCGGAGCGCGGTCTCGGGGCTCGCCGCGCCGCCGCAGCTCTCGCGAGACCTGCCGAGCCGCCAGTCAAGGACCGGCCGAAAAATGTCCCGAATTTTCTCGAGGCGTCGAACGGCGGCGGCGGCGGTGAGTCTCCCCCGGCGGCGGCGGGGAGGGGAGAGAGAGGGGGAGAGAGGGAGGGGAAGGGGGGAGTGTGAGAGAGAGAGAGAGGAAGCGGCCTGTGGTTAGTTATCGAGTCCCTGGTCTCTCGGGATCGGGAGGCCGCCCCTCCCCCTCACCCCACCGGGGGGACAGGGACAGTCCGGCAAAGGCCCAGAGTCTGGCCTCCCAGCAGCCAGGCCTCACCCCAGCCTCGGGGCTTTGGTGACTTTCGGTCCGCAGTCGTTCCCGGGACGTCCTCCCGCCGACGTGAAAGGCGCTCTACGAATGGAATCTTCTTCTTGTTGTTGTTGTTGTTGTTGTTCAGCATCGAGAGTTGCAGAGGTCACTCCCGTCTCCTCGTCTCCATTCCCTCTTCCAGAACAGTCGGAGAGGAACAGGTGGCTGTCCTCTCGGGGTTTTTTTTTCTTTTCCGCCCCCAGAAATGATTCCCGATTTTTTAAAAATATAGATAGATATATACAATTAAAACGTTTTACATCTATATATATATATCTTTTTTTAAAAAAAAATCAACGTGTGATCTGCAGTTTGCCCCATCACTGTGTCACTTGTTTTGTGATGGGAATGACCTTTGGCTCCTCACTCACCCCCTCCATATGTCAGGTAAAGCTACTTGTGGGGTCCGAGGAGTGTCAGACTGGTGAGGCTGTCTGGGGTGAGGGTAGAGGACGCGTGTCCTATGGATTGTAAACCTATTGACATGAATAGATACGGGTCTCTTTCATACATTATGTGTCCCTCTACCCCCACCGCGACATACAAGGGAAATAATATTGTTGCACTTTCAGTGATTCATTCCAATGACATTGTTCAAAGTAATTCATTCATTGAGTTGCTCTGAAGTGCTACCAGTGTATATGCTACCAAAGTCCCACAAGCAGCAATGTGATTAGTGACCAATTAAACGGTTTATATTTTGCTGAGGAGGAATATTGGCCAGGACAGTGGGAGGACTTCATGCTTTTCCTTGAAATGGGGTCAGTTCATCTTAAATATCTGTGTGATGTATGTCACTGGATTATGCAGAAGGGAATTTATCCCAGTCTGCAGGCCAAGAATCCCCAAATAAATTTGGACACTTGCACCATGCCTGTTTGTGGGATACTGCCGTGTGCAAATTGTCTGCCAAGATCCCCCACAACATATGCCCTGTCGTACCTCTTCGCAGTGTGTCCCGTGAAGTGTTTTGAACATCTCAATGATGTGATGAGACACAATATCAAATGCAAAAATTATTGTTATGCAAGTAGTTTTATCCCCATTTAAAGAACCCTTTTGGGAAGAAAAACAAGTTGATGATGGTTCAAACAACTGCAGATAGCAAGTTCCAACGGTCAACTTGTGTAATTTTCAACTGAAGTGGTTTTGTACCATGTAATTTGAAGAGCAGTGATACTGGGTTTCACAACAGCTGAAAACTCTAGAGGCAGAATCAATCAGAATGTTTATAAGATTGATACTTGGAGAAAAAATGGGGAAATGGATTAAAAGATTTGCCTTAATATAATAAACTAATGGAACAGCCTCGATAGGCTGAAGGCCTCCTCCTGTCCAGTGTTCCTATTGTGATTGTACTGTATACACATTAGACCTTGCTGGCAAATAACAGCAGATTATTTTGCAATACATTTGTAGTGATGATAAGGGTATTGATCCACTGGTTGGAATGTTATGTTCAGGACTTGAAATATACTGAAATTTAATGTTAGCATTGTGTTGTTTGAATTCAGCTTTTGGTTTTGCACACTTATCAGTTACTGCCATGTAATCAATCTCATTTTTTTCATTTTAAAAGGCTAGTTCTGCAAATGTTCAGCTATAAAAGAAAAATCAGTTTGTGTAAAATAATAATAATAATAATCCTTGCATTTGATGTAGCGCCTTATGTCTTCAAGACTTCTCAAAGTACTTCACAGAATATACTGTAAAGTGTAGTGGTACAGTACAGATCTTCTTGTGAAGCCTTGGTTTTTACCTTCACTAATGCCTTGGCAAGATTATCCAATGAATAGATGGTATAATCTAATCACCTGAGCTGAGTTAATTGACTGCAGAATGGGCAGAAATAGGGCTGGTACAATTGGCTTTAGTGCCCCATGGGTAGGGAGGGGAAAATTAACTAGGTTTCCTAGTTGATATTTGACGCCCCCCCAGGAATGTCCGGTCCCGGTCTCAGGATTTAGACTTAGCTTCATTGCTCTCTGCAGTTTGAATAGTTTGCTACCACTTGCCAAGGTTCAAATATGAATAATGTCCACTTGGACAAGTTACAGCATGGCGCTATGGAACCTTAGCAAAGGAAAAAGGGGAAAAGAAGGATTCCCAATATCTTCTCTGGAGGGAAGGAGGGAAGAAACTAGGTAGTTGGAAGAAAAAAGTTGAAATAGAATAATTCCATTGTGTTTTAATTCTTCCACTTATTCATTATTTTTATTACTATAACCTTCCAATTTTGTTACGCAAAGAAAAAAACGAGTCTAAAAAGTATTAGTCCTGTAATATTGTAATGTGGAGTCCTGTAGCTCAGTGGTTAGAGCACTTGCTTTGTAAGCGAGACACCTGGGTTCAATTCCAGGCAGGGCGAAACGTTGGGCAAGTTTCCTTACTCCATACACCTAATAATAATCCCTCCAAAACAAAAAATAATAATATATTGGTCATTTTCAATCTATGACTGTTTGTAGGACACTGCTGTGCGCAATTGGCTGCCGCATTTCGCCCACAAATATACAGTCAATTCACTTTATAGTCTATTCTGTGAAGCGCTTTGAGACGTTGAGAAGACCTGAAAAGCACTATATCAAATGCAAGGATTATTATTATTATTAAAGAGCAGGAATGACCGATTCTTAGTAAAATGTTTTTACCTCCTTTTCATAGGTCAGTTATCTACACAGATTTCAGAGCACTCTGGTAATAGTAGAGCACAACAATGAGAAACTGACTCCCGTTACACTGAATGCCATCACAGCTGCCAAGCAGCTTGGCGGGAGGTGACCTGTTTGGTTGCTGGCACAGACTGTGCCAAGGTAAGAAATGTTTCTTTAACATACTGAATTTAAATTAAATTGTTAGTGTATTATGTGGTGTACTTTTTTTCCAGTACTAGAGCTAGATCAAAACCAACCGCAGCTTTACCTTGATGTTACACAGCGCTGCATTTGCTGAGATATCACTGTAGGAAATGTTAACTGATTAGTGCCAACACTTTCTTAGATCAGGCAGCATGAAGGCTGACTGAACCTAAACATACATGGTACTTGATAAAACTTATCTTTATTCAGTACCTGTTTTTCTCTGTGAGATTGTGTTTCCGGAAAGGGGCGAACACGGTTGATGGGAGTTGCTTTAAGTGTGCTTGGTTCATTAAGATTTTTCTGATGTATAAAATGTATCCATTTGATTAACAATAAATATATATGCATGACATGTGGTTCGCAAGTCTGAATGTTTGGCTAATAATTAACATTACTCTGTCCGTTCTATTTATCTTTACTTCTTGTGTGCAGTTTTTTTTCTCTCTCCAGTTGGTTTATTTATCCCACTTATTTTATTCAGCTTGGTATCATGGATGATGAGTGGAACCAAATCAAGTTAACCAAGGATATTCTATATGTCCATTGTTACAAAATCAGTTAATGTTGGCATAGACCTTGTCTTGTGCACTTAAAGGAACATTGAGTTAAAGAACTAAGTCACCAAGCAACCGGGTTACCCAAGCACTGCTGCTGCCTGCATGTCACTAGGCCAGATTATATTGATCACTGTTTGCATTTCAATTACAGGTGGCGGAAGAGATCAGTAAAGTGCAGGGTGTGAAGAAGGTGCTCATAGCTCAGAATGATATATTCAAAGGTTTTCTACCAGGTGAGAATAGACATCATCATACTGTTTGATCGCAAAGGAGCACCATGACACTTTTTTTGGTTGGTGGGGGACTATCATTATTATCTAACATGTGTGGAAACCCATCACTGTGTCTAAGCATATCCAAATCATTCTGAAAAATTAACATGGTAATTTCCCTATGTCTCTCTCCCTGGAGGTATACACCACGCTTACCCAATGATTTAGGCACAGGTTGGCAAGAACCGTAGCTCACGGAGTTTGTTAGGGTTCTGCTGGAATGTTGAAAATAAAAATAACAATTTTGAGTTATGAGTTGGTAAATTAAAGGGTTGAATGGTGCAACAGTCTGTTATAGTCACGTCTATAGTAATAACGTTAATCTGAGGTCCCATCTACCTGATCAGGTGGACTTTAAAGATCCCATTGCACTATTTGAAAAAAAGAAGGGAGCTTGACTGAAGGAACCCGGCCAACAATCCTTCAGCCAAAATTGGTCATTCACCTCGCACCTGTTTGTGGGACATTGCTGTGTGCAAATCGGCTGCCACATTTGCCTACAATTGCACAGTCACTACACTTCACAGTAAATTCTGTGAACCACTGATGTTTCAATGACGTCACAAGGTGCTGTATTACATGCAAGTATTATTATAATTTGGGGCCCTGTCCTTGAAAATGCTTCTTGCTTCTCTCTCATTGGGTAAGTTTTCAGTGCAGCTCTGCTTTTGTGGCAGCATTTGCAATGTGTTTTTCTTTTCTGTGTAATATGCATCCATTCACTCTCTCTTCATGTTGTGGGTCTAACATTCAACTTGCTGTATTGTTTACAGAGGAGCTCACTCCACTGGTGCTGGCCACACAGCAGCAATTTAAATTCACGCACATCTGCGCAGGGGCTTCTGCCTTTGGAAAGGTGAGTTAAATATCAACAAAGCATCAAATGATTCTTTGTTTTTTTTGGTTATGACATGTTGCTGTGCATTGAGATGAAGTTGCTTGCTGTGGCACTTACCTTGTTCACCTGTTACCAAGAAAGTCGATCAGGACCTCGTCTTACATATGTGCTGACTACACATTGCGATCTATAAGGTCTTGAAATGAAAAATAAGGAATATGGAGATACAGCTAGAAAGTGGGATTAATAAAAGAAGGACTGCTTAAAAAAAAGACTCATTTCAAACATGAAAATGTGCTTTACTCAATGTATCCAGATTACCTTCCAATCATTTCTGCATTTCCCAGCAACGGCCTTTGCTGTGTTCACCAGTGTACCACACTAACTAGTTTGGTTCATTGCCAAGTGTGTGGCTATAGAACCAAAGGAGGCCTCTTGCTCAGAGTACTTTACATTCTATAAATGGTTTGGGGCTTGAGTTTCTTTCAGTAATGCCTCTGAAGTGCTGCAACACTTCCTGTTGATTTTTTTTTCCCCTGCAATATTTCATGTTATTTTTGGAGCTGTCAGCTCACCGACTTAATGGTGCCTCAATTAAATTACAGTACATTACATAGTGCATTATATATCATAAGTTATGTTTTATCAAATTAGTCCTTCTTTCCCCACTCTCCTTGTGGGCTGCCATTTCCCACATTTCACAGTAATAGGCCAATTAGCTCTCCTTCCTACTGAAACATTAGATTTAATGCAGCTTTTCAGTGCGATAAAATTACTGTTTCACTGTTGATGAGTAAATGGAGATGTGAATCAGGATTAAAATATCTCATTAAGTAATGCATTTTAAAGTCTGTACTTCTATAAACAAAAATAAAAGGAAATAATGGTGTTTTGAACCCATGATATATTATCCACAAAATGGTACGATCGCAGATTTTGAATTCAAATTTTAAAAAATGTTTGCAATCCTGTCTGTAATGAACTATTTAATCTTGCATCTTAAACATTGGTGTTTCCAATCATTCTGCTGTAAAGGGCTCCTGTTAAGATCTTCTTCCTTCCCCTTGGTTCGAAAGTAGGGTTATAATTTGGAAACTGATGTCACTCTTTGTCAGCTCTTGTGCTCACCCACATCTGGACTGTTAAAGGAGATAGGGTACATTCAGCCACTAATGCAGAAGATGGTTATGGAAGAATGCGTTTGATGTTTTGTGGGGCTGTGTGTTTGGGAATTCCTGTGCTGGATGACATTGACTGCGCACAGAGAATCAGCTGACTCACTCTTTAGACAATGAACTGCAGTTTCTCAGAAGTGTATAGCCATTCATAAAGTGTTTGAATGCCCTTCTCCCACATCGTCCTGCTGATTTAACTGTCTTCAGAATTATCACTGCTGGGTATGTCGATAGATTTTATTCCTTCAATTAAAAAAAGAACTCTGATGGGGTGCTATATTGCCTTTTCATTTCTAATGATACAAGAGAGAAACTGCCCTGTCTGTTCCCTTCAATTAGAAACTTCATTTGGAGCTGGAAACCAATCGAGAACTCATCACGTGAGTTTATGTACAGATTGGGGATCTCTACTTTACACAATACTAAGTATTCTTGTATCAGAAATACATTTGTAAATTCAAGGATGACAGTGGGGGAAGTTTTCTTCCAAGTCGCCTTTTGCTTTTAATAGCAATTCCGTAAACAAGACCTCAAACTGTGAATGTCTATAGGTAATACAGTATGACATTGAGCGTAAGATACAAGCTGATGCACGTATTACCCCAAATAAAATATTAGGAGCTAAAAGTTAAAGCGATAGCTGTTGAAGGGGTAAATAGGGAAAAAAATATTTAGCTGCAAAATCGGTGACTAGTCTCAGGATTGTTAGCAGAAGAATTAAAGTTTTTAACTATTTGCCATTATGTCCTTACAGAATCTTGTTCCCAGGGTGGCTGCCAAACTCGATGTTGCCGCAATCTCTGACATCATTGAAATCAAGGCACCGGATACATTTGTCAGACCTATCTATGCAGGTAGGCCAAGATGAAATCTGTTTTGTTGGTTGATGTGTAACCAAAAACAATTAAGTGACTAGTAATTATTTTATCAACACTGTTTTATTGAAGTTACAAACTACTGTCTTTGAACCACTCCCAGAACCATTTATATTCCAGTGTAATTTGGACAAGGATCTGGCACAGAATGTGAGAAACCTGTCGACCTGAGGCGATCCATCACTCCATTATTTCTATCCATGACACTGCATCTATTATTTCCTTTTGTTAGTTTCAATTAACACCTGGAAAGAATAGAATAGTTGCCATCCGTAGCTTGTTCCTCTCCGTGTGTTGACAGCAGACTGGTGTACTGTTTCAATGATAGAAAAGTGACTTGTTTTTGTCCAGGGAATAGTGGGACTTGCTTTTGTGATTCCCAACAGTGGGATATGCTATGTAATGGAGCCAAAGTCGAATGAACAAGTTTTGAAAGGAAAGTGACTGTAGCATATTCAGATCTTAATATTTTGGGTCTTTAACTGTTTGTACCTCTTACCACAGTTGAAAATAATTTGAGGGAGGAATATGAATAGGAGTATTAAGGATATAGATGCATTTATCCCTATTCTGATTATTCTCATCCTGTACAGTGGCAATTTTTTTCTCTCTTGCTAAAAAACGTTCCAAGTCACTGCCCTGAGTGAAGGGCACTGTATAAATGCAATTTGTTGTTGTCCAATTCCTAAATCTTGCTGTTTTTCATAGGAAATGCCTTGTGCACAGTGAAGTCCAGCGATGAGGTGAAGGTTTTCTCGGTGCGAAGCACTGCTTTCGAAGCTGCTCCTACAAATGGAGAAACAGCGAGTTCTGAGCAAGGTGAGTGCTGCTGAACTTTCAATTGTTAACCATTTTCCATCATCTAAAGTTTTGATTTGCAATGCAATTTTTAAAAAAAGTTGTTTTAAAATGATTGAAAGTTATCTTTAAATGTTGTTTGTTTATTAAGGGCAATCAGGTAATTGGCTACTCATCTCATTGTGATCTGGGGTTCTGCTGGCCCAAATTAGCTGCTGTATTTGCCTGCAAAATAGCATTCGCTTTATTTCTAATTTTGTGCCGTGCTTTGAAATATTCTTTTACGTGCCGGGCACTGTATAAATGTAAGAGATTGCTGACTTTCGGTCTCCTCGTTCTGTTTTTCTGTTTAGTTTCTTCGCCTCCTGGAGCAGGGTTGTCTGAGTGGCTTGGACAAAGCCTATCTAAAAGTGACCGTCCAGAGCTGACAAGTGCAAAAACTGTTATATCTGGTGGTAAGGTGATTTTTGATGGTTTGTTAGCAAATATTCATGGTTTAGTTTATGTCAAACTAAATTCCTGTGTTTGCTACCAGTTATTTGGGAGCTTTTTAAATGTCTAAAACATTTCTCTCATTTAAATACATTTCCAAAACAGAACGACTGAATCTTTAATAGATTCCCTGTGAGTAGTAATGAAAATTTCCAGAGCATTCGGCAGTTACACGTAAATAATTTCTGTAATATTATCTCTGCAATCTAATATGCCACTTGCGTTGCCACAGAAGGTGTGAAGATGGAGCTTAATTTGATGGATCTAAAGTGGGGAATGACCAGATTCTTGCATTCAGCAGTCATTGTTCATTAGGACTTGTGCTGTCAATCAGAGAGTGTGACAGAGGTGTCTATAGAGTGCCCCTATCCACAAAAGCAATTATGTACACAGCACCTTGCTTTTGAATGACCTACTTCAGATTTCTTTGTGTTCCTAAACGATGAGGAGGCGTGTAAAATATGCTGAAGAATCTAATTTTATGTGCCAATCTGTATCTGGGGGATACATATTTAAGAAAATCACAAAAATTACAACTATAACAACTTGAATTTATGTAGTGCCCTTCACATAGGATAGCATTTCAGAGCACTGTAAATGAAATGGAAGGTTTGAAAAAAAATCTTTACACAAAGGGTGGTGTGGAATTCGGAACACAAACCATCGTTGAAGCAGACACCAAAAAGCCTTTTAAATGGGAATTGGGTACACAAGAATATTAAATTATTTGCGGAGCGAGCAAGAGAATATCCCATGGGAATATGTTCCTGTTGTCACATTGAAATGATATTTTGACTATTTAAATTTTAGCTTCAGGAAAAAAATGAATTCCATTAAAATTTCTTCTCAGATTTAAAATGGAGGCCCTGTCCATGCAAACTATTTGCTTATGAGCTAGGTATTGGGACAAAGTAAGAGTAGTTTCAAACTAAATAACATTTCACTCATTTGTCTGCAGCTCCTAGGATGGTGAATCTGATTTTCTTTCTCCTCATTTGTCATATATAATGTATACATGTCTATTTAGACCATTACCAGAAGATTAAAAAGCTACTATTGATCCTCTTATACAGATCTTGCATTTTCATATATATTGTTGGGTTTAATATTGGTTACCAGGTCGTGGACTGAAGAGTGGGGACAACTTCAAATTGCTCTACGACCTGGCAGACAAGATGAATGCTGCAGGTAAGTGCATTGCCTCCCACTGTAGGTGAATTTAGTTTCTTATCTTAATATTTGCTGCTAGTTTCCCCTGATGGCCGAATGGGTAATGCATGGTGCAGTATGATCCACACTGGAGAATCGTAGTTTGAAATCCTGCTGAGTTATTTGATCTCAGCTAGGTCAGCAGTCAGGACTGCAATCTGCCTCAGTCCCCCCACCCCTGCTTAGTGAGGGGAAAATAAGCCACAATTCCCACTTCTGATGGAGGAGAATGTTTTACAGAAATTTATATCCTCATCCCTCCCGTCCCTCCACGCTGCTATTTAAACTTCTCACAATTCGGTTACCTCATTCCTACATTTATCTCTTTGTTACTACCTCTGATGAGCATATTGACTAGCTGGACTAAGGTTCCATGAGAGGCGTCCCTATGGTGCACTTGTTTTCTTTTTTGGCAAACTGCACTCTTGAGTCATTACATGAACTTTGCGTCGATTCCTTGAAGAAGCAGATGATCTGTTCCCAGATTCCTGTGGCCGTGGCTGTTCAGCTAGCCTGTGAGAGAAGACCGAGCTAAACAAGTCTGTGATAACTACCTTTGAGGTTTTTGTCATTTCCCCCTTTCCAGAGTTCGAGCTTCTGTTCACACTTGGTTTCAAGGCTTGCGATGAGACCTCGCTGCATGGGGTAACTTGGTCGGACAGCGTCACTTGGTGTTGGATCACAGTAGATTTGGAAATGATCCAATTGGCTGTCTGTGTGAAACACTAATACTGCTGGCAATATAAAAAGAAAATCTGAAACCTGGAATTCTAAACTAAATCACAAGTTCTGGAAATTAGTTAACAGGAGGTCAGGCAGCATCTAAAAGAGAAAGATTGTAAAGGTTTAGAGCTTTTAAGGGATGGACTGTCAGAGCCTAATGATGTCAGTGACAATGTGTGCATGTGGCAAGTGATGAATTGGAAGTTGACCGTGGTAAACTGGCTCATCAGAGGTACCGTGTTTCTGATTACTGCAGGCCGCAGGCTCACAGAATACGCTGTTCTATACCTGGAAGCTACAATGTGTTATGACAGTTCCTGTGGTTTCTGATAATGTAATGATGATACTATTATTATCTATTGCAGTTGGTGCATCACGAGCCGCTGTGGACGCAGGATTTGTACCCAATGATATGCAGGTTGGACAGACCGGCAAAATCGTAGCCCCTGTAAGTACAGCATTTGGACTGGAGTTACTGTGTGAAGTGACCAGTTTTGATTGAATGTAACTGATATTTTGGCAGGATAATAAACATGAGTTCTTGGTATTGAGATGGTGGTACGCCAGTAAGTGAGCATTATAGCATTATGTTGAAAGAAGGTATATCTTTAGAGTATGTCTGCAGTCTTCTCCCTTTCTCTTATAAGTGCTGACTTTCACTAGCCCAAGTGGCCTTGCCCATGTACACTATCCAGGAGGAACTGGATAATGATCAGGAGCAGAAAACCACGGCTTATTTTCTATTACCTTTCCTAGTCTGGGTGACGAGGGCCAATTGTAGCACTTCCGATTGCTGTCTGGGTAAGATCAAAAAATGCAACACCATCCAGGAATTGGCCTATATGGTTTAGTACAAAGCTTCAATCCACTGGGCCGTTAAGTTGAGTGATTTCTAACACCAAAGGAATTTCATATTTGACCGTGCATTCATTTTAATCATTTTCTGTACAGCACTAGCTGGACTATATATAGTGCTCTGGTCAGGTCGCACCTAGGATACGGCATACAGTTCTAGTCACCTTAAAAGGGTTGCTCAGGCCCTAGAGGCAGTGCAGAGGAGAGCAACGAGGGTGGTCCTCATTGTTAGCGGAATGAGCAATGATTAGACAAGCTTGGGCTCTTCAAACTTGAGAGAAGATGACTCAGAGGGGACCTTGTTGTGATGTTTAACATTTTAAAATGGATTAAAAAGTAAAGAGAACATTTGTTTCGAGTTGCAAAGGACAATTTCAGGACATATACCCGGACGTTTTTCTTCCCTAGAGGGTAATCCACAACTGGAACAAGTTGCCTGCAAGCCTGGTTGAGACCAAGACATGGGACTTGTTTTTTAAAATAAAAGCTTGATGCTGTGAATGGAAGGATAGTAGGATGGGCATTCTGGAGGGACGAGACCAGAAGGCCAAAGGGCCTTCTTCATTTGAACTAATGTGATCTTGCGAATTGTGTTGTAATAATGTGTTGTGAGACTGACTCATGTTTCTTGGTTGAATGTATACTGACTTGCATGCTTACATAGCCTGTCATGCACCTTTAACAAGGTCACATGCCTGTGCCTTTTTGCTGTTCAATCTCTGTTAATGCTGCTGTAATGGACAGTTGGATAGTGCAGGAGGCTTGTGCAACCCCACCATTCCTCTCCCAATCCATTTGCAAATATAATTAAATGAGAGGTTTGTTGAATTGTACAAAAAACTCCTCCTTTATAAATGGTAGTTAAGTTTCACAGCAGCTTAGCACTATGTTATTGCAAGTTTCTTGCGATCCAGTTCAGTATACGATTGAACTTGAGCGATCCAGAGAATGAAGTAGACAAATTTCATGTATTCACAATCGAGCATTTGCCTTAGGGGTATAAAGCTAATTAGTTGTGCGGATACTGCCTTCAGAGCAGTAATTCAATGATAAAAAATGTACACGCTGGGAAGAGTTTAATGCTCAAGCAAATTGTGCATTGTGCATGTAGGCACTGGAGTATTTGAGTTGGTATTTTATTCCCCAAAGGTTGACAGTAAGATGTTTCACTCTGTGTGTTCCAAAGATGACTGCGATGTAGAGGTTCCATTAACTAGGAATTCAGGGTCACGGGGCTCCCAGTTTGAATCAAACACTTTAAAATTTAACAAAGTGGGTGGGTACTGGCCAAGGCTCTTCCTTTTGATATCCTCTCTGCATCCTATTTTTGCAACATTGCTAAAATCTTGTTTAAATGTAACTATGGAAGGAAGCAGCACAAATGTGCTTTTTATTTTCCGATTGCACAAGGAAGTTGTGATTGACAACTAGAATATGGCACCTATCCCATCTTAGTTCAGAATTTAAAAATTGTGAAATAAGTATTTATAAAAATATATGATTTGTTAAACATTTGCATTACAGAATTTTCTTGCAGTTATTATGCTGCATGTCGAGTCTGCTTGTTGTAAAGCACCTTAGCCCACTATGATATAATCATCTCCCTTGTTGGAAATAGTGTAGCTCTGGAGGAAGCTGCAGGTTCTCTTTGGTGCTTATGTCGTTTGTACTTCAGCAGAATGCATTTAGTAACAATGCCTCTGGCAGTGATATGTTCTTAAGCGTGCAGTAAATGCAGTGACCGATTGTGCCTCTGCAAAATAATGCATACCTTCCAAAGGGTTAATTGTTCAGCGTTCAACTGGCTCTGAACTTCTGAATCTTTCATTTAATCTTCCATTAAAGATGTTGGACGTTGTAGAGTTTTGCCTAAGGAGACCTAGAGACTTTCACTGCCACTGCAGCTAAAGCTCTGAATGGTTCACGAGACCCATAAGTGCAGAAGAGTAATGTGCATTGAGAGTAAACCAAGCCTCTAATCACAGAAGTGCCTATATTGCTCAACAAAATGTAGGTGGAATTATTTTGCTCTCTGGATATAGTTTTTTTCAGTGCTTGCAGAATTTTAAGTTAACTCAGTTCTTGACAAGATGCACAGCATGCCTTAATGTGAAGTTAAAACCTGGATTGTTTGGTGGGTAAATGTGGACAATTTATTTGGCTAAAATGTCAGTTGGTGCTCTTTTGAAGAAAAATTGATTTTAATGAATACAAATTAAAAAGTTTTTAATTTTAGAAACACATTTTTTCATTAATTCAGAACACACTGCAAAATGAGAGATGACAAACATTAGAAGAAAATTCTTTATTGTCGTCCCGAATGTGGCGCCTGTCTGGTCCATGCAGTTCCATTGAAATCAAAATAACTTTGCCATTGGTAATAATTACATTTCTCAAGTCTTTTTTTAAAAAGTTGCACGTAAATTAAAATTGTCTTTCAGTACCTCGGACGTCCACTGTTCCTGTTTATTACTGCTGAGAATCCTTAATTGTTGCTGGTGCATTTTAAAATGAGATTAAGGATCAGGCTGTGGACTTCCAAGTTCCTGACTGCAGCATTTGAGGTTTAAAATATCTCATGGTCTTAGGTTTAAGACCATTGCCTTAAAATTTAAGATATTGATATTGGAAAATTCTTATCTTCAATCTAATTTGGAACAGAGTTTTTCAGTTCTTAAAAACTGCGCAACACTGGCTCCCAAATGAGATTAAATTATTTTTCCTCCAAAATTCTGCACCTTCTTAAATGTTAAGATAATGGTCTTAAATTACATTTTATTTGGTCTTCAAGTTAAGACCATAAGGCATTTTGGCTTCTGTTCCTTAAAAGAAGAATTCTGGTGTGTTACTTTTCATAAGTCACCAAGAGTTCCAAGGGCATGAAATCCACCTACATTTTCAAACTTCCCTTTCTGAGACTCTACTTGGTAACTCTCTGAGACTGTAGCTAACATTAGCAACTCTTGGCACATTCTGAATATGTATTGCAATGAAGATTGTCCTTTCAAGGCCTTGAACAATCGATTTTTTTTGTTTCTTCTCCAACTTCTATACCTAATAAAGAGAGTGGATAGTTCGGGTGGAATGAAGATCCATTGTTTCAAGTGCAAGATTTCATCAACATATGAGGCATTTCTGAATGTCAATCATACAAACATTCTTTGCATAGATCAAAGTTGTTTCTTATTCTCCAAGCAAGCTGAAAAGAGATTGGTTTATTAAATCAATACATAATTGACTCCAAAGTGAGAGGGAGTTTTTTTTGTAATAACCCTAAACTCTTATCTATACTTTCTGTGGTGGTAGCTGACCTCTCCTCTAAAAGGTTACCTATCTAAAAAGGCCACTGGTCGTTTCAAGCAGATTTATTGATCTCGAAGAGGATTTGATCTTGCCCAATTGATCTCCTGGATAATAATTGCATTCTAATGAATGGAAATGGTTTTGCACGTGGATGCTAATCAATCTCAAGTGGGATTTGATTTTATGAGAAAGAATCCTGCATTGGCAGCATTGCATTTCCTGTTTTCCACCCTCCTAATAATAATCATCCTTAAAATTAACCTTTTCACTAAATGATGCTTGTTTTAAATTGATAGTCTATTTGTGTTGTTGTCCATTTTAGATATTAAAAGACATCCTTGTGCAGTTGTACAGTATATTGATGGGATGGAGGGTGAAGTTTTCAGAAGCATGAATGGTAAATAGAAAAACTATTTCCACTGCTCAGCAAGGCAGTAGCAAGAGGGCATCAATTGAGCATTATGACCAGAAACAAAAGGGTCAAGTTATATTATTTTTAATACAGGGTCATCCAAATGTGGAGAGTTTTACTGCAAATGTCAGTTGAAACTGGACATAACATTTAAATAGGCATTGGCTGAATTTCTACGGGTAAATAATAGAAATAGAGTCAGTAACTCCATTTGTGGATCAAGCACCAGCACAGAGATAATGGACCGAATGGCTTTCTTCTGCGATGTAAACTTTCTTGATTCTATGAGAATAAGTCCCATGTGATTCAGGTTTAGTAGTACATCATGTTCAGCATGGAAAACCTTGAATGAACAGCCAAATCACTTTGAAAGACCAACAGCTAAATCTATAATCGGGAAAAGAAAGTTTTACCTTTTCATAGGGATTCTCCATTGATGGCATGTACTGTTAGCGTATGCTGGTGGTCCCTAAGGCATTTTAGGAGCACATGAACACCCCATTCTGAGCTACTTCCTCCTTGTGACTTGGTGCTGTTTGCTGTTGTCAGATCATGAGTTCTTCTATTTTCCACTTGCTGTAACATTCACTGTCGGATACCCCGTACAGTTTCATTAGAAGGCAGACTCAGTTAAATGCTGTTAATCAACTTGCTTTTGATCGTTTTATTTTCCTCATCCCAGAATACACTCAGCGTATGTTTAGAAAAAAAACCTTGATTTATTTAAATACAAATTTATAATCAAGGTTCTTTCAGGTTTGCAAAAATTGAGATCTGGAAAATGCAAATTCCATGATGATTCCACACTTCCACCTTGATTTCCTTTTATTCTTCAATATTTCTAGAAAAAATTGTCTATAATTCGAAGGCAAATGCAAGATGACTAACTTTATACTTCACTGGGGTGATGGTTTTATGGCCAAGCTCAGTTTATCAAAAGTGTTGCACTGAATCGGCAATAAGAATTTTGTTTATCCCAATCCCCCTCCCTCATGGATACATGTTAAGTTTGAAAGAGCAGTGTATATTTTAAAGGGTTACCTAAAGTGTAACAAGTTTATATGCTGTATAGCCCATGCCCTGGAAGAAATTTAGTGTGTAATTTATCCATATTTATTGCCTGTGTAAATGCAGATCTTTTGGGTTTTAGGCTCTTCATTTCCCCCTTGCTCACTTTTCACCTCACTACATGCCATTTCTAAGGCTCCAGTTGTGTTTTAATTAATTCTTTTCTCAATTATTTGCCTTCCAGCATTGTAAATATTATTGATTTTTAGCAATGATAATTTATTTGCGTTGGATCACCAAAAAATGAATATTGATGTTCACAGACTTTCATCACATTCAGTCAAGACTATTCATAACCCATTTGTCATCATGAGTTTATAGCATACAGCACCACCCCTGAGTATGTTCTGTGAAGAACGCATTAGTATAGTGTGAGCTGGGAATGGAGATCAAGTGCTTAGATGGTTTCAAATACAAGATGGCATAAGCTGGGTCTGCCGAAGTGGGCAATTCTGAGACTGGGTGCGGTGGGCTGTGTGATACACCAGTGAAGTGTGAACACATCCAGTTGAGTTAATTTCCTTACTCCACTCTGATTGACTTGAGCAAACAACTTGTGTTCTAACATCTGAAATGACACTCATTGAGGGACGTGTTAATTTCCCCATCACTTTGAGTATTTAGTGACCGAAACAGCAGGTGTTTGTGCACTACTGTTGAGTGGCTGAGTATGGGGATTGGATTCGCTTGCTGGGGGAACAGGCCAAGCTTAGCAAATTGTTATGCCTTCCATTTATATTTTTTAAAAACATATATATACATATGAAATCTGTTTGCTGAAGGTACTTTGCTCCAAAACAAACTTCCTAGTGACTGTTTGTACGCAGTTGGGATTCTGTAAATGTCTCGCTTCCCTACTGCCTTCTTTTTAAAATAAGTCTCACCAGATTGACAGACTTTTTGATACTGTAATATCTGGTCTGGCTTTTAACTCTCCGAGAGCCATGTTCACAAATTGATGCTCTGCTCCTTTGGGGTTTCTGCAAAAACATTAAATCGGCCTGAAATATTCATATGTGAGTGCATTTAGCTGAGAGCAATTGATGTGCTGCTCCCCGGAGGCCAAAAGGGAACCGTGCCAGGCCTCTCACTCCATCAGACACCCTAAGTGCTCATCTTAAGAGTAATTACACGGTCTCCCTGATCAAAGTGTGGAAAATCTTAGATTGGGAGGGATAAATGCAGATCTGGCATAGTACACATTCAGTGTTCTTGAAATCTGCTTTCTTTTTAAATACATATAATACATACATATAAATGTTTCGACCAGTTTGCTTGTTGAACTGCGGTACAGTATAACCAAGGTTTATTTTATCTATATCTGCTGTAAGTGCAGCTTTGCCTTTTTTTCAACTCAGGTTTGGAAATTGGCAAGGCATGTTTGCATTGTTTGGTGAAGGGAATAACTGCTTTTCCACAATGTAAATGCAAACATGTTTAATTTGTGCCACAGCAGTCATTGTTCCCGCTTCATTCTCTTTGCTGCACTATTCATGGCCGAGTCTTGAGCTACCATTCCCCTGTCCAATATAACTCTTAAAAGCATTTTGCATTGGTTTCTCTCTCTCTGCCTTCAAAAACTTAAATACTGTATATAGCTCTTCAGCTAGACCTTTTGTCAACATCTTTCAAAATCTCTCATTGTCCAGCCTGGTGTCCACTACTATATTTTTGGATTACTTTAGGACATTCTTTTGTATGAAAGGTACTGTATAAATACAAGTTGATGCAATGCCCCTTTCTGGTGACGTGAATGTGTGGGTGTTGTGTGAGGACAGGAACCGGCTCAAACTCGGTCCTGGCTGCCTGCTGGAAGTGGACTGAATTTCTTTAACAGCAAAAGCCAGCATTTACATTTTCCACATCTTTCTATTTAACAAAGCGTATGTTTTATGAATGCAGTTTCAAGTAAATTGTATTTTGGACAGGGTGAGTAACTTTATTTTAATAATAATTTGGTTTAACCACATCACTTTGTTCATTTTTTCAGTGAATGATCCCTCTGTTAAGAGTTTTGCATTCTGTAAACAGGGTCAGTTATAAGAACTAACAAACAGTTCTGGAATACAGTGAAACTTTTCATTCAAATCATTTGGAGAACTGTGATTTCAGGAACAGTTGGAAGAACATGTTACAAGTTTTGTCATACATTTTATCTGGCTATGACCAGTTGAACAATGAAAACCTATTTTAAAAATCTGCTAAATTTTGAGGAACAGTCAATTATAGCATTGACTTGTGAAAAGTCTCTTGAAATAGTGACCAGGATGGTTGGATGGAAGGGAATGACATGGTTGTCTGTGTAAGCATTGGGGACTCAGTGTACAGGTGCTAAAACATCTTTGTTTTTCTGCTTCTTTCCCCCTCCACCTGCTCAAACAATGCACATTGTGTCCACTTGATAAAGGTTTTTCTGCAACCCTAGTTTCACTGCCTAAAGTTCTTCACTTTGTAGCCTTGCCTAAGCAGTAAAACCCACCGAGTGGAGACAGACCTGTTTGAATGATGGGCAGCTCAGATACTTGCATCTGTGAAATCTTTTATTTTTGACATGAGCTCACCTACCTTGAGTAGCTTAAATTAATTCTTTTCAGTTGTTGTATTTTTAGAATATGAATATGGAAATATTGTGGGGTTATCTAGAATAACCACTCTGCATTTTATCTGCACCAGGCTTCGGGACCACATCACTCCCACCCTCGCTCGCCTCCACTGGCTCCCCATCCCCCAGAGGATTGATTTCAAGATCCTCATCCTCACCTACAAGGCCATTCATGGCCTCACTCCCTCCTACCTCTCCAACCTACTATCCCCCTACCTACCTGCCCGTACCCTCCGTTCCTCTGGCTCCGGTCTGCTCCACGTCCCCCGCCCCAACCGCCCTACCATCGGTGGTCGGGCCTTCAGCCTCTCAGCCCCCAGGCTCTGGAACTCTATCCCCCAGTGCCTTCGCCTTGCTTCCTCCCTTTCCTCCTTCAAGGCCGGTCTCAAAACCTTTCTCTTTGACCGTGCCTTCAGCTCCCCTCTCGACTCTCTTCCCCCTCCTCGCTCCCTCCCTTCCCTCCCCTCACCCTGACCATTTCCCCCCTCCTCGCTCCCTCCCTTCCCTCCCCTCACCATTTCCCCCCCTGCTCGGGTCATGACCCAACTGTGCAGCGCCTTGGGACGTCCTCCTGACGTGAAAGGCGCTTTATAAATGGAATCTTGTTGTTGTTGTTGTATCTAGTTCCTCTAAGATCCATTGAGGCACTCCTGTATTATAAAATTAAATCACAACAATCTCAAGTAATAATTAACAAACCTTATTTGATCTCTCTATCACACTATATTAAACATTTAGTTTACAATATAATCTTTTTCTTTACTTAAGGTCCTGTGAGCTTTAAAGTAGTTATGATTTAGGTAATTGTAACAAAGCGCAACAATAGTGCATGGCTGGCCTTGGTATCTATCCTCCATAGAGAATTGTTCTGGATGTATGTTTAGATAATACAAACAGTCACGCTGTTACTGTTAGAATCCTAATGGCCCAAGGTGAATAAACTGGACTACAGTGATGAGGTTCTTTTCAGTGGAGAAAATATGAGCATATTCATTGGTTTTATTAACTTTCAAAGTCGAAGATATGAACCTTAGTCAAACCACTGTATTACATTGAACATTTCATTCTCCTGATCAACACACGTAGGAACTTTAATTTACTGTTTGGTCATAGCTTTAACTGACTCTCTAAGGAATTACTTTCCGGCAAAAGCATTTGCACTTTTTTAATGTTTCTCAGAGAGAGCAAGCTGAAGATGAATAATGTTGAATGCATTGCAGTCGATTTTAATATATCATCTCATCCTATTGCTTATTTTTTGATTGACAGCAGGAGATTAATTAAAACCTTTTGTGCATTGCACATTCTATCAGAACTGCCATCTTGTACTCCTCCAGCATCCCAATAGATTAACTTAAGATCCTTGTCCTGACCTTCAAATGCATTTATAGTCCTGACCCTCAATATTCCTCCTTCTATTCTCTGCTCTTCAGATACTAATCGACTTGTTCCTCATTCCTTCTGCCACACCATCGGTGGCGAGTCTTCAAACATCATGCCTTTCCTCTCTAGACCTCTCCCCAAATTCCCTTTGTCTTGTGCTTCTCCTTCTGCCATCAAAACCTTTATAAAATCTTATTCACTGTATGTTTTGTGCACATTAATTTTTCTTACATCTCCTTGCCTCTGAACTGTGAAGGTCCTTTTTACCTCTGTGAAGTGTTTTCGAAACATTTAGAGTGCAAGTTGTGCTATGTAGAAATATATTTGCTTTACTCTTTGATGATCAGCATGTTTTTATTTAATCTGTTCACAGGACCTCTACATTGCTGTTGGGATTTCGGGAGCGATACAACACCTAGCGGGCATGAAGGACAGCAAGGTAATGGAAACAGTTTTGAAATGCATTTTTCAGGTAATGTGTTTGGGGGCGATCTCACTGTCGAGAACCTTGTAACAATAAAAGAGATGACTTAACCTTCCCCTTCCACCATTCCCATTTTTTCTATGTGTTGGCAATGCTTTTTTTGTGCATATTGAGTACTAGTGAGATTACTTAGTACCGTACTGGGAGGAATTGCCTGATCTTTACAGTCAAAGGTGCAGATTGGATTATTAACTGAAGATACTTCAGGCATTGTTGTTTGAACTCTCACTAATAATTCAGCTGTTAGATACGGCAGGGTCTGGTTGGGTTTAGTAATTCCTCCCAGCTCTTAGGTTTTGTCAAACTTCACTTAATTCTTTTGCATTTCTGAGGTGTATTGATGCCGACAATAATCCTTTAATTTGTCTATTCAGCAAAGTGATCCTTATTGTGTGCACCTTGATGGTGAGTGTTCCCGTGCTATTTTGATAGCAGTGGGCATCACAGTCTGATCATTACCTGACATTTACCCATACGGATCTCTTGGTGGGAGTGGGGGGGGGGGGGGGGAAGAGGAAGGAAAGAGAATGGGTGATGGATGGTGATCAAAGAGGGAGCTCTGACTGATTTTTTTTCTTCCCTCTTACCTTGATTTTTGGTTTTGTGCCCTTTACTATTGCCCAGACCCAGATCAATCAACTCACCATAGACTAGAAATCAAACCTGGGATTGTGGGATGTGCCTGGTTAATGCTGCACTCAGTAAGGCCTTTGTCACTCCCCCAAACTTATTTATATATTTCCACAAGTGTTCACACTGTTCTATTTTTTACTTTTCCTTCCCAATGTGTGGTTTATGTACGATTTCTTTCAGCTTCCTGTTTCATATGACCACAAGTGTCTCTTTGCATTCCAAACAGTGTTGCATTATTAATGCACGCTCTCTTCACTGTATAATGAATTTATCTGAATCTCATCTGATGACCTCACGTTCCAAGTAGCGCTTCCAGTTTTCACATTAAAATTGAATTTATTCAACAGTTTAGAGATCTGTCACATTAATTCAGACCTAACAGCGTACAATATAAATTATACACTGAGTCTATCACACAATAAAAGTAGATTCCTACCTACTTGAGCCCATTAGCGCACTTGTACAGAAATATACTGAAACCAGCTTTGGGTCAATTAACTCATTATTAATAGAGGTTTTGGGGTGTCTCAAAAAAAGGAATAAAATAGTATTTTTTTGTTGGAATCAACACTTGATTTAAAAGTTGAAAGACGAATCTTCTGGATGTCTGAACTTAGTGCTGTGATTTGAAATGTTGCTGTGCTTCTGCTTTCCGAGAATGATTCCGAGAATGAAGTGTGCCAGCAGTGGTTTAATTGATTTTTTTAAAAACAGTGAACTGTACATGCAGATCCACTGACTTCTAAGGGGCAGGAAGAACGCTCGTTTGGCGGCTTGGATTATGAGGAGAAAAATAGTCTAGACTCTCCTGGTTGCCATCCAGAGACCCCTCATGCAAAGTGTGTACAGAGTGAGAACAGGAACGAGCTCCATTGATTTCCCCTACTTTTCTCTCCTCCGCCTTTCCGAGTTGACTGCCCAGCTTGACGCTCACTAGCGAGGCTCATACTAGAATAATAGGCAAAGTACCAGAGGGCCGTGAGAGCCTATGGAACTGTACTGCAGTAGGAGCTGGTACAGTTAGGCGAGGTTAGGTGGAGGGCAGAATATTGGCCCCAAATTTGCATCAGTGAACGATGTGTAAATACCAACTCCAACCTTCGCCGACCAATAAAATAATCCTGGGAGGAGTATGCAGGAAACTCCATCGCCGTTTCCTGCTTCGCCAAAAAAAAGCACTTCTGTGCAAAAAAAATTCCTGATTTTGTAACTTCTCCATAAAAAATGGGAGCTGACAAGTGTAATGTGAGCACTCGTTGTGGTGGAAAAAGTAGAATTTTCCAACTCATGATCTCAGTTGTAACAGTCAATAAATGTTTTCTGGGGATTCAATATTCGCTGTTTGACTTGACAAAGTGGAATGTATAAATAATGCCACAAATCAGGTGTGTGTCAGCTCGGCTCAGGTGGTTGTAGTCTCACATCTCGGTCATAACATTATAATAATAATAATAATAATAATTCTTGCACTTGATATAGCGCTTTTCGCGTCGGGAGGACGTCCCAAAGCGCTTCACAGAACACACTGTAAAGTGAATTGACTGTATATTTGTGGGTGAACGCGGCAGCCAATTGCGCACAGACACATCCCACAAACAGTCGTGGATTGAAAATGACCAATTTATTATTGTTTTGTTTTGGAGGGATTATTATTAGGCTCTGTGTGGAGTAAGGAAACTTGCCCAAGGTTTCGCCCTGCCTGGAATTGAACTCGGGTCTCTCGCTTGCAAAGCGAGTGCTCTAACCACTGAGCTACAGGACTCCGAAGTATAAATTCAAGACCCAAGAACTACAAGATTACATTTGTATAGCGCCTTTCAAGTCGGGAGGACGTCCCAAGGCGCTGGACAGAGTACAGCATTTCAGACCCGAGCTGGGGTTGGGGGGGGGAAGGGAGGGGAGGCGGGACTTGAAGGAGGCTATGGAGCTGGCGAGGCGGAGTGACTGGGGGATGGAATTCCAGAGGTTGGGGGCAGAGTGGCTGAAGGCTCTCCCGCCAATGGTGGGGCGGGTGGGTCGGGGGACGTGGAGCAGGCCAGAGCCGGCTGAGCGGAGGGAACGAGCGGGTTGGTAGGGTGTTAGTAGGTCGCAGAGGTAGGGTGGGGCGAGGCCATGGAGGGCTTTGTTTGTGAGGACCAGGATCTTGAACTGGATCCTCTGAAGGATAGGGAGCCAGTGGAATTGGGTGAGAGTGGGGGAGATGGGGTCACAGAGTTTGGTGCGGGAGAGGACACGGGCTGCAGAGTTCTGGATTATCTGCAGCCCGTGGAGGGAGGAGTTGGGCTGGCCGACAAAGCCGGCCCAAGACCAGTGTTCACAGATTAGCCTGACACTCCTGTGCTCCATTGTCCTTCGGATAAGACTTTTAAATCAAGGTGTTGTCAGCCTTTTTAGATGGATGTTAATGGGACTCCTGGTAAAGAGGAGAATGTTTCTCCTCCTGTCCCAATGACAGAATTCCTCATTTTGAAAATTCCTCCCATGATATTGCTGGTGATTGTTGGCATCTCCCTTGCGGAAGGACATGGAGAAAGACGAGCTAAGCTTGCCGGGAAAAATTCATAATGTGGGGTGTTCAGAGGAGTTGTTAGCACAGGCTCAGGAGTGGCTTTCGTCAGCAGCTAACTTACCAGCTTTGGGGTCCTGAAAAGAAGAGGGTGAAGAAAATTAATTGTCCTTTTTTTAAAAAACAAATCCTCGGTATTTCAAATAGCAAGGTTTGAAAAGTGATGCTTCCTGAGGTCTTCCTCAGGATCAGAGTTTTCAGGTCAAATCTAGTGTGTTTTTTAAAAAATATATATATTCCTGGAAGCGTGTGTTCAAAGAAGGCCGGCTGCATCCTAAAATCTTCCAGTTGATGACTTGAGTGGTTTATAACCTGTTCTAAAATTCTAAATGAAAGAACTGCCTCGTTGGTCATGCCTTTAGAGTATTTCACAGTCATTTTCTTTTGTCGTCTTCCTACTGCAGACTTCTGACTTTCTGCTTCCAATCATGACCCAGTTATTTTTCTTTCCATGACACTTCTTAAAATATTTTATCCAACCCCAAAACTATTTGGAAGTATGTTTTATGTAAATCTGAAATGTTTGTACATATATAATATATATAATATATAACAACTCATAACTATGGCAACGGTCTCTCGAGTGATGTTTGCTACCATGTGAATTAATTGCATCACGATGTTGTGCACTTAGAGACTTTTCTCTAAAGGAAGCTTGAGAAGCTTTTCTATTTGCAATGTATAATTTATTTGTGTTTTCTGTAACATGCTTTTTGAAATCTAAGGAGCATTTTCTTTACGAGTTGCTTTGTTATTGCAAAGATGAGATGCTTGAAATTATTTAAAACCCTAGATCTCCAGGCGCACCCCCAAAATTCTGAAGGAGAATTTCTCAAGGGAGAGTCTTAAACTTGAACTGATTCCTTTCAATATGCTTACAAGTCCATTTTCTCAACAAAAGTTCCATTTATTAAACTGACAACTAGAAAAACTCAAACAAATCTCTTTTGTTGGTTAATCTGTAAAAGGAACGGAAGAAGCAGCCAAGCAGATTCAATGACCTGTAAATGTAATAGTCATTAAAGCATCTTTTTTTTATATTTGGTTTTACTCATTGCATGCGAAAGGTGAATGCTGGGAATTAGAAATATTGAAGGATATGGCAAGAAGGTGGGGAAGTGAAGTGGGATTAAGGGATGTAGTTGGTATGTGGTAGTGCATGAAATGGTCTGTGGAGGAGCGAGCCTGATTGGCCACATGGCCTTCTGTTCTTAAATTTTCTGTATTCCAGTTACACTGAAATTATAAGATTACTCAATTTGAGTAGAGTATTCAAGACAGAATGGGTCAGGGCTCCAGCTGTGTGCACAATGCATAACGTTTCATTATCATATTCATTCATAGTTCTAGTTAATATAAGGAAAATGAATGGGACGTTTTATTGCTGTACATCACTGAATAAGTTACTGTAAAGATGGCAGAACACAAATGGTAGTAAAGATGGAGATTTCTGGAAAGTGTGTGTGCGGGAGTGATTGGGTTACCTTGGGTACTGCCTCTCATAGAACCACAAGGCTTTTCCAGGATACCACTGCTTTATCTTGCTTTTCATATACCACAAATGTAACTGTTGTGCACTTATTGTGTAGTTGAATGATTACTGATGCTTAGCGTCAGAAGGTGAGGGGCTTATAATGTCAGGGTCACACCTATCTGTTACAAAGTGACAAAACAATTTAGTCCAAGAATAATGTTTACTGATATTTTACTGAATTACACAGTAAGCTGTTTAGCGGATGCTTGGTTTTCTGATTGAATAAGAAAGGGGGATTTCCTGAGTGCTGCAGCTGCTTGGTTCAAATACATCTGTAGTAATTCACATTTTCTTTGCTTAAATGAATTAGATTTTTCGAGAACCTGCTTTGAAGTGATGAGTGGAAGAGACGCTAATGGGTGCAACTCCTTTTCTTTGCAGACAATTGTAGCCATCAATAAGGATCCTGAAGCTCCCATTTTTCAGGTAGCTGACTATGGTTTGGTGGCAGATCTCTTTAAGGTGAGAGTTTCTTGTAAAAGATGATGGCTGTGTTGATGGGGGAAAATGCTAGGTATGTCTCATATTAGTTAATTTATCTGTTGCTTTTTCATCAATTTGCCTTCTTTTTGTTCTGTTTCCCACGCTATCCTTTGGCCAACAGGGCACAAGGCTAACCTAATTTCAGTCCTTTGGCTTTCTATAGTTAGTTACTAGGAGGGTAACTTCTGAGTTCTGAGTAGCTTTTGAAGGCATCATTTTATTTTTTCATATACTGCATTGGAAAAAAATTATGTTTCAGTATCTTGGTGGGAATAATAAATACACAGCAATAGAAACAAACCAAGAAACTATTGGAAAAGAGAAGGGAGTTTCTCCCTTCTGGTCAGAGATCCTTTAGATTAATTGATCATCCATCTCATGATTGTGATGTGGACAGCTGCTGTGTTTGACCACCAAAATAGGCACTACATTTGATGGATATATACGTGAGAAGTTTTAATATATTTCAACGTAATAAATCACCAAAAATTAGTTTGAAAAATAAAATTGAGCAGTGATTGTGAATCCAAAACATGTAACCACTCTGTTTTCTAATGGTCTTGTTAACAGAGCTGGATGGATAGCAAGAGGAATGAAAAGGCAACTGTATATTTAATGTGAGGAGAAGTAAATGATGCTGTAATGTTCTATTAATGGCTTTAAATGTATTGAGGAAGTTTGATCTCAAGAGTATTACTTAGTAGTAATGCATATTAGAATTATATGATGCTTTGAAGCATGCAATATTAACAATAAAAGTTTAAAAAGTTTTGTTTTGTTTTCCCAGATGTCAGACTAATTCAGTTTTACAACTTTGCCCACGACATTGTTCATTTAAAAACTGACTAGATCACATTGCTTAATGGAACTGCAAAGTGCTACTGTAGAACAATTAAAGCAAAATTTACATGTCCGATATTGCTTCAGCCACCTGAGGAAAGGCTTCATATTATTCATTTGAATATTAATAACAAAATCTGTGTTTGGGTTTACTTTATGAAATTAAGGCACATATATACCCCCCATTAAGGTCTCCTCTGAGATGTTTACAGGTTAAAGCTTTATTTGTTCCATTTGTTTAACAACATAAAGTAATTGAGACACTATTTGAAAACCGAACCGAGTTTCTCTTGTTGTTCTGGTCAGATATCCTTCAAATTAATTGGTCATTCTTCGCATCGCTGTTTGTAGGATCTTGTGAGCAAAATAGCTTAATTGTTACACTTGATTGTAATTAGTGCAAAAGTCTTTGAAACACTTGGATGTGTAAGGCAATGTAAAAATGCCATTTTCTTTTAATGTATATCATGTTGGGTATTACATATTTTATCCATTCTTTCACCTGTATCAACTGAAAAGGAATTTTCCAAATAGGGCTTTGTGTGAAGGAGGCGGCAGAACATAGCGGCATCTCCACAAAGAGGAATGCCTATCAAAGTTTAATACTTTCTCTAACTTGCCTGGTGCCTAGGCAATAAACAATTGGGGTTTTGGTAACTGAGAGACAAAGTGATTGGAGGTAGAAACAACTTGTAGACAGTTTCCCTAATATTTTTTGTAAGACAGCGTTATTTCCAACTAATGGAAATGCAGATCTCTTGAATAATTGAGAGGCTGTATTCATCATCAAAAGTTCAGCTGGCATTCTCTCGAACTGAAGCAACCAGAGTCCCCTTCACTGGAAGCAGTAATTGATAGTTAGTAGAAGTGAATGGGGTCAGTTTTCAGACTTGTTTTTATTTTACCATCTCGCAAATGTTTACATGCCTAACTGACTGTTTCTATTCTTTCCCCTCGCAAAAAAAAACTCTTCTAAATAACAGTTTCATTGATACATGCGGTAAGAGTGGGATTAACTGCCAGATTTCTGTTAGATCACTTATGACAAAAGAGTCTTTGTTTGCTGTGATTGAAATGGGTTGAGTTTTTTTNCAACTGGTTTTGTCTCATTAATTATTTACCAGTTCTATGAAGCATGACTGGCGGCAGCAGTGTTTTTAGTATATTCCCCACGATAAACAATGAGTAATCCTAACCACGCCAGTTCTGACCTAAACTGGTCTCTTTTTATCTACAATCAGCCACTGCCTGCCTCCTACCTTAGAAGAGCCAGATGAAGCTGCGACTGTCTGAGACAGCATTAAATGAGAGGCATTGTGCGCACATGTGTATATAATAATAATAAACCTTGCATTTGATATAGCACCTTATCACGTCTTCGAGACGTCTCAAAGCACTTCACAGAATACACTGTAAAGTGGATTGACTGTATATTTTGTGGGCAAAACGCAGCAGCCAATTGCACAGCAGCATCCCACAAACAGTCGTGGATTGAGTGACAAAATTATAAAATGTTATACAGGGTTGTCCAAAACGTCGTGATACTATTACAACGTCTTTTTGGTCACCCTGTGTTTACAACTTGGTTCTCCAGTAGCCAAGCTACTGTGGCTATAGGCTCTCCCTTGCCTTGTGTGTGTTTGACGTATATTGCTCAGCGTAAGACATGTAATGATCAAATCTGCCCTTTTGATCACTTATTTTGACAATTATTGAGCCAATCAGATCTCGTATAAATGAATGGATCTTGCCTGGGGTTAAGCAACCACTCTTTAAAGGAAAACAGTTATGAGGTATTGTTATATTTTCTACCAATGTAGCTAGGAAATGTTACTTCTACGTTACTTACCTGTCATTTGTTATAGTACTTTATTATGTTGAAGCATCTCAGTGTTTCGCAGAGATTTCTTGTGAAGTATACTGACTGTATTTATAGGTGAATGAGGCAGCCAATTTCCATACAGTAATGTCACACAAATATGCAGGAGGTGAATGGCCAATTTAATTGGAGGTTTGTTGGTTAGCATACTGGAAGTAACTCCCTTCGCTTTTTGAATAGTGTCATGGGTTCTTTATAGTCCATCTGAAAGGGAGACAGAACACAGTTTAACATGTCATCCAAAGGATAGTTATGTCACATACTTTGGATTACTGATTACTGATCTGACTTCAAAACTTGGTAGATAAACTATGATTTTAGTGCAGGACTTTTCAGAGGGCCTCTATAATCTTAGCAACTAGCCTCTGTAACCTTCAGCACTCCTGGATACTACTCTATCATGCATGGAAGGAACTATGTACTGGTAAATGCAAGTTGTTATTGTTGATCAACATTCAAGTCCAGTGGACTATTTACTGTGTGGAAGATAATCATTCAGATTTGTTTGGTATTGAAAATCAAGATGGTGTTTGTGGACTGACTTAAAGAATTTCTTTTTGAAACAGTCTTTGGATCACTCAGTCTGTTGGTACCTTGTACTATTGTTTTAAATCTTCAATTGGAAGAATCCAAATTATGCCTTGGTTTACATGTCCTTGTATTTTGTCTTTCTTCATCTTCACGCAGTTCCTGATGAACAAGGAAAGATAGCGAGCCTACCGTTTACTATATGAATATCAGTCTGTGGTGCAGCATTTCAGCATTAATGCCTCAAATCCTGAGTCAGTGACCAAGTTCGCAAACAATTCATGTGAAATATCGTGTTAGATATCTGCCTGGTAATTAATGGTTTCCATGCTGACAGCACTTGATCTGTTTCCCTCTGCAGGCAATCCCAGAGATGACAGCCTTGTTGGAGAAGTGATGCGAAGGTCTGCAATCCCAACAGATGACCAGATGCTTATTTAATTGTCAGGGCTACACAGTTCAAATCTTACCTGCAGGTGATACGAACAGTAGTCAGCACACAATTATATTCAAACATTATTTTTGATGCGTCCCAATAATTTTGTCTCTATTGACCTGATGGATGACAGTAGAAAATCTATCATCTATGGCATACAGTTCCAGGTTTTTAATGATAACTAAATATATTTCATTAAGAAAACAGAATAATTTCAAGTGATGCTTTCATTAATCTATTTTGTTTTCTTGTCCTGCCCTTTGCCTTCTACATTCTCATTCATGAATGAGAGAGTGGGCAGGATCTCCTCGCTCCCAGGCCTTTTCTAATTCTTGCTACAGCTGGCTTCTAAGATGTATGAGAGTTCCTCAGGTGGAATCCTGAAATTTGTCTTTCCTCCTTGATTTCACTTGAGACTTCCCTACGACACCATAGAGATAGGAAACTTGTGATTTGTAACTATGGACCTGGGTCTTACCATTTTGCACATCACTACCATAGCTTTGTGGCTACTTTTATGTGTTTGTTTCAGGCACAGTCCTGATGATGATACCTGGCAAATTCCTGAGAGCATTAATTGAGCAAATTATTGTTTGGGATTGTGGCCCTCAACAAAAAACAAATAACATTGTTCTGCAGCCACTGATGCGACATTGCTTTTCCTCTTCATTATAAAGAATGTCAGGCTAGAGTAGACCATTGGTCCATCGTTGTACAACGCACAATTTTGTACAATTATTGTACATCTAAGGGGTGAGGAGATGACTCAGCAACTCCAGTTCTGCATAGAGTGATCTTCTGAAGTGATGTGCTAGTACAGTTGAGAGCAAGCGATGGAGATAAGTGACTAGATTATTCAGATGCATCCTTAAGTGCCTGGTAATAGAAGGGACCTGGGACAGTATTGTTTGCAATCCCAATTGGTGGATCCTTTCTTTCTTAAGGTAATGTGTGGGCGGGGGAGGGGGATTGTGTTTCTTAACATATCTGTGAGACATGATGGAAATGTAATTGTCACAGAATAACTTAAAATATAAATTTTTTAACCATAATGTACATCGTAAAGTTCAGATTTCATTGTGATAACTGTGGATGAATAAATTGCATTGATTGTCACGTTTGTTGATTTTCTTGCGTGAATGCCCCTGTACATTTGTAATCTGAAGCTCAAGGAAAGAACTAAAAGAAATGAATTACAAACTTGCGTCAAGTGTCTTTATTTTATCTCTTCCACCCCCAGCTCCAAACTATGTATAGGATGCCTTCATTTGACTGAGAAAGAATCTACAAAATAATAATTCCAAATAATCCTATATCTTTGTAATTGATACATCGCACATTGTTGAGATGGTGGAGAATAAATACTGGCATTCAATTGGATCTTTTAATGGATTCCACATTGCATGAAAAAACTTTATGAAGTTTTGATGTAAGGCGCTTCAAAATTGGAATTATACATTTTTATTGTATATTGTACGTATGCGTCAATATATCACATTCTTTATGGGTAAGGTTCTATAATGCATTTGTGAATTATGTAGGATTTGACTGTTAGGGGAATGCTTTATCACTTTGCTCAGTGTTGCCTTTTGGCTAGATGATTATTTTTTATATGGGAATTGATTTTGTTTGCTTTTTGATTTCAATGTATTTCTTATTTGATTAAAATGTCTGTATAATGAATAATATGAATTATTTAAAATTTCAGGAAAAAAAGATGAATGTGAAATTGTAAAAAAAATGGTGACTTCATATTTTTCAGAGAGGGGAGGCAGCACTAAAAAAATTATACTTTACAGGGTGTGTGGTTACCAGGAGCGCTAATACATTTATGTTATGGTTTCCTGACTGAGCTCTCCCTGAAACAGCAAACCATATAAAAGGATTTGTACATTGGCTGATGTTAAGGGTGAAGTAACACAATGAGGTTTGTCTTAGATAAAGGCTGAGAAGAATCTTGATTCCCTGTCATGGCTATAAACACTCATGACATCTTATTAGTGAAACTGGCAATGGTAAGTAACCCAACCTGACTACGTGAAGGATCTACTTTACCACAAACATAGTTAGTTATCAAACCCGAATGTTTCAATGATTTCAACTGCAATAATTGAGCTTGCTAATCAGATTCTTTGTGGATATTACAGTAGTAATCTCTGGGGCTAATTTGTGGCATGAACTGCATTCTTTAATAAGAAATCAAGATATGCAAATTGGGACTCATGCTGATTTGTGTGTGTTCCGCTCTGGTACGAATGAAAGTTGATGAATAAGAAATCCTTTTAAGAAATACCACAATTACCACAAATACCTGTTCTGGAATTGCATGGAAAGCTGATGGCAATAGATCCAGTGGGAGGCAAAGGTGGTGAGATGAAAAAAGGAAAATATAGAACAACATAGTTCTTATTGACCACTATATAGCAGCATGATGGTGAAGAGTTAAATAAAAGCTATTCTTGCCTCTTCCTGTTTACACATTATCCCCAGGCTTAATTCAATAGGCATGTATTTGAAGACTTATTTCTCCTCACAACCCCTACAATGACATTTTTTAAGTCAGCGGTTTTGATTACAAATTGCATTTTTCTGAATGAATATAATCCTGAATTTAGTGAGCGCTGGTAAAGTGCATGGAAAAAACTTCAATCGTTTTAAAACAGATGTTCAATTCCCCTCATTTGTCCTAATCAGTAACTAAATTAGGCAGCAAAAGTGATTTTGATAGATCTAGAGTTATAGAATTTCTTGAATTGGGAGAGCCGTATTAATGGGTGCAAGTAGGTAAATGGATTAGTTTTGACAAAGTTCTGCATGGTGAGATCTAAACCCGGTCGAAGAGGAAGGTTTTCAGGCAGGACTTGAAAAAGGGGAGAGAAGGAGGAAGGCGCAGGGATTGAGGGAAAGTGTTCCAGAGTTTTGGAGCGTAGTGGCTGAAAGCGCAATCTCTGATAAGTGGGGCGGAGGGTGCGAGGGACGAGGTTTCCACCCAAGAGAATGAGCAGGAGGAGCTGCCTCAAGTCTCAGTTTCTCTCTAGTCAGACCCTAGAGGAATGCCCATGATTTGTGCACCCCAACTCTAATTGTGTTTTGTTTAATCTGCCAATAGTTTACTTATCAACAAATTCCTGGGCTGTACAGTTATCTAACTTGGCACTTTGTATTGTCTGGTCACTATTTCTTCTACTTTTATATAGTGCAATCTGGGAAGAATGGTTGTCAGCCTGTGCTTTATCCCATGTTGGCTAACATAGTGGAAAATTTTGGCTGCTTTGTGAAAAAAAATTGCTGTGAGCCAGATTTCTCCTTATTGTTTTTTTTATTGTAAAGGTACAGACCACAATTTTTTATTTATTGAGGAAAGTAGGAGGACGGATGAGATAAATCAAGAAATAGTGATTAGGTGGTGCCAAACTTGGGTTTTAAAGCTCTGTAGGTTGTAAGAGGAAGAGATAGATTGCAATGATATTGTTGCCAGAATTGAAGGTTGGAGGGGCAATGGCACATAGCCTTGTGGAAATAATTCAGTGTGACAAACCAGGTTATTTTCACAACAGACCAAGTTTCAAATAATAGGCAGTGCCTAGTATATGTGAATAAACTATTAATAGTAAAAATGTCTGGGTAAAGAGTAATGCCTATTTTTAGCATGTATCAATCTCTGTTGGAACTATATAACCAATTCGGTCCTCACTTGATGGTCTCTACAACAACAGCAAAGTTACATTTGTACAACACAACAACAACAAAATTTCATTTGTATAGCGCCTTTCATGTTGGGAGGACGTCCCAGGGCGCTGCTAGATGTATATATTCCAGGACGGGGCTTCTGGATAGCAATAAGGAAAAGAAAAGGTTTGCCAATCCCTTTTCAATAGCAAACTTCTAAACTAGCCAGCATGATTGATGCATTCAGTGCTATTTTGAAGTTCAATTGTGTTGTTTTTCTTATTTAGTGTTTTATTAACAGATGAGGATTTGCATTCCATTGATGGGCAAAGTGTTCAATATTACCTGGAGTGACAGAGCTGCCATGAAAATTAATATGAACAGATCTGGCCAACATCTGGGCTATCAATCTCCATATTTAATTAAAATGATGACCTTATTAATGAATATACTTTAATACATATACTATGCATATTTATACTGAGTCCTGATTAAAATTTGTGACTGTTACTTAGTCAATCACACTCAAAGTTCATTGCCTAATTAATTGGCCTTTTTTAAAAATTACTCTATAGTAGTTAATGTACAAACCTTTTTTAATTTAATGACTTGGCGTGTGGGAGGAGTTTTTTTTGAGGACTCAAAATTCTGGAGAGCACCTCACGAGCAGCCTGTTAAGACCCCAGGGGAACACACAGAAAGCATTAGCCAACTTCATTTGGGTTTTACAAAAGCTGATGTGAAATTGACCCTGACATTGCACGGAATGGGAGGGGTCCAACCTTAATATGATCAATCAGGCAGATCTGATACCGTTGTGACAACACACTGACCCTAATTAGAGTCCACTGTAACCAAAACAAATCGTTCAGCGTTTTTTGCAATCAGTGTGTCACATTGAAATCTGAAGGTGTACCCACCCACCATGGAATTGATGCACCAATTTTTGGCTACCCAAAGCGAGTTAGATCCCATATGGCATGTCATTTTAATTTTATTCTTTATTTTCCCCTGTTCATGTTTGTGTGAATAAACTATAAGCAGTGAAAAATGTATGGATGAAAAGTAATGTTTGAAGGCATGGCATGTTGGGTGGAAGAGGTACAGAAATAAAATGTGCTCAGCTGAATAAGCATCACCAAATACTGTACTCTTGGATAATATGTCATTAATGCATGAGGGCTTGAGGAGTATTAGATTTGTGTTTGTTGATGAAGAGTGGCAGTGTTTTTTCTGAGGTGCCATGTCATCCTTTGAATAAGATGTTAAACCCAGGGCTCTTCTGCCCATTCCATTTGACATTAAAGATCCAGTAGACTATTTTGAAGACCAGGGAGTTTGCTTGGTGTCCTGGCCAATCTTTGTCTCATCTAAATTTGCTAGAAAAACAGATGGATTAACTTGTTTATTATGTTGTGTGTAGGATGTTGCTGTCAAAGATGACCCAGTACATTTGCCTACACAATGTTTCATGCTTGGTCACTCGCTCCATGCCTGGTTTGGGGATATTTTGGGGGTCATGCAAATTGGCTGCTGTATATACACAAATACGAACAGTCACACCATTTTATAGTAAATGCTGTGAAGCGCTTCGAGACGTTTCCTCGATGTGATAAGGCGCATTATCAAATACAAGTATTAGTACTATATTCATACATTTAGTGCTATAACATCCTCCCAACAGTTTTACAGGCATTTTGAATATTAATACACCGAATAATCTTGCATTTCATAATCAAAGAGCATTTGGTTTTTAAATCATTAAGTTCTTATAGTCAATTTGAATTTTTTTTAACCATATTCTATTTTTGACTGAAAATGTGCCAAGACTGTCCTTTTCAGAAATTGAACATAACGTAGAAAGAGAGCACTTCAGAACAACTCAACTCGTAAGGACGAAACAAAAAAGAAAGTTCACAGGATTGCTAATTCAATTAAAAAGATTCATTTTATTTAAAACCCATAATATCCTCCACAGTTCAATAATTGTTCGTTGCAATGTACATTATTGTAATTTTTTCTTACAGAATCCAGACCTTATAAATGAAATATTTATATTTTACAAATACAGGGCCATGGAATGCATACAGTTCACATGCAGGGTAGCTGGCTTGAACTGGCGATAGCAGATTACATTTCTGCTGCCCGTAATTAACTCTCCAACCTTCTCTGGTATCAGTATCATAAATTAAACGAATGCAGGTAGGATCCCGGCTCTGACAATTTGAGAGCAATGCAGCAGGTTAGTACAGGGAAGCCTCGCTGGAGCTGTCGGTAAGATTTTTTTGTTGTTTTGTTTGTCTTTTCTCTGAAAGCAACTCTTCTTATTGTGTCTGAAAGTCGACACTGCCCCAGAGAAGCATTGAAACTCAGCGTCATGTGAATGATATTAATAATTCAAGTTGGCCAATGGCCTTACTGCCCACAACCTTTAAATTAAGCCAGGCAGTGCCTCAGTTCAAGGATATGCTTAAACCTTTTTTTAGTTAATTCAAATGAAAATAATGCCAAACTTCTTAAATAGTGATGACCTCTTTTGTATTATTTATATTTTCATTATTTAAGACTCGAATTGTACTGGGTTTACGTCAAATGAATTCACAAGTTGAGTTTATGAGCATGTATCTTTTGAGATTTTTGTTACATCGAACTTTGGTTACAAAGACTTACAGGTTCATTTTAACATCCTTTTGTTTCTGTTGATAGATAGCAATTGAAATATTTGTGTTCTAAATGGATTTGTCCAATACCTTTACTGAAGTCACTGAGTCCAGCTATGTTCCACAAGCGATTGAATGAATAAAATAAATCCTTGCATTTGATATGGTGCTTCATCATGTCATTGAGACATCTCAAAGCTCTTCAGAGGATTTACTGTGAAGTGTAGTGACTGTGTATTTGCAGGCAGAAGCTGAAGAAGCAGAATAACCAGCCTAATGCAGTTTCAGGGGTTTAGCTGCCACATTGTCTGGTATATTATACCAAGTCAACAACATCACACATATTCACAATCTGAATACAGATATATTTCCTTTTAAAAAAAGGATGTTAAAGTTTATTATAAATCTTTGCAGCATAGTTTTCAGGGGGTTCTGATGGTGAGACCCTCTTTTAAAAGGGTTTTGATGACGCAATTTTCTCTTGAAGAGATACTAACTCGCCCCACCCTTTAATCTAGTTTATTTACGTGCATATAGTAAAGTATAAAAACAGTGTTAAGTCTTTGTGAAGAAAGTTTTATAATATGAAATGCGCTTTGTTGACTGATGCTGGAACCATATAACTAACTGTATGTCGATATCTTAATAAATCAAAACAGAGAAAAAAAAATGTATACCATGAGTTTCTTCCCCCCTCCACATAATTTACAGTAAATATTAGATAGAAACTGACAATCCACTAACAGCTAATACTGGTACGTCTCACGTGTATCTGTGTCAATTCCTTTACATGTACAGGGTTAAAAACTAACAATTCAAATTTTCTAGTTTGATCCCTGATCTGTGCTGAGTTATTTGACCTTGGCTAACATGGCGGTGCTAGGGGGTGATACAACTAGACCTCATCCTTTGTAGGAAGGGATGTGGGGGAGAGGGTGATGAAATCAGCCAGGATTCCCGCTCCTGTTTGTTTTGGGAACTAAACACCCAAAGGATATTGTGCTAACCTACCGCACCGACTGTGCACAGAGATTTTACTGCAGTTGAGCAGCCGCCAGTGAAATTCACAGTGTAAGGAGAGAAGGGGGAGGCACAAGCTCTGAGGCACCAACTCTTAATCCAAAGACATTTCAATGTTGCGGTATTTTGTATTGGGGCATTTCCAGCTGGTGTAGCTGCCAAGCCCTGGTCTAGTTCGTCTGATCACTGGCATTTTGATTCGAGGCTGATTACACCACTTGACCAACATGAAACAAAACATTGAGGACAGTGGAAAAAAAACAGATAGCGAGAGCAGTCATTTGTGGAATTGTGGGGTTCCATAGGAAAAACCAAGAGAAAAATCAGGACCTTTAAAGTCATTATGTAACAGGATTATATGATTAAGGGGGTGGATCACTCTTATGTGTTTTGTGGTTTATGAATATTTCTTGAACATTCTGAAATTGTGTTCTGTTGCACCGATGAGATTCGAACATCAAAATTCAATATGATTGTAGGGATGATATTCAATTCTAGACAGCCAGCAGCAATTTTCTTGATCTCAACTGGGCCAAGATGAGGAACTCTGGCCATCTGCTGGGAAGACTGTTCTGCACCTGAAGGCACCTTCCCTAAAGGTGGGGGGGAGGGGGCAGAGGGGGAAGGTACGAGCAGAAGTGTTGACGCTCCAAGATAGATTGATAACAAGCTAGACACTGAAGGTTAAGGGTTAAAATGAGTTTTGACGAAGAAAGCTCAAGGAATGCAGTCATGTGATCAGTTCTCAGAGATCTGCTTTTCTTTCTTTGAATCCTGAAAGTTATTCAATGCTGGTTTTAGGGTCACCAAACATGAAAATCTCCTGATGTTGTGATTGTTGAACGCTGGCTCTGGAACGGTAAGTTCTTGAATACTTGTGAGGTTGGGTGGAGGAGTCTCTCACCATCAGTTCCTCCCTTTTATGAAATCAAATTAAATGTATTGTGATAGTTTTCACATCCTTTTCATTTATTTTATGCCTGTAAATGTTCTAAATACTTTACTTAAGTTCATGAGAGGTGCAAATTAAAAGGGTCCTTTGGTCCCTTTTATCTCATCCATCCAGAATATTCCACTTCTTGTTTTCTCATTACAGCATCAAGCCAATTTGTTTGTTCACTGGCCTCAACCACATTGTCTTATAATATTTCCAACGGTTGATTCCGCTCTGTTATATGTGAGTGCTAATGTTTCATTTAAGAAACTGCTTGATATTGTCATGGGAAGACAATAGGTGTGGTATTCATGAAGATTTAGGTCAAATGATTCGATGGCCATCTTATAACCCCAGTCTTTCTTATGACTATTTCAATAAACGTTGACAAAAGTTACTGAACCCAACAGTACAGAGGCGCCAAATTAACCACAGCAGAGTTACAGCTACTGATACAAGATGCATTATTTGTTAGTGTGAGGAAAGGTCACTGCCCAAAATGCATTTCTCTTTCATATGCTGGCCATCCAGTTCCCACATATTCTGCTTTTATGTCCATCTATTTTCACTGCACATGTTCAACTCTCACATTGTCAAGCACAGAAATTCCTGCAGTGACATTATGAGCAGCATGCACAGCTTGATGAGAAATGTTCAAAGAAAACCCTAAAACAATCAACTGAGAAAGAATTGGAATAAAAAAAGTGAAACTTAATCCCAATTGTTTACGATTTCATTTCCAAGAGATTGTTAATGGTGAGAGCCTCTCTTTAACTGTTCAACACTGGATGTGAGACCTACAGTTGCCACAAATCCTGAATTTTATTCAGTGCTGGATCTAGGAAAACCAGAATCAAAAGGTTCCCAATTGCTGATTCAGAAGCCTTGACCAGAGTAATTCCCGATTTATGGAATAGTGCTGCTCTCAGACTAATCAAAACTAGGACTTTGATAGCCTGTTTAACCTTGGCTCTGAAGGCTCCAGCAACCTGTACTTTTCTTCCAGTTTTATGTCATTCCCTCGAAGCTGAATGACTGGTTTTGTTGGATAGACACAGAGATTTTCCTGATTTTTTTTGTTGTAAATATTAACTCGGTGCTCCAGTTCTGGACTGGCATTGATTGACCCTGGAGGACTAGGCAGTTTGAGATTCACTGGGTCCAGTCCTTTTTGTGTGAGGCAGGAGTCCTCTGATAAAGTAGACAGGAGTTCCTGCATCACTACAGCGGTGTCTTTCTTTGCTACAGGCTCCAAGTTGCCATGTTGTTTGCTCTCTGACTTTTCCAGTGGGTAGCTATCCGAGGACTCTTCTCTGGTGGTGCTACAGTCTGTGGAGGAGCCCAAGGTTTGGCTGCTGATACTTTGGGCTCTTGTGGCCGTACTGTCTGTAGATCTCGAGGCACTGCCTGACTTGTTGCTGACAGAACTTCCGACTCTCTCGAGGGTCGTTGGCACCTCTACCGTCAACAGGTCAGGTGACGCATTGCGAGGTATGCTGGGAAGGTGGACATCAATGGCTGCTGTTGTGATAACACATGAGGCTCCTTCTGGAATTCCCATTTCTGCAGCAGAAAAAAAGTGTTAGGACTTTAAACTCAAAAACTGTCTCTTTCAGATCTTGAAATGTCCAGCATTTCATGTTTCATTTCTTATTCCCATCTTTGGTTTTCTTCTGACTGTATCTCAAAGCACTTAGGAGGGAAGTGGAGGTCTCTAATAATAATAATCCCTGCATTTGATATAGCGCTTTTCACGTTTTCTAGACGTCTCAAAGCGCTTCACAGAATAGACTGTAAAGTGAATTGACTGTATATTTGTAGGTGAAATGCGGCAGCCAATTGCGCACAGCAGTGTCCCACAAACAGTCGTAGATTGAAATGACCAATTTATTATTGTTCTTTTTTGAGGGATTATCAGGCGTGTGGAGTAAGGAAACTTGCCCAAGGTTTCACCCTGCCAGGAATCGAACCAGGTCTCTCGCTTGCAAAGCGAGTGCTCTAAACCACTGAGCTACAGGACTCCACAGGATTCTGAGCAAACAGCACGACAAGCTTAGAGGCTTAGAGGTGACTGAAGGTGTGGTTGAAATGTAGCAGACTTCAGAGAAGGCAGAGAGCAAGGGAATGATGCTGTATGGTTTTGGAAGAGCATTGCAAAGGACAACAGCATAGCTGGACCTGCAATGGGATGGACCATGACTATTTTCAGAAGACTGGAGAGTTCCACCTGTGGAGAACATTACACAGGTAGAGTGGAGTGATGTCACTCTACAATGAACTCAAAAATGATCTGCTGAGGTTCAAGTCAGTGCATCTTAGCAAAGATGGGGTTGATGGGTCCACAGGTCTCTGTGTGGGACAGGACATGGTCTGCAGAATTCTGGCAAACTTAAAGACAACAAGTTACAAACATGCTGCAGTGAAGATGAAAGAGAAAAGGGTATAATATTCTGCAATAATAAATTGGTGTGCTCCATCACTTCTACTTTTGACTATTGCGAGTGGAAGAGACTTAAATTATAATAATAATAGTTGCATTTGATATAGCGCCTTATCACGTCGTTGAGACGTCTCAAAGCACTTCACAGAATATACTGTAAAATGGATTGACTGTGTATTTGTGGGCGAAACTTCTCCTAATCCTCTCACAAAACTGAATGAAGTGATTGGTGAATGCGCTTTACCCACCACTGCTGGGCTCACTATCGTACTGGCTGATGTAGTTATTCATATCATCCCGTGCGGCAGGTTCTGAAAGATAAAATGCAACTTGTGAGGCACCGTCTGCAATCCTGCACCTCCAAATGAAATTCCAAATCACACCGAATCATTTTCCCATTTACACAAAGTGACTGCACTCCACTGAACTAATATTTGCACTTGGTTGATATTTATACATTGTAACTGTTTGGTTTATATTTCATGTTTCAATATCTTTCTAATGTTTTCATAACTGTAATTCCTTTGCATCTTCTGTTGTACATGCTTTGAAATGCTTTGAAGTGTATGCCTTGAACTTTGTGTAGATTATACTGGTATCAATCTCAAATTGAGTGTCTCAGAGTACGTGGACACAAACAAACCACATTTCAGGTCTATTTTGCTAAAGGATTTGTAAGTAATAAATCCTGCAGGTACCTGGATGTGGTTGTCTGGGATTCTGATTTCAGTTTGGGTTTCCAGATTGTGGGTTCATGCTTGTGATTGCTATCCAATGATCCTGCAGGAAAATAAATGTGAATGGACATCGAGTCTGGACATGAGTTTCAGCAGGGATATGGTAGCACTACTCAGCCGCAGTGCTCACTCTACGGTTGAATACTCTTCCGCCACTTGCTGTTTCAGCTCAATATGGAGAAAGGGCACTCGGGTAACATAACTCTCCCTTCAGTGGAGAACTTTTAGGGGGTGGGGAGAGTGGGGGAGTGGATGCTAATCACAACTCCAATAAAACCTGAGAACTTTAGAGAGGATTCTTCCTACTATAGTATCCTTTTTAATAATAATATAATAATAATGATAATAATCCTTGCATTTGATATATCAGTGTTGTAAAAAAAACAGAACAAACCAATTTGCACCCCTCCAAATCTGTATTAATAAGTGAAGAAACCTGAAAATCCTGCAATATTTAACAGGTAAGTGCAGGAATGCTGCTCTGCCTTCACAGAAGCTAATTGCAAGTGAATGTAACATTTATGTATGGAACGGTGAATTTCTGTAGCTCCGCCCTATGTATAATTCATGCTGGAAAGCTTATTCTTGTACCTCATAGACATCCTGCATTTTTAAACTTGTTTTGATCCTATTTATTGTTGAAAAGTTAATGAGGAACAGCTCTTGAATAGATTTGGAGCTGCTAACATGTAAATACTATTTGACTTCTGCAGAAGCCGTTTCATCTCAAAGCTGAGCCAGAAATCGCACAATCTGTGTTGATTCCAGCACAAGCCTTAAGATAGAAACAAAAATGTGGTAACTCAATCCACGACTGTTTGTGGGATACTGCTGTGCGCAATTAGCTGCCACATTTCACCCACAAAATACACAGTGAATGCACTTTACAATTCATTCTGTGAAGCGCTTAGAGACATCTCAACGACATGATAAGGCGCTGTATCAAACACAAGGATTATTATATTATTATTATTATTATTATAAGATAAGGCAGAGTGAAACCAGTCATTGAGATTCTGCTGGTGTTGGGGTCTTGCACCTAGGAATTAAATTAATTCTTTACACAGAGGATGGCTGAAGTGTGGAATTCTCGATCATAAAAGTTGTCAAAATCCACAAATCATTTTAAAAAGCAACGGGATGATGGTTGAAATAGAAGAATATTAAGGGTTGTGGGGAGAGCACAGAAGAGTAGGTTTAAACTCTTGTGGAGAAAAGCACCAGCGCAGTCAGATAGCCTGAATGAGCTATTTCTATGCTGTGGAATGCTGTGACGATAAGAACATAAAATCAGGTGTAAGCTATTTGGCTTGTTGAGTTTACTTAGCCAGGAGAAATGGAATGAAAGCTTTGCCATAGTCTTAATGGTGGGGGAGCAGACTTGATTAGCTGAACAATCTCCTCTTTGTGTTCACCTACTTGAAACTCTTGATAACCTAAGAGGGTAGATGGACTTGTCATTGGGGAGGCATTTGCTGGTTGTATTGCGTACTGTGGCAGCTGCTGAATTGCAGCTTGGCATTAGTTATTACAATGGTCCAAAGACAGCAAGATCCGTCTCTTCTTTCTCCCAAGCTCACATCGCCCATATCTTTATTGTGTTGAAGTCAAAATTGATTTTAATCTAATATTATGATATGAATATTGTATTATTATATTTAATATAATACAACAAGCATTAAGTATATTATATATAATATACTATAAGTTATCTTTCTCCAGGATCTTATGAGCTTTTCAGTCTTCCTTCTTCCTCCAGTGCGTATGCTTTTAAACCCCATAGTTAGTGTCACCTAATCAGCTTATTGATTTTTCCCACTTTTCTACCTTTTGTTTCACTCTACATTGATGGTCTTGGCTAAGGGCCTTGGCTTTTCTCCATTGAATAATAAAAATGATCTCCTGCTGTGCTGTCTAACTTGATACCCCAACTTCCAATTGGAAAGCCCAGTCAAACTGAAGCCAAACTGTGACCTTTGAACCTCAAGCTTTCAGTCTCTGACATTTTACAATTTAAATAATAAATTGTACCCTTTTCAAAAAAAATAAAAAAGTTCACCTTTCCTTTGAAATCATAAGGTCTACGTCTTGACCCAGGAGCAAACTTCATATTTCTCTGACTCTCTAACAGATCAGCAATCGAACATGGGGATTTGGGATGTGTCAATGGCTCAATTTCATGCTAGGCAGTGGTGTTGCCAGCTGAGCCATTGGGGGACCCCAGTTTTCTTATGTTTGAATTGATTTCATTCATAACACTGAAGTCTTGCTATGATCTTTTTGTTACCTACTTACAATGGAATTTTTCCAGAGAGTCTGGGCCAAATTTTCAAGTGAGGGGCAACGTGTGAAGAAGCCAGAAGAGCTGGGCTTTAGGATTGTGTGGACAAGTGATGTACATTGATGTAATGAATGGCAAACCAATGACAAAGAGTATTTACCAAATGCATTTCAGTGAAGACTTGTTCCACTGAAAGCGTTCTATTGTTGAGACTCCTTTATAAGTTGGCTTCCTCTTCAAAGGGTACTACTGATGGTGTAATACCCTCTTGAAAAGAAGTCTTAATGTTGAGACTCCCTCGTTAAGATAATCAATAATTGAACCATTTGTAAATTAGAAACCTTTTCTCCACCATCTTAGCTAAACCAATAAGATTAATATCTGCTCATGTATAAACTCTAATGTAACTGACAACTGCAAGGCTCTCCATTTAAAAAAAAACAAGCAGGCTGCACTTACTCCTGAGAGGAGAAGGAATCTCTGCTAATATTTGCTCTGACAAAACTATCACTGCTATGACTGATTGATGATGTCTTCACAAAGCACATCGCTGAGCACAACCATGTGTCGCTGGAGGAATGCTGAGTGTTATTAACTCAAAGATCATCAGAAAGGGTCCTTGTTCCTTGTTGTATGTGCTTTCAGCATCACCTCTGCCTCCAGTGCAATATTTTATGGATGGATTAATCATGGACCCATCTGCCTGTTGTTCAGGTGAATTTTAAATAGCTTATGACATATAAGGGCCTCTCTGCACTATCTTCTCCCAGACCATTCTGGCTATCACTGCAAAACACTTGAAAGCTGCTAAACAAGTCCAAAATAGTTGTTGCTGGAGGTGAGTCAATCTTGTGCCCGTTTGATATTTGGTGGGAGAATTTGGGAAAGAGTTGGAACTTTCCAGCGGAAAATCCAATGTGTGTTTATGTGAGGGAAGAATGAGTACATTAAGGTTCATTTTCTATGCACGAGAGAAGAAATTGGCTTGGGAAGCTAAAGCGCTCTTAAAATCTTAGGCTTTCTAATGCTCAACACTATCAAATGTAACAGTGGCCCTCAAACAGAATTTTAAATGTTGCTGTCCATTTATTTTGTGTACTATTTATTGTCACCACTTTCATCCTGGTCTGCATGCATTCTCTCCCACTTTCCCCCCTTACCCCCAACCCTCACTCTCTGCCCCATCCCCTCCTTCTGAAGATGGCGCTCGTATCGGGGAGAAATTGAACATACTCTGCTACCTTGGCCCTAGTAAGAGTTCAGGTGATGAGCATAATGAGGTGAACAGTCATATATGAGTTTACATTCATTCTGAGATCATTGAAAGAATGTCACTTGACATCTACTGGTCAAAAGCACAGATCGCAGTATTCAACTGCAGGTTTAGGGGATTAGTGGACTTTTCAACCAAACAACTCTCATACTCCCATCTGCAAGTCCAATGAGAATAAACCCAGCATCCTGGATGTCGCTGTTGAGAACAGTATCGAGGAAAATGGGGGAGGGGGGGGTGATAATCTACCCAAATATTTCTAGGGGACATTCAATGTATTAAATATTGAATGCATTACTTTACAATAAGATTAAGTAGCTCTCCAAAGAGAATCACTTGAGTTGCCTGGATCCATTGTTTCCTGTGAGCAGGCTCTGTCCCCATTAAGTACTCTTAGTTTGACTCACTGCTTGAGAAGCCTACCATGTGTCCCTGTGAGCTAGATTCTCAGACACTCCCTGGGGTCTCTATGGCTGCAGGATCTGCCTCAATCACAACAGCTTGTGGTTTACAGGTGAAAAGAAACAGATGTTTTCTGCGGAGCACTTTCTCCACATTACAAGGCCCAAACCACTAAGCACTCTGTACCTGAAATAGCTGCACTCCAGAGATGGCAATCTAACCTGACACAGAAGAGAACATGATTGTTTTCCTGGTTTCATAGGCTCCTAAAAGCTTTTTTTGACCTCAGCTTCGCTTTAAACGCCTCCAGTCAGAGGTGTGTGCTGTGCTAATGTTAGTGGTTTATAAAAAGGCCTTGAAGCAGCCTAAGGCAACTCTTCTGGACTAGATATGGAGTACAGTGCACAATATGGGTCTTCACCAGATATGTGATGTAAAAAGATTCCATATTCCACTCATTCATAATTTATCATTTACAGCCACCTAAATCTCCAGGCTAGCATACACTCACTAAACACATCAAGAGAGGTTTTGCTTTGAAAATCCATGGCAAATCAGCACTGCCCCCTTACAGGGCAGGAGAGTAAAAGTTGGTGAACATTCAGGAGGAGTGCGTGAGGATGGTCTCAGATCCACAATGAACCGCAGCTGAAACGATCGTTGATGACAATTTCATATTTGAAAAATTTGTTTGGAAAAAGCCAGATTGAATGATTTATGACGTGCATCCTGTGCTCTTACATTATTGATGGCAAGTACATGAATCAAAACACTATCCCTTCTGGTGGTCTAGACAGGCTGGGTTTTTAATACAGTTGAGCCCTTGGATTATCTCACTCAGCTTGCCAGCCAAATTTATGATACTAAATGAGTTACAACGTTAAAGGGGAATTTTACAATTGGAGTGAGCTCTGAGCATCGTATAGACTCAGTGCTAAAAGAGTTGGTGGGTTTCTTGTGGACAAATATTCTGTTAGCTGCTGAACATTGGCAGAGGATGCATTGGGTATTTTAATTTATCAAAATAAGCCACCAGTGACCCTTATGGAGGTCATTTCTACTTTTAATACCTAGATATTATAGAATCATAGGATGTTACAGCAAGGCAACCTAATGTTGATCTCCAAATGAACTACCTAATCTAAATCCACTCTCCTGATCACTCTCTTTAATTTAGAAATAATTGTAAAAAAAAACACAACATTGTGCCTAGTACAACTTCCCACACCCCCAAAGAGGAAATCAGAGTCTACGAGACGGCAAAATTTAATTCCAATCAAAATGCCACTCATAAGCTTGGGACCACTGATTCCAACAAGAAATTAAACATAAACAATGTGGCAAGTTAGCAATACATTCAATATCTAACGTTACCTAGAATCAGTCATTTCCTGCTCTCCTATGCCATTCTCAATGGTTTTATCTGTGAAGCCAGGCCTTGAGTGTTCGGCTTCTGGATCATGGCATTCAACTGACGGTTAGCGGAAGAACGCTTTTAACTAAACTAAAACAAATTTAGCAGCTGGAAGTTCAAGTGCTCACAAATGTAACTGCAACACAAGGCAGATAAGTGTTTGCTGTCCAGGGTCCTGAATGAACAGCTGCATCCAGAGCCCAACATGCAGTTGCTGTGTTAATGCACAGCGATGTGAGCACTGAAACAATGGAAGTACGGTACTCAGTCACATATTAACTGTTGGTTGCAAACTGCAATTGTTTTATAACTAACAGCTTCTTAGGTTCACTTGTCTGTCACTGTGAAAACACCTACAAGATACTGGTCACAACAGGAATATATACTTTACATATCCTGTGATACATCCTCCCGATGTGAAAGGCACTAAATAAAATGCAAGAATTATTATGGAAACCCTGTTATTTGGATAAAGACACAGTCTCTGTACATCTCCTCAGAAAGGAGAAGGGAGGCGGGGCACTTCCAGACAAACTGAGATCAAGGCTTCAATGTGTGGCAGACCATGTGTTGCAAGTTTGTGGCCTATTCCATAAGTACATTGATCCTGTGTCACATCACCAAAACTTGGGGAAAAGCATGAAAAGAAGGTACAGTAGAGCAGGTACAACAAGACCAATCTGCAGAACATTTCAATGGAGAATTGTTGGGTCCTTACTGTGTGGTTGGCGCGGGTTGATGATATGGTCAGGGCCCTCATCATCAGACTCTCCCGTCGTGAGCCCATCATCCACATTAAACTTGTTGCTTTGCTTGTCCCAGATGTGGTGCATCTGCATTGCGGCCTCACGCTCGGCTGCCAGATCCAGATCCTGCTGGGCCAGGTGGGCCCGTAGCTGCCTGATTTCAAACTGCAACACAAAAGATAATAATAATTCTTGCATTTGAGATAGCGCCTTGCGTTGTTGAGACATCTCAAAGTGCTTCACAGTATATATTATATATATATATAGTGCATCCATGTCTGCAGTCTCTCTTCCCAACCATGTCTGCAGTCTGTCTATGATTACAGTGGTGAGACATCACCTTGTTGACGAGTATCAACAAGATAATAATAATCCTCCAAAAAAAAAAAAACAATAATAAAAAAAAAATTGGTCATTTTCAATCTATGACTGTTTGTGGGACATTGCTGTGCGCAATTGGCTGCCGCGTTCGCCACAAATATACAGTCAATTCACTTTACAGTGTGTTCTGTGAAGCGCTTTGGACGTCCTCCAACGTGAAAAGCGCTATATCAAATGCAAGGATTATTATTATTATTATTATTGTAAAGTGGATTGACTGTGCATTTTGTGGGTGAAATGTGCAGATTTTATCGTACGTTGAAAAATGCAGAGGCGGTGGCCAACCATTCAGCCCATCATTTTGTTCGGCTTTGGTACTTTGAAAGAGCAAACCATTTAGACCCATTCACCGGTATGTTTAATATATCAGAAAATCAAAATTTCTAATGATGAAATCAGTTAAGGAACATAGAAAATGACATGTACATGTACAGGTAATCGAGCAAATATATTTGGCACTGCTCTTCAGGAATCAGTGCATCATAATAATAAATTGGTCATTTTCAATCCACGACTGTTTGTGGGACACTGCTGTGCGCAATTGGCTGCTGCATTTCGCCTACAAATATACGGTCAATTCACTTTACAGCATATTTTGTGAAGCGCTTTGAGACGTCCAGAAGACGTGAAAAGCACTATATCAAATGCAAGGATATTATTATTATTATTATTATTATCAAAATCTTTCCCTTTTGCTCTATTGTGCGACTGAAGCTCTCCCTACATCAAATGCAACAAGATTGACACAATATAGACACAAACAGACTTTCTGAGGTAACTAAAATTAGTAAGGCTGGTGCTTTAATATCTCAAGGTCTTGCAGTCGTATCAAAATGTGCAATACATTAAAAATTGACAAATGTCAAAATTAAAGAGGAGGATGAGAAGAAAAACCTTTGATATTTTAGTAACAAATTGAATAAAGCCATTTAGCATTGAACTCATAGAGTTAAGGTGTGAATAGCAGGGTTGGAGTGACCATCCCAGACAGCAGTGCTCACCTTCACTCTTTAACTGTTATAACCATCTAATCACCATTGCCAACACAGTCTAAGTGTTCTCAGATCAACAATTCAGTGCAGCCCTTCTACTAAGCCACTAACAACATCTTACATTTATATAGTGCCCTTGGTGTCAAGATCTACCACTGTTAAGTGCTCCAAGACAGGTTAGTAATAGTGACGGAGCCTGACACCAAGCACGGGAGAAGGGGGGGAGATGATCGGAGGCAAGTTATATAAGTTTAATGCTCAGCATTCAGTGGCAGCTAAGAGCCAAATTAACCCATTAATTTAGCTCCTAATTGCTACAATTTAGCTCCTAATTGCTACAAAGTGGCTTTCAATTTATCAGGAAATAGACTTCTGATCGGTTTTCCAGGCGACTGAGGCCAAGAATGCTTCATGGTCATGACCTCAAGAATCACTATCTTAAAATGTAATGTGCAAAATTTTGGATTGTTCTTCAATTCATTCCCAAATTGGAAGCTGATTTTCTTTCTATTATAAAACCAACTTTCAAGTTAAGACTGTATTTAAGAATTGTAGGAAATTAATAATGATAATAATCCTTGCATTTGATATAGCGCTTTTCACGTCTTCTCAACGTCTCAAAGCACTTCACAGAATAGACTGTAAAGTGAATTGACCATATACTTGTGGGTGAAACGCGGCAGCCAATTGCGCACAGCAGTGTCCTACAAACAGTTGTGGATTGAAAATGACCAATTTATTATTGTTTAGTTTTGGAGGGATTATTATTAGGCGTGTGGAGTAAGGAAACTTGCCCAAGGTTTCGCCCTCTGCCTGGAATTGAACCCAGGTGTCTCGCTTGCAAAGCGAGTGCTCTAACCACTGTGCTACAGGACTCCATGATTTATTATTTATTATACGTTTTATTATTGTAATTGTGCACGATTTATTTTTAGACAGTATGGCAATAGTCTTAAGGTTACTTTTGAACTTCTGAATCTGTTTGGAAGTAAGACATGAAGCAGAATCTCTGAGCACCTACGTTCTTTTCATCCTTCACTTCCCACTCCTTCATTATGTGTAAATTCTCTCAATGCCGCTCCCCAATGTTCCAGTCAAGACAGTGATTCTGTTTACAAGGTACAATGTGCAGGAGCTCTGACATGTGGGATTGTTTTACTGGGATCATTTTTTAAAAATGTTTAATTTTTTTCATGGAATAAAATATCAAGAAACAATAATAATCCTTGCACTTGATACCGCCACCTTATCACGTCTCAAAGCGCTTCACAGAATATATTGTAAAGTGGATTAACCGTGTTTCTTTGTGGGCGAAACCCAGCAGCCAATTGAATAATGATAATATAACAGTGAATAATTGAATGATGCTCTATGCTTTAATAATGTGCAACTGAAGAACAAACTCAAACCAACAAACTAATAAGATACAAGGATAAAAATATGCTTTGTGTGAGTGTGACTGAGATTGTGAGATTTTCCTGTCATGAACTGAGCGCCCTCTGCTGTCAGGCACCTATTGTGCCCGGAGTTGGAAACAATGTTCTTTACATTTAAAAATGAATCTGTTAAAAAATTATTTTGCTTTTCTCAATGTGGTCCAGATCCGCAGTGGCATAATAGCACAATACATTGGGAAATGTTGAAATGCATTGGGATTATAATAGTTTTTGTATTTGATACAGAGCCTTTTGGCCTCAAGGTGCTTCATAGGACACAGTGTAAAGTTATAGTGATTGTGTATCTGTGGGTGAAGGCAGCAGCTGATTTGCACATAGCAATATCCCACAAATACTATTAAGTGAATGACCAATTTAATTTGAGGCATTGTTATTCAGGAGACTGGGAGAAAATCTCTTATGTTGTTAAAATCATTCTACAGGACCGTTAATGTGTGCTTGAACAGGCAGGCGGAACCTTGGTTTAATTTCTGGTCTGATGGATGACACCTCCAACAGTGTAACACACCACACAGACTGCACTGGAATGTCAGCCTAGACTATACAAATTCAAAGTCCTGATGTCGGCTTCAAACTCACAACCTTCTGACTCAGAGATAAGAGGCTAGTGAACTGGTTAAAAAAAAGTTACAAAAAGCTAGTAGAGCTAGAAAAACAAACACAGAAACAAAAAATCAGAGAGCGATTTAAAAAGATAACAGAGAAATGTTTCCAACAATCATAAATTCACATCTCTAAACAAGACTGTAATTTTCCATTAACACGTGTGATGTAAATGTTCTGGGATCAGATAACTTGGGCTTGACTTGGCAGCTTTACGCATAGTGAGATATGGTTAGATTCCAGGTCTTAATATCCGCCTCTATGTTAAGAAGGAGTAGAGACAGTGTGGGCTAGGTGCCAGAGTGGGAGCGAAATCAATATCATCTGAGCTGATCTGAGATGCTAACCGCAACAACTGGGATAGATTGTTTAAAAAGTTATTTTATGTTTCTTCTTTTCCCCAGACCATGCACCATGGCCTCTTTCATTCCTCTTTACAAATTTGCCAAAGTGATTTATATCTTAATATTTACATTTAATTAAAAACGTTCAACTTTAACATTTCAATATTTCACTGCTGGATTTATGAGTGGCTTGGGAGCAACATTGAAATTCCAATTAGACCCAGCTCCCCTTACCTTTAGTTATCTTTCTCTTACAGGACAGGTTGTATTTAAACACAAACCAACATCAAACATTTAAGCTTTTAAATCTAACAATTGAAAATGGTTTGGGAAGTAATTGTATATAATGCATACTAACTAAAACACACACACATTTCATATATGTCTATATAATTGAATGAGATTACATATTCTGCAGTTTGGGGAGGATCATTTTCATGGAAGTTCTGGTTCCACCTTCAGTAGAGTAGCGGCAGAGAATTGCAACTAACCTTCACAACATCCTACTTTACATGCTATAGTGGGTGGCAGCAAAATAAATGAGTAGATTTCTAAAGAATTTACTGACAGCTCCTCTCCTGGATGCTGCTATGAGGAAGATACTATTTTAATAAATTAAATTAATAATAATAATAATAATCCTTGCTTTTGATATAGCACCTTATCATCTTGTTGAGACATCTCAAAGCGCTTCACAGAATATATTGTAAAGTGAATTGATTTAAAATTAAATACATTTTATTTAAATAGATTTCACAGAAACAACAAATTAATCCTGATTCCTTTCAAATATTTTACTTTGAACTCATGGGCATCTGAGAACAATATAGTATTAATAATAACAATAATCGTTACAGTTGATATTGTGCCTTTCATGTCGAGAGGATGTCTTAAGGCGATTCACAGGATATACTGTAAAGAGCAGTAATTGTGTATTTTATAGATAAATGCCTACAAATTGCATCCAAGTCATACTGACGGTGCATTTTCTTCTTCACTGATGATGAGAATATGCAAATAGTGCAAATGTGCAAGTTAGCCATTGTTCTCCTTAAAGGGTCTGATTTGCAGTGTTTGTAAATGAGATGCTGAAATGGGCACTTTCCAGTCACTGGACGTATGTTACACTACAGTTCCCCACAGTAACTGAAGTTCCCCCACAGGTCAACAGGAATTTTAAGAGGATTTCTTATTCAGGAATCCAATTAAGAAATATTGCAAATTAGACTCCATTTTAAAGTCAAGGTTAATTAAACAGTCTCAATGGATAGGTTTAATGATTTATTTTGCTCCTGTTATCTAAATTACCTGAAGGTTTTAGTTGCACAGATCTGGGCCAGGCTGCGATCACCTAACATTTCAGGACTTTGGAACTTCATGAGTTGGGAAGTATTAATATGAAGAATATCCCACCATCAAATCATCTTCAATGATGTGAAGTGAAGTATTCTTGACGGAGCAGGCTTGTGATGTGAAGCATTCAGACAGGCAGCATATCTAACTGATAGGCTCTACATCCTCTCAGATAACTCTAAGTCGAAGACTAGATACAAAATGGGATGCCTTATTAGTTTGCTGCCATTTTACATTAGTGTCGGTGAACACTCCACTTATGCTGTCACATCCAAGACCAAGATACCCACACTAACTTCTGGGTAGGATTTTATTTGCTTTCTGTGCTGGGTCAGTCCCTGAGACTTCCGTGCATCTTAAAACAAGTTTACTTTTCTATTGAGATGTTATCACATCCAGACAATACTCAAGAACAAAAATATCAAGCAAGAGCCATCTATCTGCCTCCTGGATCACAACATTGAGAGAAACCCAGCTTCCAGATTCAAAAGAGATACAAGACCAACGTTCAGTCACTTGGGGGCAGCACTGTACGCTGGAAACTCCATGTCTTGCCAGACAAATGAGGGGGAGATGCAGTTTGGTGAGCCAGAGTTGTCAACTAAGTGTAATTTCAATGCTGGTAATGCAAAAAATCCATGTGCAGTGCCAGAAATTGCTGGTAATGTATTTTACGTCACTGCATATGTACTTCTACCGCTGTGTTAAAAAAAAAGTAGTCACCCACCCACCCACGTAGACACTGAAATCCAGAGAAAGGACTGTGAGGCGGGAAACTGTGGATTCACATGGGATACTCAGTGTGGCATGGGCACACGCTAGGAGAGTTGGGCTAGTGGGAGTCCACACGTGGGCCTTCCAGAGATTTTTGGCCCCAGAAATTTTTTAAAACATTTTTGGTGTCAAGCCTGGTCCGGCTAGATTCAAGTTCTGGATATCCGGAGTCCAGGAAGCCATCAGTTTACTGTACAGAAATACCCAGAGGCAGAAAAACACGGAAAGGTAGAATGTTGCACCCATGTGACTCACTGTCACTTAGCGCCACTCTGAACACATATTTTGCTTCTGCTTTTCAGCAAAGGCATAAAGGGAATGCACAATGTTAGTTCAATCTATTTGGACATCAAAACGCACTTCTCAGTGATCAGCTTTCATACCTCTGGTTCCTTATTCACACGTCCCCACAAGGCATCTTATTTATCCAACCTCTCTTTATTTTATTTTCTAATCAATTTAATTTTGTGCATTCTTGTTGCTGTTTCAAAGCACTGATTGGGTGGCCTGATGCTTGGGTTGTCTGGTCTATGCGGTTTTAGCTGGTCAGACTCCAGCAGTACCCCAAGCCTTGGCTCTTGCCAACCTGCGCCTAATACTTTCTAGAATTAGGTAAGCAGAATGCATCCCTCCAGAGAGAGAGAGTGCACATCCCGTCCAGCAATCGAACTCTGGAATTTCCATGTGTAGATGTGATGCATAGTTTGGTTTGGAGACTCTTAAGCATGGTGATGGGTTTCCATATGTGTCATACACGCAGCTGACCAAAAAAAGGTCTGTCAGTGACCTACACTCACCACCTGCTCCTGGCAGATCTGGGTCAGTCGTTCCAGCTGTTCTTCTCGAACCTGCTTTGCCCTCTCGTACTGCTGTATAACCATCTCCATCTCCACTTTAACCGGGAGAACATAAGCTGCAAAAAAAGTCAATGCACAGAGCTAAGAACTCCAGACTGCAAAGCATTGGGTTCAGAGTTAAATACAGAAGAACATAAAAAAAAGCACAGAAAAGAGCCACATGCACTTATACAGTGTCTTTCATACAGGATGAATTTCACAAAGTTTCACTGAGCAAAGAAGAAGGATGGGGTTAGAAGCTTGAGAAATTATCATTTATAATAATAATAATAATAATCCTTGCATTTGATATAGCACTTTTCACGTCGGGAGGACGTCCCAAAGCGCTTCACAGAACACACTGTAAAGTGAATTGACTGTATATTTGTGGGCGAACGCGGCAGCCAATTGCGCACAGCAATGTCCCACAAACAGTCGTGGATTGAAAATGACCAATTTATTATTGTTTTTGGTTTTGGAGGGATTATTATTAGGCTCTGTGTGGAGGAAGGAAACTTGCCCAAGGTTTCGCCCTCTGCCTGGAATTGAACTCAGGTCTCTCACTTGCAAAGCGAGTGCTCTAACCACTGAGCTACAGGACTCCACATTTGTTCCAATTGATTGATTGATTTATGAGGTATCAATTATTAATCTATTGTTATCACACACTGGGTATGTATTTCTCAATTCATTGCTTTCCATTAGGCAGGAAGTTGTTCATTTGTTCTGTGACTATGGTAGTCTCAATCAGATCGTGAAGGAGGAAGCATGCAAGAATAACTGAGCACAGTTTAAGTGATCGCTCAGAGAGGTCAACAAAAGAAGCCACCTTGTGCGTTCAGAAGAGACAATCTAGATTAGAATGGACAGTTCTCTCTGAGACGTGGGCTTGTTAAATAAGAAGCAAAAAAAAAGCGGTCCTTTTGATAAGTTAATTATTTATTGATTGGAGGACTACAGCTGTTATGTACGTTGGAGAGTGAGGTGTAGTTTATTGTAAGGACACCAGGATGACCACACACAAAGAGTACAACACGCGCAGGGATACAAGAGAGGTTGGTAGCATTTGCAGCAGCACTGTGCAATACAATAGGGTCCATCTATCCAAAAGATTCCCAATGTGAGAGACCAACAAGACAGGAATTGTACTGCCCACTTCCAAATCAACCATGGCAATGAGAGTTCACCCCCGCCTACCACCATGACACGTACACCTGCTTCAGAAACAACTGAAATTACATCTCCAAATCTGATCTCTAGCATTTACAGGATGAATCCAATTTAGCAAACAAAATTGCCTCAGGTCCTGAATATCTACGATAAACAATACCTGCATATGAAACAGTGGATTATCACAGCAAACTCTCTCAAAGTATTTCACTCGATATGTTAATATGAGGCGTGAAAACTTAAATATGTTTCAGTCAATGGCCTGCAAGTAAAAGTTTTGAGAACAGTAGCTGGTTTTACGAAAGCTTGCAATGATTATGTACGTTGGAGAGTGAGGTGTAGTTTATTATAAATTTAATCAACAAGGTAATTCAAACTGATAAATGAAAACTTAAATCTGGTCCCAGATGCAGAAAGGTGGGTCAGACTGTAATAACAAAGCGATGATTACAAAACTGATGAATCAAGCATGGACATTTGCAATGTGGCACTCCCTGCTTCCCCCCCTGCCCTCTATTTGCCTCCGATAAAAGACGTGCAGTAGAGGAAAGATCATTCATTGATGCTGCAGTGCTGGTTAGGAACTGTTGTGTCACCCTTCAGAAGGTATGTTAAAAGCACAACAATTTAGCTTCTCCTGATTGCTCAGTGAGTTTATCCAGTGAGTCATCATCTGAGCTGAATTGGGATGCAACAATTGGCCTCAACACTTCTGGGCAAAGAAACTGCAGATAAAGTAGAGATGAGGTTACAGAAACTTCATCTCCTCCTTCACCCTTTGGCTCAACTAATTTTATTGCAATGTGGGTGGGTGTGTCATGACTGCCTGAAATACGAACTATGTACAGTCAGAAGAAAAATTAATAGTTGTTCTGATCGGTTATTTCCTTTGTGTCCAAAACATCTCAGTTCTTTCCCACCTAATTTCTAAATAATCTGTGGGAGCTATTAATGGAGTCCCCGAGTGCATTTGAGATTAGACTCTGGCCGTCAACAGCGAAAGATTCTACGCCTCAATTATATAATGATGCTGTGCTGATAAATGCACTGGGAAGAGGGCAAAAGGTTGAAATGGTAATACTAACGATAGAGTTTCTGTGTCAGAAGAATTGTTATTTAGGATAATAAGGTCTGAGGGTCCAAGCCTGGTCTCCTCAGTCTATAGCAACATGCATTCTTCTCATCCCACTTCCCTGCTATTTACATTAATGGTGGCTGGTGTTTGCTTGTGTCCTGGCTGCATAACCACTGAAGTCCTGATCGACGATTCAAAGTTCTGCCACGAGAGGGAGTTAAATCACAAGAATTCACACAGAAATCTCTCATTGGCCTGGATGGAGTTGAGCTGTGAGGATGAACACATGGTGCTGCATAGAATTACATAGAACATTACAGCAAATAGGCCATTCAGCCCAACTAATTTGTGCCAGTATTTATATCCTCATTTATATCTTCTTAATCCCTTCTCCCATATTTTCACCTACAAAATAGACAGTCAATTCACTTTGCAGTATATTCTGAGAAGCGTTTTGAGACGTCTCGAAAACGTGATAAGGCTCTATATCAAATGCAAGGATTATTATTATCCCCTATTGCCTTTTCTCTCATGCATGCATCAAGTGTCCTCTTAAATAAGTTGATGCTTACTGCTTTCAGCAGTGAGTTCCACATACATAAAGAAGTTCCTCCTAAACTCCCTTTTAGATCAGTTATTATTTATTACAAAAAATTATGTATTTTATGCATGCTTTATTGTAAAAATCATTAATAAACAAAGGTGCACTATAAAACATATAACAGCAATAACAATTTCTACATGTGATTTAGTGCATGTAACATTAGTGTTTTACAGGTAGTTAATGCCAAGTGACACGGCAAACAGTTTGCAAACATCAGATCAAACAAATGGTCAACAACAACAACAACAACAACTTGAATTTATATAGCGCCTTCCACGCTGGATGGTGTCTCAGAGCGCTTCACAGTACCGGATCCCGGGACCGAGCCAGGGGGAGGGGGAGGAAGGTGACCAAAGGCGCGGTCGAAAAGAAAGGTCTTCAGCAGAGACCTGAAAATAGGAAGAGAGGGGGCGAGGCAAAGGGAGTGAGGAAGGGAGTTCCAGAGCCTCGGGGCATAGTGGCATAGTGTTCAAGAGGTGAATTAATAAAGGGGAATGTTGACCAGACCACTCATTGGAATTGTGTCACACACAAAAACCTTGACATCATCACACACTGTCATTAACACAAACACAACGTCATTACACAGACATCAACACACAGTCATTAACAGACACACATCGCATGGCATGGCTGAGTGATCAGACAGAATATCCTAGTCACTGGCCGCAATAGCTGGGCTTCAGGAAATCCATACCTCTGGGCTTTCCTCTCTTTTTTGCAGTGAACCAAGCAAACCTGGGCGTGGCCACTTCATCCAGAAAATGAAACTGGGAAGTGATTTTGTGGTATATAGAAAAAATATAATGAACTCCAACTAAGAGAACAAAAGAACCCCCCAGCCTCCACACACTCTCAGACACACATCCCCTCACTCTATATTCCAAACAGTAACCGCTGGCATTCAAAGATTTAGCAATACTCCGTAAATTATAAAATTTAATCTGCTGTTTCCCATTAGACGTCTAACCTTCACCCTTTAGCATGCTCATTTAATTGGCACCTTAGCAATGTTGCCGAAGCCACAGTGATAATCAATGTGACAGGTGCTCTTTAATGGCCATTTGTACAGCAGCTCAGCTGTTTATTTCTGCTTTCTGCTCTCTGTGTAATGTCTTCACTGAACATTGCAACAGCAGCAGCAGCAAGGCACAGGCTGGAGCCTCGGTGCCACACTAGCAATGTTTATTTATAGAGCACGTTAGCCAGGAGGGACAGACGGAAGAACAATCAACCTACACAGAAGGGGGGTGGGGAGAGGAAGAAGAGAGAGACACATACTTTTAGGAGGCTATTTTTAGCCGGGATATGTGCGTTGCAATTACAGGAACTGGCAATTGCATTTGTCAATGTCGTCGTGATTTCTGTGTGATGCTCTTCAACACAATTCAGCACTGTGGACAACTCTTGGCATGCTTGTAAAGGATGGGGGGNAGGGGGATGTAATTCACACCATGACCATTTCCAATAGTTTTTATCAATAAGACGAACGTCCCTTCACATTTATTCAGTGCAACGAGATAGGAAAGATGTGTGGTTTCCCTGGCAGCTGTGGAATGTTGCAGAACAACTCTTAATATTATAACCAGGGCTTCCCCTCCTCGGTCTCCAAATCAGCCAGAATACATATCACCTACTTGGATTTTCCCAGACTCTCTCTTGGAAGGTTCAATTTCTGATCTGTTGCTGATCGAGCAGCAAAAGAAGAGCCAATTTGGTTTCAGCACTCCTGGGTTAAGGAATTGGGAAGGGGTGAGGGGGAAATCAGCTAAGTTTTCCAGTTATCCAACTGGAGAGTGTGGGTTGGTGAATGTTAGACAAGGACAGCAATGTATTTGACCATGATGACCCACACTGATAATCTGCTGAGATTCACTGAGTGAAGAATAGCTACGTGGCTGATCATGGAAGTGTAGCCCAATCAGAGCCAGATAGAAAAAAAATGTGCTTTATAGAATATTTTACACTGCTTTACCATATAACATCACACATACTGTCAAGTGTAGTGTCTGTTTTTGTGGGAAAATGCAGTAGCCATTTCACACCAAGTTTTATCCCACAAACAACTCAACACATCCTGGGATCATTAGTTAAAATTCCCATTTTGCAACCTATGACCCAAATTCAAAAGGTTGATTACATTTGGAGATTTATGCATTATCTTGAGTTCCTGTATATTCAGCCACACTCCATTGTTTAACAAATAGCATCTGAGAGACCCTGATAAACGAGTAGATATCTCCCTTCACACCAGTCAGTATGACAGAACAATTTAGTCAAACAAACTTCTGTTTAAAGGTTGATTGTTCAATTTAAATTCCACTTTAAAAAAAAATCAATTTGTCATCTCTATTGATTAATGATTCATTTACATTTATAAACAGGAGAGTAAATGTCAATGATATTCCTCTTTTCATAATGAACACAGTCATGGGTGGAGGGGAGGGGGGGAGAGAAGAGATGTTGATTAGTGCACATAAATACCAGTTCTAATCAAGAACAATTTTGGGAGTAGACTGTAGAAAGAACACAGTGCAACCTTGCATTAATGCAAGCAATGGACTAAAACACTTTTGCCTCTGCTGCATATTGGAGGAGATATCTGTGCAACCCCATCCATCTCTCACTGCTTGTGCTACAATAACTCAAATCAGCACTGGAGATCTTGACCAAATATTGTAAGTTAGGTCCCTGGGGAGTTAATCACTTTCATCTTACACAGCCAGTTTAAATTAAGGAAAGCGAAAGAGTTAGAAGATACTTGAATTTCAACAAAGGATTAAGGAAACATGATCCATGAAGGTGAACCCTGTGAGTTTAGGAGAGCTAAATTGGTTAGAAAGTGAGCTTAGATTATATTTCTTCATACAGAACGTTGTGAGAGTGTGCCTTAGAGCAAAATCAATTGGGACATTTAAAAAGAAAAGAGAGAGAACCCACACTGATACACAGAAAGACAAATACTTGGGAAGCAAAAGTATTAAGGGGTTGGAGAAAATGCCGGGAAATTGGATTAAAATATCTGCTATATACTTGTGGAGCAGTCTTGATTGGCTGATTGATCCATATTCATTTCTTTGATCTTCCCTGCTGCTTTTCTTTCAGCCATACACTACAAATTAGGGATTTATTATTCCCTTGTGTTTCTTCCACACTGTATCTTCCAGTGAAACTCTCTTTTGAGAAGACATGTTGCCATCTCCCATGCCAACATAACCTGCCCTGGGTTCAGGTGAGATGATCTCACTGTTTGAAGGGCCACAGCCTGTATTAATTACATCATCTTTATTACATGGTTACGTCTACTTGCAAATATTCCCTGGCTCTTCTGACTCAGCCCTCGGGTGTACTCTTCTCTAATGATATCAGTTTAGCAGTCCATCTGATACATAATGCAGCAAACTGACCAAAGAAACCCATGACACTGTTTTCAAAGGTGAAGTCCACAAAATATTGAACTTCCAGCTTGTGACTCATGGTTAATTTTATGTCTATGTCTTTGGTTTTGAGTCATTTCCCATCCAACTTACAATACAAATTTACATTTGTGTAGTGCTTTTCTAGTCAGGAGGATGTCCCAAGGTATTTGACAGTCCTGGCTTAACACCTGAGCTGGGGAAATGAGCCAAGGTGGGGGAGGGGGAGGCAAAGATGACTCAAAGATGCAGTCTAAAAGGAAGGTCTTGAGTTGGACCTTATTAAGTCCCCTCACTATTTTCAGCATTTTAACAATTCACCTTAAATGCACCAAGTCTCATCACTATTACAATAAGTTTGCAAGTTAGGTGCCAGTTCTAGAATAAAACATATATAGAAAGTGCTGTCATAGTGAAATATATTCCAACGTAGTGTCCTAATCTCCCAATGCAATTCCAATTAACATTTAATGGCAGATTTCCAATGGCGGTGTTAAAACAAAGCTTACTGCTGTTCATTCAATTACAATTGTGCAGGTTCAAACTAAGTAATCAATACAGTAATAAAACAGTTACTAATTTTATGCCCAGTAATCATTCCATTTTAATGGGGTTTGGGCACTAATCAGTACCAAATGACGTGCTGATAGCCAATAAATAGTTTTTAATCTTTATTTTAATTGCTCCTGTCTTGATTTTTTTTGGCTTGTGAATTCTTGCCATTCCTGCTGGTTAAAATGCAATACTCCCAACAGAAGCCATAAACAGTGACTCCTGCCAGAAGTCACAAGGACTCTGCTCCAGCAACAATCGCTACTTAAGACATCTGTTCCAAATAGCTCCTTTTGGATCCCTATAGTACTTTGCAATGTAGTAGATTATTAGCTGGATTTCTAGAAAAGGCAACAAAAAAAGGAATAATGAAAACCAATTAACAGATAAACAGTATGTTAATCCCACAACTCACCATCAATGATCCGCTTGACTCTCCAGATGCGCAGAGTAATGATCAGGCTAATGGCATCCCACGGGCTGCTGGGTCCATTTGCAACAGTTGAAGCCACCATAGGGGCCAGGGATAGGACGATTACAGCTCCGTCAAACACCTGCAAGGTAAGATCCCAGATGTGATCCTCACACCAATAAACACCTGCGACAGGTGGGAAAGAAGGAAGATAATAGCAGGGAGCAATCAATTACAAGTGGTATTCCTGGCATCTTCAATATTCTAATTTACTTGGCGGGCAGAAATGTTTTGATTTCCCAAGCTTAGGAGCCTTATGCCCTTCTCATTGATAGAAGGGTTACTTATCGGTAGCAAAGCTGTCAATTCTCCATATTAATTGAGAATTGCACAAGAAGAAGAATACCCAGTGAGGTACTTTGGGATGGCCGATCATGTTGTGCCTGGGCATGGGTTCCAGCCTAGGATTCACTGCTTCTCAGTCCACCCCAAGATGTTGTGGGGAGCTGAGGCCAGACACTCTGTTGTGGGGAGGGAGGAAGAGACATTCAAGACTTTTTTTCTGCATCTTCCACATAATGCCTTTGGTACAGAACAGCCAAGAGATGTGAAATGACATATTATCTATTATTATGTCTTAAAATTTAAGATTGCACGGAAATATGAAAAAAATTGTCTCAATTTGGAAGCCAATTTCCCACAGCTCTTAAAAGGAACAAGTTTCCATATTAAGATTTAATTTAAGAATTTTCCCCAATTCTCACATTTTAAGATAAAATGGTCTTACCAGGCTAGGGATTAGGTGCGAATTCAGGTCTCAGATATGCAAAGAGGCAAAGATGAAACCAGCAAGTCAAAAATTAAAATAGATTAAAAATTGAACAGAAGGAAAGTGGGATTGTTCCCCCCTCAAATGATCTCTCACTGTTCCCAATGTAAACTGCACAAGCATAAAATTCTTCTGTCGAGTTAAGAACTCAGAGCAAAATTTGGGTGGCAAAAAACTCACTCAGTTTAGTCCCATGCGGAGTGTAATTATCACCTGCAACACTTCAAGCCAGGCTCAGCACGTTCAAGTCTTATGAAATCTTTATTGAACTTGTCTGGGAGTTTAGTGCAAATTGGCAGAACACAATTTACCATTGCGCTAAGGCGTGCATTTTGGCTTCTGGTCAGTATGCTTACACATCTTACAGTTTCAAGCAAGTTTATTTGTTCAGCAGGGAATTGCACAGCTCATTACTTATTCCACGTATTGATAAATAACTGGTGGGGGAAATAGAAAATTTAAGATTAGAGGAGTAGAGTGATTGTGTACGTGGGCAATAAAATTGAGTCTAGAATGTAATATCTGGAACAGGTAAATGCTATGATCACGCAATGTTAAATGTGATCACTCCAGCTCATTAGGATGAAGCAGTGTTCTCAAAGGTCACACAGCCCGTTACCAGCCACATTTAACACATGAACTATGAATACCAGGTTTTAACCCCACCCCCATTGGATAGCCAAAATGAAAAGAAATTCTATTTTCCAGCACTAACATCCCTCCTCTTAACAAGTGGCACTATGTCTGGCCTCCCAGTCATCTAAACTGCAGGCACCTCGCTCAAGTCTCCTACACAATTTTATTGAAATAATATAACCATCTGTGTATTGGATACACTGCCTGCAACTTTGAATCACTTCAAAAAGTTTTACAGCGCTTTACAAAATCTGAAGCTTACCTCTACTTTGTTCTCAATGTAGTCCCATAAGCCAAGTACCACAATCCTAAAGACAGTCTGATAAAGAGAGAAACAATAGTCAAGCAGAGCTGTGCCTGCAGTCATTCAAATGTTTTAGATGTGGAGTGGATGTCAGGAAACCAGTGGAGAAAACACAAGTGGTCAAATGTAACTGCACATGTGCTGCATTCGTCAGGTCAGCGACTGACCACTTCCTGCGTTCAGCAGTTGTAATCAGCCAATTATATTTATTTTGTTGCCACTGACATAATATGCAAGCTCGATTTTACCATGTTAAAAAATAACCCAAACCCCAACTCATTTAGGTTGACTTGCTTGTGTGGTGGTTGGGTTGTACCCAACAGCACCGAGTGAGGTGGCCATTGTATGTGCCTTGGAGGATTGGTTCATTTCCAGCTTATTGGAGCTTCCACTTGGAGCTTATTTCAATTTTGTCATCCCAAACCTGTGGGAATTATCTCCCTAATCCCCCACCACCTCCCAATCACATTCTTGGAGGTAATTCTGGTCCTCACTTGGGACATATGCGAAAGAAGCTGACACCTGGTCCATAGAACCACTGGACTATAGGAGGACAATACTGGGGCATGTTATAACAGAGCTCCTTGTATTTTTTCATAATTGACATAAAGCAATGATGACAAAACTGGGTGCTGAAATGTTAAAATGTTCTATTTTCCACCATAACATCTGTCTCACTGAAGTACTACATAAATATAGATGAAATATAGAGCCAGATTAAATTTCTCCCTTTTGGTGAGATCTCTTGCAGTGCTTACCTCTGTGAAGAAGAGCGAAAGAATGACCAAGCTGATCCAGTGAATTATCCAGGCAAACTGGAATGCATTGGTAACTGTTAAGAGAGAATCAATAGCATCCTGTGAGCACCCAAGTGCATTATCCTTCCTTCTCCCCAGATTAATTAAAGGAACGGTAAAAGTAGGAGACGTCAACTAGTATTGAAGTCTCCTTGTTTGAGTCAGGGATCAATAAGGATGGTGACCTGCAGTGTATATTATACTTCCTGATCCCCAAAACTAATTAAACAAAAACTAACTCTTCAGTATATTTATTCATCCCCATATCTACAACATTTAACCATTCACTGCCACCGACCGGAGATTGTGCAGCAGGCCAGTGCCTGCCGAACCGGACAGGTTGGTGAAGTTTTAATAGGTTTCAGAGGTAGGAAAGAGTAAGACCATGGAAGGCTTTAAAGGTTTTTAAAGTCGCTTGAGCTACTGTAATATGCAGAAAGTACTCACACTGAAGTAACTTTGTGTCAATGAGGAGCTCCAGGGTTAGGAGAAGGACGACCAGCACCACTGACACCACCAGAAAGCAATTGAGGCCAGCGCTGAGCAGGAAAACCTGCCACACTGCCACCCGCCTCCCACAGCATGGCTTCAACCAGTTTGAACTAGGGCCAAGGACAAATAGCAGTACAGCGTTAGTGAAAATGTGCAGTGTTAACAATGAGACAGTGCTTTCTAAACCAACACATTTCAAATGTTTTCTTCTGCTCATTTCCTGATTTTAAAAAAAGTGGATCTAATTTGCATCAACTTTCAATAGATTTCTCAATAAGAAATGCGTAATTATCGGAGTTCTGAAATATCGAACCTGCTGGAAATTGCATTCAATAATGTTTTAAGATTAATTAAGCTTAATCAATATTTTATAATTACAATAATTACACATTTCTTATTAAGAAACCGCTTTAGAAACATCACAAATTAGACCCATCCTTACAAAATGGAACGCTTGCTTTGTCCTGTGTTGTGTGATATGTTGCAATCCGGTAACATGACTCCTCTGCCAATGGCTCACTTGACAAATATGATGCCTAAAATGGAACAGGGCCATACACACCTGGGCTCAAGTTGGTGAGTTAGCTCACCGCAGCTGGAACAGTGGCCCTGCTTTATAGGAAGAGGGGGAGGAAAATCAGATAGAGATCCTGCTCCTGATCAGTAATGAGTGATCACTTCAGGTTCAGCTGTGATGTCCTACGTAATGAAATAACTCTCCGACATGCACCGTCACACATGAAGAATGGTCAATCTGGGGTGATACCGGAGGGCAACTGATGTCAGTGAACTGAACCCCAGAATGAGGTAGTGCCTTTAGGACAGGAGGAGAGGAAACTGGAAAAATAAAAGCTCCATCTCACTCTGGCACATTTTGCAAAAGTGCCAAAAGCAGAAGAGATTTTTTTTGTAAAAAAAATTAAATCACATACTAAAGAAATCGTTGGAGGAATTAACCGAAAGTATCTGACCTGACTGCTTGTCTGAGTCACTGCTGCAACAGACATAGTCTGTGACCTGTTAGATAACAAGATGCCCAAGGCATCAAGGCACTTGCATTACACACTGGTTAAATAAGCATGAATTGTTAGGTACAACTCTCTTCTCTGAAAAGGCAATAAATCAACAGAGAGCTTCACATTCTGTCTGCGCTCAGCTCTTCTGATAAGGTTCACCTCTCCGGGAAATGTTCCCGACAAATGCTTATTGCCTATTCAAGTACTGGGTTTCGTAAAGCTGAGAGCAAAGCTGCTTCTATCTCTCAACAGTGGAACAGCACAAAGCTGGAGAGATAATTCGTATTTCCCACTTCACATCAGCCACAGGAAAACCAAAATGACCTTCCTTCGATGGCCCAGTGGGTAACAGTACCACCAGGTTCAAGTCTGTGCTGAGGAAACTAATCTCAGAGAGAGCAACAGATGGAAGCATGAGGTGGAAAATCATCAACAACAACAAGTATGTATACAGCTTCCACATGGGATAAGGTCTCAGAGAGTTTGGTGCTTTCTACTGATTGCTTTATTTCACTCTTTCTTTGCTGAAGTAAGTTTTCTTACTCCACAGGAATTTGATTATTAGTCAATTGGCAGATCGTTTTTGCTTAAAATAAATAAATAATAATTTGGTCACTCAATCCATAACTGCTTGTGGGACACTGCTGTGCACAATTGGCTGCTGAGTTTCGCCCACAAAATATACAGTCAATTCAATTTACAGTATATTCTATAAAACGCTTTGAAACGTCCCAATGACGTGATAATTCGTTATATCAAATGCAAGGATCATCATTATTAGTAGCAGTTCCTCAGAATGTGTGTGATATATCTCCTGGCCATCTCTTTGGGCAGTAAATCTCCTAGGCTGCAATTATTTTCCTGAAAAGATACCACTAAGTTTAGATGCATAATGTTTTGGAAAAATGATGAGCTGCACTAAATTAAAAATATCCTGCTGGTGTCCTACATTAATTATGATCAATTGACTTGATTTCATTAAATTTTCCTGTCGCATAATTTCTCATAATTAAATGGCTTGCAAATGCCACCATAACCTTAGAGCAGTCTGACGACAGGAAAATTGATCACGAAGGTACAGGATTTATTTGCAACTATTAGTCACAGATGAAATTGTTCAACAACAATTTGAATGACAATTAATCAAATTGCAATGAGTCTTTAAATGAAATATACTGGGGGTGTGACACTGTGACATGACAAAGACCAACGTTGGGTGGGAATGTATTACACCCAGAAATCCTGTATTAGTGTCCTTGGATAAAGCACTGTCTGTATCTCTGTGTAACACAACACTGTGTGGAAGTATGTTAGAGAACAATGCTGGGCTGTGTGTATTATATCAACAACAACAAAATTACATTTGTAAAGTGCCTTTCACGTCGGGAGGACGTCACTGGACAGACAGAGTTACGGACCCGAGCTGGGGGTCGGAGAAGGTGGAGAGCAGGGAGATCGAAAGCACGGTCGAAGAGGAGGTTCTTGAGATGGGTCTTGAAGGTAGCTAGGTTATCAAGAGTAACTTTGAAGTTTGTTTATTTATGGAGATTAGCTCTGCTCCAATTCTATACTATATAGAGAGCAACTCTGAACTGGACTGTTTGCATAGAGAATAACTGTGAACTGGCTAATCCACAGTGCGGATTGGGGTTACTGCAGGAGTTTAACCAACTATAACTTCACAGTATAACGTTGAAAACACTTGCCCTCCGCTTGTCCAGCTTGGATTACCCTTTCGGTTAAGGCTTTAACTGGCAACTTTAACTGTTGCATTGGAAGAATCCCAGTCCCTCGTGACCAAATCCTGCTAAAGAAAGCTGATGGGTCTATACCTAAAATATTTCCAATCTTCCATTGCCAGACTTGTCACCTTGAACCCAAATCAGCCCCAAACAAGCCCTGCTTATGTTGAGCTGGTGGCGAATATTAACAGAAGCATCATCGTCACTGATCAAAAATTGATTTTATAATCAATGCTTGCACCTCAAAAAAATGAAGCAGTGATTCTCATCATCTGCAGGTAGATGACATAAGCAAAGGTTTCCTTGAGAAAGACATCAGTGTCTGGTTTCAACATCATTTTGATTGCAATTCCTAAACAGTTCTCCACACAATGGCAAAGAAATGGTCCCGAATTAGCAAGGGCAGAATATACAAGGACCACCATCGAGTTTGCAAGCACTAAAGTAATTGAGATACAAAAAAATCTGCTACTACCTCACTTAAGCTGTGGTTGTGGGTTCTAAGCAACAACAACAACAAATTACACTTGTATAGGCCACTTCACATCAGAAAGACATCCCAGGATGGAGAAAGCACAATGGAGAAAAGGACCTTCTGGGTCACACTTATTTATTGATGGCTCGCTCAATAATCCAGCTCCTCACCGTCCTTGCTAACCGTGTCCAGTGGGAATGTTACTGCTGCCATTTTACTTTGAATCAAGGCTACCTGTGTGGCTCAGCACTGTCACACTTCCAGATTGGAACTGGAGAGGTGCAATATTCCAATTTCGAGTTTGCAAAGCTCACTGCTGCAAGGGCTGCATAAGAAAAGGTGTGTTTGTTATTATAATTTCCCCAGAGTAAAGTGTTTGGTGAGAACCAGTGAAAAGGAAAAGAAATGTACTCCGGTTTAGCGCAGCTATGTGGTGCTTCTCAATGTGTGACACTGAAAAGGTACAACAACTCTGTTCTCCAGTTCCCCTCAGCGGAAACTAACTCTCGATTGAAATATAGCACAACTACAACAGGTTATATCTGTCACCTTTTCTATTTTGTGTTGCAAAGTTTCTCTATTTTATTGATGCCGTGACTATTGTTCCTTTGAAACCTTCCCCTCTTGTTCGTGCGGGACTCTTCAGCTCTCTCGGTTTCAGCTTCTTTTAAAAGCCTAACACTATAAATTCACCATGGGAACAGGCCGCTTAGGAAATGTACAACGTAAATCTGGAGATCCACTTACCCTTCTCTCTGGTCATCTTCATCTATATTGGAGAGCAGTTGTGACCCAGCCAAAGAGAGGTCGAGAGCAGCTAGCGGCAAGTCCCGGTAGGCAAAGCTGACAAGCTGCACGGGTGCAATGCATTGGCTGTCCTCCTCCACCTGCTGGGAGATGATCTCCAAATCCGACACAGCCCCTTCCTGTCCTAGCCTGTCAGAGACAGAGAGAGAATCCTCAACAACGCCACAAAAACTTGCATATAACCAGCACCCCTCATGTAGGATGAACACCTCAAAACATTTCACTGAGGTAATAGGCAGCAGAGAGGAGGGAGGAGAATTTAAGAGCAATCAAAGACATACGCTTTTAAGAACATTTTGGAGGGAGGGTAAAGAGAGTGAAGGTATAGACACTAAAGGCTCTACACTGAAGGTAGAATGGAGGGTGTGAGCAACACAGTGAACAAGAGAGGGTCATCTATCTACATCTGGTAGCGACTCTTCCCTTTGTGCTTTCCAGTCGCACAGGAACTGGAATTTAAGGTAGTAACATCGGAGTCCTGTAGCTCAGTGGTTAGAGCACTCGCCTTGCAAGTGAGACACCTGGTTTCAATTCCAGGCAGGGAGAAACCTTGGGCAAGTTTCCTTACTCCACACGTCTGATAATAATCCCTCCAAAACAAAAAACAACAATAAATTGGTCATTTTCAATCCATGACTGTTTGTAGGACACTGCTGTGTGCAATTGGCTGCCGTGTTTCGCCCACAAATATACGGCCAATTCACTTTACAGTCTATTCTGTGAAGCACTTTGAGATGTCTCGAAGACGTGAAAAGAGCGATATCAAATGCAAGGATTATTATTATTATTATTCAATGTACCAACATACTTATTTTAGACCATCCAGTGATCTATAACTTTTTAAAATTTGGTATTTTTTAATCAAAGTTGAGGTGTTGTGTTTCAAAACCTTTCAACTTGCTCGTCTCCCAGTTGTCTGATTGCTACAAACATTGAATTATTTCAGTTCTTTCGCACAGTTTTCCAAGCTGCCATTGATTGTTAATCACCAATCAACGCTGTCTCTTTCTCTCTATATATATCTGTATATCTTTCTCTCTCTGGTAATTGAATTCCCTGCATGAATGTACTTTTTATTTTAAAAAATGTGTTGTTTTCTCCTTGTAGCATACAATGTTATTGCACAAAGAAGGGCATTGGGCTAATCAAGTCTTTTCTCACGAGTTACCTAAACGAATTCCACTCTCCTGCTCATTACCCGTATCCTTTAATATTCCATTTTATCAGGCATCTATCTGAATCAATTTTAAAATAATTTATGCAGCCCTGCCTCAATAATAAGTACCGTTTTGACCCCAAATTTATAAGCAGAGAGAATTGCTGCTGTAATCTTCAGCAGATACAGATCGAGAGACTCGAGCGGTTTTGTAATGGAGACACTCTCTGCTATGCACTTAATAATAATAATCCTTGCATTTGATTAAAGCCTCTTATCACGTTGTTGTGATGTCTCAAAGCGCTTCGCAGGATATACTGTAAAGTGGATTTAGTGTTTATTTGGTGGGCGAAATCGACAGCCAATTGCGCACAGCAGCGTCCCACAAACAGTCATGTATTGAATGACCAAATTTTTAAAAATGTTTTTGGAGGGATTATTACCCCCCGGAAAGTAAGCCACCAATCGACTCACTTCCATTACGATGATTATTGGCATTCCTTTAAAGGCACATTCACAACTCCTGTTGTGGCATATAAATAAAAAACTTGTTGGGTTGATTATTATTCAAAGCTTTGATTTGCGCTCGCTATGTAAACACGACATGGGCTGCCTCCAGGAGACCTGCCAACAGTCCACACTCATCTGCTCTGAGTCTCTTAAGAAATTGTGAAAATTGGATGCTCCCTCCAAAGAAGATACATTCCCTCGACTCCAAAAACTCAAGATCACAAGGGAAGGTTCAGATGGATAAGGCTCTTCGCCTCATTTGACCTCATCCTTCCAGGATTCCCACCATGTTCCTACTGAGGCAACAAGCAATTTCTTGTAAATGAATCAAGCGTCCTGCCTCAACCACCTTTCCCGCTGACCTGTTCCAGCTGTTGATTAATTTCTGTGTAAAAAATATACGCCTGGTATTTGTCCTAAAGCTGTCCTCACAACCCTGAATCTGTGCCCTCTTGTCCTGTTGTCTTGGCGTATCTGCCAAACAATGAATGAGTGAGAGAGAAAGAGAGAGACAGTGAAGAAAGAGAGAGGGAGGGAGAGAGAAAGAAAGAGAGAAGGCGAGAGAAAGAGAGAGAAATACATAATGCATTTATGTATTACATTTCCTACATAACAACTAGCTACATTTGAAAGTAATTCATTGGTTTTACGACATTTTCCCATTATAAGACACTGGATCAAATGTACTCAAACATTCTGTTTATTAGGATTAAAAGTGAACACGAAGCATTAAGAACATTAACTTAAAGAGTTCCTCTGGCTCAAGGCCATTTATTGACAGGGTCACTATTAAAACTGTTGTGTAGGGATTTTTTCCCCCCAGTGTAACCTGGTTGGAACAGGAGAGAAGGAAATTCCCAATGGCCGCAATGCTTATCATTAATCACCAGCCCTGCATCACTGCTCCAATGAATAAACATTTTCACCTAGGGCATATTTCACTGCAAATATATGCTGCTGGCAGTTTTCTGCTGTGTTTGTTTTACAGCCCCAATGTTGGATCAGTGCTACAAGTAAACTTTTCTGTGGAGCCCCAGCCCCAACCCCCAGCTCCGGTCCCAATCCCTGACTGTCCAGCACCTTGGGACGTCTTCCTGACGTGAAAGGCACTATACAAATGTAATTTATTGTTGTTGCTTTGGAGAGAATTGCCTGCCCAACAGACATGTGTCTCCACACACACATACATCCCTTCCTCCCTGGAGTCAACAACATTGGCTTTAAATGTGTTCAGCAATTAATTCCAGGAACATTTTGTCTGAGGCACAGCTGAAATCCAAAGCAAAAGCAAAGGGTGGGGTGGGGGCGGAAAAATACCCAGGGCTCCAGTTACACATTGCCATCTGTAGCTCTGGTCGTCCCCTCACCTCCTGTTCTGGGCTCTTTTCTGAGTCTGTGCTGTGTTCTCTAGTCCTGGCCTGGAGCACACAGCAATCTGGGCAGCAAGCACACCCACTGGAATTGTTCCATCGCCCTCCTCCTCTCACCTGCTCCCTCACGGGCCCTTATTGCACAAACACCCTCGCTGCTTCCTCCACCTAACTCAACGCTCAGCCTCTCATGCCCAGGATATTGGCACAATTCACTTCTCTGGCCTGATGTGGACAGATGTGAAAGTGGGATGGAAGGGCAATATGGAAAGTCCCCATAGGCAAACCATGAAGAGAAGGTAAGAATTTAAGACTGTAAAGTCAATTAACTACATATTTTGTTGGTGAAATTCTTCAGCCAGTTGCACACAGCAATGTTCCACAAACACTCTTTTTTAAAAAAATGTAGAATTATTACCCCCGGAAAAGCAATCCGCTAATCGACTAAGAACTGGGTTCCTTACTGCTAAGTAAATAGAAGCATGTGGAGTAAGGAAACTTGCCTAACGTTTCCTAAAGAGAATATTTAGCCTATTCTCAGACCCCTTCATAATCATGAAAAACTCAACCAAGTCAGGCCTCATCAGTTCTGTTCAGCTTTTACCTTGTTCCACAATCGCTGGATAGAGACGCCAGCTTCACTGCATTCACAAGGGAATGGAAGCTCCACTTTGCTCTTGTGGGCTAACAGGCTCGAGTGGAATGAATCAAAGGTCACCCCAGACAATAACAACTAGCTCAAAACTGCCGTGAACACAGCACTAATCTCCATAAAGCTAAGTTTCCCTTAGAGGCCGGGGAATCACGGCCCTCAGAACTGTAGTTACACAATGAAGGAAAGAGAGGATCATCCAGTGTATTCCATGAATGTGGGAGACCTGATCAATTACAAGTGAGTTATTACACTTCTTGTAAAGTGGAATCAAATGGGTGGCTCACTGCTCCCTCGGGGGGTATTGTACCTGCATTATTGTACCTGTCCAACTAGCAGTGTGTTTACAGTTCTGACCGGGGAGAACATTTTTGAATTTAAACACAAGTTTCCTCGACATTGACTATAACCATTAATCTGAGAACCAATCCACTGATCATCAACAAGAAGTTGCATTTATTTAGCACCTTTCAAACAGGACAGTGTCTTGTAGTGCTTAACAGTGGTGGAACCTGACGGCGAGCTGGGGGAGGGAGGAGATGATCATAAGCATCGTCAAAGAGTAAGGTTTAACGGTTCATCCGAAGAATGGCACTTCTAACAATGAAGCGCACCCCCGGAACTGCATTAGAGTGTCAGCCTAGACAATATGAGTTCAAACTCCCGATGTGAGGCTAAATGCCACAACCTACTGACTAAGAGGTAAGAGTGCTACCAACTGAGCCAGACTGATGCTGATGCAGATAAGTAAACTTGTGAATAGTTCATGTGCAGAAACATGGTATTCAATGGTAATAATTTCAGGATGGAGTAGAATTTCAGATCATTCAGCCTTCACATCCAATGTCCTGAAAAATCTTTCAATGCATTGAGTTCTTAATCTGATAATCTTGAATCCTTATATTGACAGCAATTTAGTTTCCTTTTGAAATTCAGAGTCTAGTTGGCGAACAGGTACAATAGTGCAGGTACAATACCCCCGAGGGAGCAGTGAGCCACCCATTTAAGTTGGTCAATTGTAATTGATCAGGTCTCCCTCATTCATGGAATACACTGGATGATCCTCTCTTTCCTTCAAATTCTTTGAAAGTTTCCTGTTCCACCACCTCTCCTGGTAGTTTATTTTACATGCCTCTGAACCTTTTACTGAAAACTATTCTCCCACACTTCCTACTCTCTTTCGCTGTCCTTATTTTGAAGACGTTATGGAAAAGTATTTAGCTTCTATTATAGTTTCTACTTCAAAAATGAGTGAAACCACCAAATGTTTCTTCCAACGCCAGTGATAAAATAGTAATTTTTCATGTTGCATGTGGTTACGCTTCACAGAACAGTCTTTGAACTGGGCATTTCACTTAAAAGCAAATACAGAAATTATTGAAAGAGTAGTGAAAAATTAATGAAATGTTAAGCTCCGTTCTCCTGACTTTTGCATTGCCTCAGAGAAGATAGGCATTTGCCCATAAATCCTTTTAAAAGAGAATTAGATAGATGCCTGAAGAGGATGAATATTAAAGGGGGGGGGGGGGGGGGGGTGAGGAGGAGAATGGCATTAGACTAAGAGACTCATGTGGAGAAAAACACCAACACAGACTTCATGAGTCAAATGGCCCATTTCTTTGCTGTCACATTACCTCCACCCCACAGTGCCTTCAGGAGAAGACGGAAGAATATTACAGGAGAAATTTTAAATTAGAACAATATTTGTACCCTGTAGTGGAGTCCTGTAGCTCAGTGGTTAGAGCACTCACTTTGCAAGCGAGAGACCCGAGTTCAATTCCAGGCAGGGCGAAACCTTGGACAAGTTTCCTTACTCCACACGCCTAATAATAATCCCTCCAAAACCCAAAACAATAATAAATTGGTCATTTTCAATCTACTACTGCTGTGCGCAATTGGCTGCCGCTTTTGCCCACAAATATACAGTCAATTCACTTTACAGTGTGTTCTGTGAAGCACCTTGGGACGTCCTCCCAACGTGAAAAGCGCTATATCAAATGCAAGGATTATTATTATTATTACCCACGGAGAAGTTCTGATCTGACGCTGGGGGGCTGGTGGTTGGGGGCGGGGGGATGGGGGGATGGCAGGGGCAGATTCTAAGCTGGCACTCGAGTGCAGTTCTGTGGACAGCGACGCATTGTCAGAAGTGCCGTCGATCAATAATTTCTCCATTTGCTTTTAAGCAAAATGTACAGTTTCAAGACTGCTCTGTGATGGCTAACCACATGCACACGAAAAACTATTTTATTACTGACGTTGGAAGATACATACGTTTGTTAGTTTGTTTCATTTTGAAGTACAAGCTATCCTGGGAGCTAAACCTTATCTTTACAATAAGGACAATAAAGAAGTGGGAAATGCAGGAGAATACTTTCGGATAAACGTTAAGATTAAAAACTCGGAACATTGGTTTTATAGGTTTGCGTTTAATATCTAGGATTTTCAGTGAGCATGTGGGTTGCAGTCTCAGTCAGTATAAAGAAAATGTACATGCACAGGGAGCGACAGAAGCCTCCAAGATTTGACATGCGGGGGCCCCAAGCTGCTCACGTGTCAAGTTACATTCTCCGTCATTGGTTTTGATCCTGCCAAACCCCATGTGACCAAGAAATCTGGCTGTTGGGAGGAAGCCTGACCTGGAGACAGATGGACATGCTGTGAGGCAGCTGCTGCTATGTTCCACACTGCGCTTCAAACGGGAGAGAAAAGAATCGAGATACAGAAGCCAAGAATTGCTGATGGGGCTTTTCCAATCTGAGGTTTCTGGTTGTTTTAAGGAGTGGGGGCTGGGGGTGTTGGTGGGTGTTGTACCCGAAGAGTTCTGTGACATTGAGGCACAAACTAACAGAAGTCAGGAGAACTTTGTAAAAGACTAGGGGGTGTTATATTTATTCTTTGAATCCATCTGTTGCGAGGATATGAATCCTTGCCCCTCGCCCCCACACTCTCGGTTACAAAATCTATTCAAAGAGGCAGATGGGTTAAAAAGCAGGAGAATGGGACTAAACAAATAACTTTTTCAGAGAGCCAGGACAGGCAAATAATCTCCTTCTGTTATGTAAACTTCTATGGTTCTAAAGCTAAGCAGATTCATATCACCCAGGACCCTTACAAGTAGCCTAGAGACAAAATTTAATTCCTCGAGTCTGGGGTACAATCAACCCCAGGTTCCATTAATAAAAGGACAGAGCTCACAATCCATGGCTCTATCAAGTTCCTGTTAACATTGCTCCACATTGCTTTACGCTTTGGCGCTTTACCTTAAAGCATTTCACATTAATGGTGGTCAACGTTAGTAACTGTTTTTTATAGGCAAACATTTTGTGTACAGTAAAGTCCCAGTAACAGCCATGAGTTGAGTGATCAATTTTATCCGGAGGATTGGCGGTCAGGATACTGGGGGAAACTCCCTTTTCTTTTCAAATAGTGTTATGGGATTTTTGACATCTACCTGATCAGGCAGACTGGACCTTGGTTTGATGCCTCATCCAAATAAAAGCATCTACTACAATAAAGAGTTCCACATGAACTACATTGGAATCTAGTCCATGAGCTCAAGTCCCAGACCTGACACACACTGTGAACACACAATGAATACAACCAACAGCTGATCAGGAGCTAACAGTATCA